ACCCTCAAAAATCGAGCCTGTGGGTGTTAGTCATGATTCCTGCCGCAGTACATCGCATTCTGCGGACGTGCAAGAAACAACATGTGTATTGGTGCTGTGTGTGTTATGTGTTGCACACACAACGTGTAACGAACATTGAATGGACACGGCTTGAAACACGTATGCGTATGCCACAAAATGTTCGCCGCGTCAGAAGTAAACAACCGGGATTCATTCGTCTTTTCTCAGGAACAGTGCGACATTGGGTTAGTTTCCTTTCAACCAGACCTTTGAAATGGTGCCCCTTTAATTTGACATGAGCGTACACTTTGAAAATTGTAACCACGCTATTAATCGGAAGAGCATCGAGTGCGCGCGTACTAGACTTTAGACTTTTCCAACTTCCTACAAAGTCTCGAAAGTGGTAGAAAATCGCCCTCTGTTGTTCGCGCACGGAGCCCATTGAGTCCGTACTTTGAACTGTATTACAGCAGAAAAATATAGCTAAATTAACACTCAATATTTTTAATTCGGCTCGCTCAATCGTACGCAATTTTAGAAGCTTCCAAGTACAAATTATCTGACATCCGTTCCACCCAAACCACTCTGAAAGACGTTTATTCAGCTTTAATACCGTACATAATAGGCCTACCATTGCAATTCAAAAGTTAGTACCATCACTGACATACATTAGTTTTACTAATGATTATGGCCTAAAACCGAAAAAAAAAGATATTTAGGTTTCTTTTAGCCTATATCCGTTTCTGCGCCTACGCGTCAAAGTGAATGATGAGCTATGAAGAGCGCAGTTCTTTGATGTGTTAAATTGAATTATAGGTGTAGTTCACCTCGTGAGAATTACGGCAGCTTTTGGTTGTTGACACAACGACTGTTTAAGTATAAATTATAGTGTATTTCAAACAAGTGTAAAGATTATTTAGCGCACTATGTGCATTATTTTAATGACTCTTAATAGCCTATGTTTGAAGATACCGACACTGCGGTATAATCAACTAGTCTGAGCTGCAGCTCAAAGGTTCAATGTGATATAAAAACGATTATGCATTCGAAGTGATATAATGAGAAGAAGTGGCAGTTGTATAAGAACATCATCTGCATGGTTTATTGAAATCCTCGTCCTAAACTGACCGGGAACTGGTATCTTTAAGGTGTTAAAATTAAACATTAATTGCCACCACATAAAAAAAACAAGATTCATATTTTGTATTTCTTCTTAATTGCATGTGAATTCAATTTCCTGTATATTCAATGCTAAAAAAATCGACTACATATTCAGCCCTTTTTTTATACAAAAAATAATTTTATTGCAATTGTAAATTAATGTTTCAATTTAGTGAATAAAATATACCGACATCAAAATAATTTAAAACCCACTTCATCCAACAATGGTCTCCAAAATACTAGCGTGAATAAAAGGAAGAAAAGAAAATCATGTGACAGTGACCCAGAGGAAATGCGTACGCGCAGTTTTGAATGCCTTTTCATTCATTCATTTAACAGTTCGGCATCACTGAATACATTAAAATGTGAAATACCGCTTGTGTATGAATTGTGTATAAGGCACCCCATAATGACGGTCCTTAGAGGCTTTCCTTGTAGTATGGAACAATGATCAGAAAACACTGTCTGCCATATGACATGATTGAAATGTGCACGATGTTTTCATATTTCATGTATATGCAGATACATCCAAAACAGCAGAAATAAAATGCAGTATACGATTCTTTAAGACGGGTGCATACCTATGTTCCCCAATACCTATGTTCCCCAACCCTAACCCTAACCCTAACCCTAACCATCTTACCCTATAACCCTAACCCATTTTGGGGAACATAGGTATTAACATCGGGTAGACCCCCTATAAGGCAAGCGTGGACTGCTCGCTCAAATATAGGGGATCGGGTAGATTTTTTGCTGAAATGTTGCATGGGATGTCCCCAGAGTCAAACGTAAAGCAATTTTAAAGCAATTTGCTCTGGAAAAGGGGACAACAGATTGAAATTACAAACTATACCTCTAATACCGTGATCAACCGACAGCCATTTCTGTATCATATTATTACAGCTACCTTTGCGCAAATAATAGATGACAGGTGTTAAGGCCATGTGTTTTAGCTGGCTGCAAATCGATAATGTAAAATTAATGTGATTGTTAGGGAATTTTTCCCCCGACAAAAGGTCCTATAGAATGGGAATATAATTTCCTCCCATCAACTGTCTGCGTATATCGAGTTGTAGACCGATCGATCACACGGGAGCGCCATGATTACTTCCATCGGCATGGCAACATTTCGTTAATGACAAAGGGTTCATATTATTTTAGTGTTGATACAAATTCCCGTTACTATAGATTAAATTTCAACCTCGAAAGATAAGGAAGGTGGTGTACAAAGCGCCCGTATGGAATTATTATGCCCGTGGGTTCGAATCCTGTTGGAATCCCAACTATTAATAACAAACAATGAATTGAACTCCTATGAAACACACTGTACGGCAATTACTATGTATAGATGAATTCAAAGTGATTGACCGATTATCTTGTCCAAACTAAAACTTCTGTTTCTAAGTTTTCATGAACCATTCTTTTGGTCGACTTCGAGGCTTTTCATTGATTTTTTTTCGCATTATGCCTTCTCGAGCTTGTAAGTGGTGTCTGAATGTTGGTTTAAAGGACACGCAATGTATTTTTTTATTCAAACCTTGAAAATACACCTTTGTGTTCCATTTAACCTATTTTTTAATTTTAAAGGGTGTTTTGGTGCCTTTTTATGCTGATAAAAATTTGCATATTCATGAGCAAAGCTGTGATGTCATTCCGGGCAGAAGCCTCAAATGTCACAGCTATGTAAGCAATAAAAGTAGCCAGAATTTGGGATTTTGTGCTGTCACAAATTTTCTTTTCTTTGGGGGTTGTTGTTTTGCCAGTACATGGCAGTAAGCCAATGAGCAAACTTTCTGACGGATGTTTCAATGAGCAAATTTGTGGGTTCACAATTAGAACAGAAAGCCTTTAAACTGAAGTGCCTTCCTGACATGACATCACAGCAAGAACGCCCTCTGTTGTCCAGAAATGCAAGAGAAATATTAAAGATTTAAAGAAACGTACTTTTGAATAAAATTTTAAAAACGGATGTCACATAGTTTTCATACATTTAAGATTACAAAGTTGAACAAAATAATTATGTTCTTAATCAAAATTCATGCCATGGACCAATTTAATTGTATCCGTCTGACAACATTTGACTAAAATATACAAAAGTAATCCTAACGCGATACATCATCAGTCATAACTCCGACGTCTTAAATTTATATCTCGTCGAAGTAATAGACATTTCCTGATAAATATTTGCCGACTTTATTACAAAAATTATCAATAATTAACTATACTGCGTATACCTCCATTTTTGTATCGGTATATTAATATTCTTGCACCGTCGATACGCAGGAATTGTAAATTTGAATTTAATTGAAATAGAAATTGTCGAGCGCCCGTGATTGATTGGAATTTCGTGCATATCAATACTTCTGAGATATTAAGATTCGATCCGATAACTATTATTATATCGTACTTTCCCTAACAAAGGGGAATATAATTATGCTGTACGTTTAATGTTCGTGTTATTGAAAGGCATCTGTCTCATATACTATCCGCCGTGCTTGGAGAAAAAAAACTTGCCATTTCAAAAGTCCATTTGCCAATTTTCTAAACTGACTAAGAACACTACAAAATCTATCCAGAGAAATGTAAGTGATGCTCTGCAGTTCACACGTTAGTACTGTTAACTATTTTTATAGGTATCTTTAGTTAAAACGATAATAATTACATTGTGTAGGTGATTCGCCGATATCTTTATCATCCCACTACCTTTTTCAAACCACTCCGTCCGACATTCAGATTTCAACCCTGTTATGTGGGGCGAGGGTACTCAGGGTAGACCTATATGTGTTATTGGAAAAATCTCAATGGCCATTGAAGTGTTAATTCTGAACTGTTGCAAAAATATAGCTCGAGTGAATCAATTTTGGCAAAATTTTGAGTTGGCAAAATTAAATTCAGACATTCACATATTTATGCAACTGTAAGAGAGGCTCGATTTGTTGCTAATACGCTGTGCTATGCATACTCGAACCGCTCGGGAACTGTCACTTCATTGCAATATGCTATCTCCGTGCACTTTTGACCAAATACTAATCCCCAAAAGCGGTCCGCGGATCGCATGTGTCGCCTTTTTCCGTGGTTAAAAAGTCAAATGTGTACATTTTTAAACAACATCAAATGACCCCTAGATGACATTTGACCTCCGATTTCGGACGAGTTGTAATGCATGAACCCCCACCCAAGGATCACTCCATCCAAGCGACATTAGAATCCATCAAATTCTCCAGACAAAGAACACTTGAAGCATATTTGAACAATGACCTCTAATGACCCCTACATGAACTTTGACCTCAGCAATCATCCGATGAAGAATTGTGTCTACCGCTCATGGGTATCATCAAACTACATGAATGTTGTAAACTTTCCCCCAAAAAATGTGAATTACATCATAATTAACCTCAGTTGACCTTTGACCTATGATGACATTTGACCGAAAATATAACCCTCATTATCTTTGCTACTCAATAACCCTTGTGTCCAAGTTTTATGGAAGTTGGGGTGAATGTTTAGGAAATGACAATTCCACAAACTTTAACATCATACATACGGGGCTACGGGGCTACGGGGCTAGGCTACAGGGCTAAGCTGGTCATACAGAATGGGAATCAAACCTCGTTATAGAGACACGAAAATGTTTCCCAAGATAAGCTGAAAGTTATACCTCCCGTGTGCTTCACATTGTATCGTCCACATACATAACGAAATACCACCGAAGTGTGCATCATGAGTTTGAGTTAGTAATGGGCCAGCTGGGCTGACAGTCTACATTGAAACACATTGAAACAACAACATTCTTTTGAACAATGGCTGCCGAAAGTATACGCAAAGACATGTACACGTACCTTGTGTGTTGAAACGTGCAACGCAGTGAACGCAGTGTAGGCCTAGCCTGCATGCTCAGGGCCACAGTCAAGTCCCGAAGAATACTGACCCAAACTTTCCGGATAGAATAGGCCTAATGTCCAGTTATTACCAAAGTCGTGTGCTGTCTGCTTGTCGTTCCCCTCCGTACGTACGGCTCATGGGCTTGTGTTTACGTTCCGCCACTGCCCAGCGTCGCCAGAATGTGTCTGCACAACCTCGCTACGTGCAACGCGTGTGCTGTTTCACATCAAAATACGAGATTCGTCGTTTCCCGCCAAAACACACTTGGTGCAGTGTCAGAACGTCTGCTCGCAGCGTGGCTGTATACAGAACGCATGACGTAGAACGTCGGCCGTTGCTTAGCACGTGGAAATGTGACGGTGCTGATTGGCGCTTTTCGTCCGGGGCAGATTCTCAAAAAGCGATACGCATTGTTAGTTTCAATTGGACCATAACAGCATTGGAAATCACCATCATTCAACATAATTGTCTTTATCATCAAATATTACCAGCAGTCATAAGGTTATTATTACATGCGCAATAATTAAACTCGCGACCAGTGGCGGCGCTAAACGGAGGAGGGGCATGGAGGACATTTACCCCCAAGTTTTTTCTTGCCCCTCCCCAGTCCCCCCCCCCCCCCCCACTGTTTTCCCTCAACAATTTATCTACAAATCGATTAATTATGTTATTTTCTTCGCTGTTAAGATTCATAACAAGGTGCAGATAGAGAGCGAATCCTCGGTTCTGTGGACACATTTGGAGCCAATGAAAGCACTATTTGGTAGACAACACACGCCACACATGCATTTCTACCGCAGTCGATAGTGCAGCATACGTCTTTGTACATTAAAAAAAACTCTACACCATTCTGCGGTTTGATACTTTTTTCATTCATAAAAACGACTTCACTTCTTCTGGCTAATTTCCAGACCACAGAATGCCATTGACAATGGGAACGCTCGGCGTACTTTTAGTTGCCATTTAATATAACTAGTGCAGTGCCCGTCTAAAATGTGCATGTTCGGGAAACGCAAATTGCTTTGCCGCTGGTATAGGTTGCATACTTGCAGAGTTTTGGAGAACTGCTCGTGCAAACAACGCACGCGATTCAATGGTGTTGTTTTCACAGGTTGAACGCACACTTACGTCAAAGTTTGTGCCAAGTTTGAAGTTCGACCACCTACAATGGTCGCTCAGTCGACTGCAAAAATAATGTGCCCGTGTACATACGAAAACATGGTATGCAGTGCTATTCACCCATACTGGAAAATGTATCGCCCTACAATGAACGTGCGCGTGCCCGTCCTTTTTGCATTGTTTGCGTCATATTGAGCACGCGCGCTTTAGCTTAAACATGACGTAAACAATTGAAAAGAACGGCAGTGCGTGGTGTTATGTTCTAAGCTGCCACGTTTGCCTCCAAAAATACTGCTTTTTTGCAGCTTTTTCGAGAACCGCTCATCCAAACCACTTCAAACTTGGCACTGCACATTCTGTGGCCCCGAGCAATACACCCGCCGATTTTCAACTTCATACGGTGCCCGGTTCTGGAGATAATTGACGGACAGACAGACAGACAGAGATTCCTGGAATAATAGTAAGATGGGCTCTTCCCCACTTTCCCCTTAGATTTTGGATATCACCGATTTTATTTTGACTGCCCCAAAAATATTTCCTTGCCCCCCGGCCCCCCATTCCCCCCCCCAAAAAAAAGCTTGAGTACAATGTTTACTTCTGAGGGGGTGTGTTCCCAATACTGATGTGCCCCAAACCTAACCCTAACCCTAAGGATTTCGGGGAACATCGGTATTGGGGAACATATTGGGGAACATCGGGTTGACCCCCTTTTGGGGCACCAAAGTGTGGAGTGAGAACTCCATGAACTTAAAAATCACGCTAATTTTGAACCATTATAACTCTCACTTAAAAAGGGGGCTTTAAAATGTGATCTTTAGCTGTGGTGATGGAAACAGTTTCACCTTGACAGAAGAATGTTCAGATTTACGTTCAGTACCTGCGGTAGCAGCAGCTCTGACATAAATCAACAGCTCGGAAACAAATCATGCGCATCGGCTTAACAAGCGATTTGTAAACAGTAGCGAGCGTGCACTCGAGATTCGAGAGATGGGTGTAGAGGCAATTTATAGCCCGCTGTCATTTCGCTCCAGCCCCGGTGGGATCGGGCCCCCCGATTCGGGGGTTATATGGCTCGTGGTGAACGGAGAGGGCCAGGGAAGCTGGAGATATATTTTACGCCTTAAGGAGTCGGCTTAATGTAATCGTCGAGGTGTACACCGTTCTTGGTGTTTACTTGGCCATTCTGCAACATGACTGAACCAACAAACAATGATTTGCCGGCAACTGCCGTTATGAAACTGGAACTAAGTTATCTTTTTATTTTCTTCAAGGAACGTCATATTTGCATCCGAATGGTTAACCAAAGTGTATTGCGACACAAATCATAACACACTCGTTTTAAAATAATTTTATTTTATTAATTTCATTCGATAAAAAGTTGGTCTTCTTGATGATGAACGTTTCATCAGTCAGATTTCTAGAAATGAATGTCAGATGTATCGTAGCTTTTATTTATATACTGAAATACAGGTATGTTTTGTGAAAATTTCGAAAACCATATGAGACATTCCTTTTGGGTAAACTTTAGGACAATTTTTTAAACGTTTGTAAAGTGCAATTTTTTTTACATTTATGATGTTCCATGTTCAGTTTCCTGACAATTTGGGGCTCTTGTTGAGTGTCCTTTAAGGTACACAGTCTTCAGTTTTTAGGCGTTTCCTGATCAAATTGTGTACCCAGAAATGTGCTCACGGAAACTGTTCGTGTATAAAGTTCCGGTGTCATATGAAAATCCGACTTTTATGAAAATCGGACCCCTTTTCTCTATTATTGGTTAATCCCTCGCACGTGACGGATCACTCTCCTGTATGTGCTCCTGAAAAATAGCATATTCTCGTACTTACGCATGCGCAACACTACCAATGAGTCCACATTTCATGGAGTCGGATGTTCACGCTACATCGGCTCAGTGCCTACCCGTCACGTCCTGAAATAACAAACTTATAACACAAAAACAGTAATATTTATCACAGCGATAATCCCAAATTCTGGCAGCTTTGGTACTGAAGCAGCAACACGTTTCTCCCTTGAAAAACATCCTGTTTTCCTCGTAAAAATATGAACATTTGGATCGGCATAGAAACCAGAAAAGCAAAAAAACACCCTTGAAAATTATGAACAATTTAAAATAACATTTAATGGGACACAGAGATATACATTTTCAAGGATTGCATAAAAATTCTACTTCATGGGCCCAAGCTATATAAACATAAAAATAAGCAGTGGCCTCAAACGGAAAACTCATGAAGAGGTCAGTGGCCTCCTCTAGCATAAAAAGCTAGCCATGTGCCTGTAATTACGATCATGATGTTGATATGGACATTATCACACTGGAAAAAACCAAGAGTAAATCTATCTTGAAGATGTTAATAAAAAAAAAAGCAAGAACACACAACTGACGAGAAGATATTGCAATCTGTGATAGTCGGAATTGACGTACATGTCCATAGTTGTGTTTGTTCTGTTGATTTCTGCTGTTTGTTTAATAAGATGCAATTAATCAAGTAAGCCCGTGTGTTTCTTGCACCATGTTGGGCTAGCATCACTCTAAATGGCAGATGCAGGGAATTTTTTTCTCGACACATTCTGTGCAGCCTTTCTGGCAAGAACCACAAACTACACTAAAAAAAAATATAATCCTTTTCAATGTTGACTGCTTCAACTTCTCTGGTTGGTTGGTTGGTTGGTTTGGTTTGGTCCCGTCATGACTAACAGCTCGTATACCTCAACAATGTTTCCCAATGGAGGACGATCTGCAGCAATCTGAGCTGCACCTCACGGACAGAGAACATCCAGTTAGAGCTTGATTCTGTCGATCAGTCTTGTTCTGGGTCCTCATCTCCTTCAGAATCCTTTTGTCTTGCCCTGCAGCATATCACCTTTTCAATTTCTGTACATTCGCAAAAAGTCGGGCGATTCACAATGCAGAGCGCCACCAATAGTTTGCCAAGGAGAGTTCATTTTTCCCAGTGCATTGTGGGAGATGGTCGACAAATTCGCACCTCGGGACATTTGAAATTTTCGTTTTTTCCGGTCAATATTTTCGTAAGCGTATGATTCGAGTATAATATGTTTGCCCTTTTATTTTCTCTGTATCAATATGGTGATATTTTGTAAGGCGGCAGAATATGCCCCTATCTATAATAGCTCAAGTTGTCTACTGACACTCATTCAAATGGGCCATATTTTGTCGACCGTAAACTTGAAAAGTTGACTCTCCATGGCAAACTCTTGGTGGCGCACTGCATTCTGAATCGCCCGAATTTATAGAAAAAATTTTTTGGAAAATCTGAAGCAAAATCTGAAAGAATGTCGGTCTGTGCGTTATGGGAGGGGGGCTCTTCGAGGCTCAAGATAACCCTTATACCTAAGCAACATTTATGCACTTCGCAATTCGAAAAACTATCGAGATTCACCGCGGGAAATATAATCCAGTTGTGACGCTCACGATGGATCTTTTATAACACCTTTGCAAGACGGAGCCGTAAAGTCCGAGACTTGTGCCAGAACCGGCCTTGATCATATCTTACTGATGCAAACATTTATCAACAGTATATATCCTAGAGCTATCAATACACACATTTCAGAAACAAAAGTCAGACCCATCTCTTAATTTGGTCAAGTTGACAACAATCTCCGTACGTTTTACCCAAAAAAAGTCCAGTGCGAACGCGGCTGTAGGCTAGTTTCTTGGGTTACAAAACCCGGATGCGCCAGTGCGTCGTAAGCGGCAAATATAAGGCTATAGAATCAACAAGTGTACAGCCTGTTGGCAATGGAGATCGAGTTCTGTATAAAAATCAATATCGATCACTGTGTTTATGACAGATAATGCATCGAGCACAATCACAAAATCCAGACGTAGGATTTCTACACACGTTTTATAAAGGTCAATGCACTGTTTTTCAACCTCCTGACATGTTAACTCGCCATCATGTTTCCCGCCTCTCTCTTGGGCACGAGGAATTTGAGTGACATGACCTGTAATCACCTGCAGACGCCGATCATGTATGTTTTCTTTGCATGTATTATCTGCTCTGGGATAAACCATGCATTGATGTGATATTTCAGAAGCTTCAGAGATCGATCCATGTTTTTTTTCTGGTCCCATCAGAGGGCCATTGATAGGTCATTTTCTGTATACGGCCCCAGAATCTGGAACAGACTTCCAGAATACATTAGAGATACCACCTGACTGCATACATTCAAGACACTCCTGAAAGCTCACCTGTTTCAGGAGGTGTACCATCAATAAGTTTTCTTCTTTTTGGTGCCCCATCAGCGCCTTAGAGCAAACCTTTTGATTTTGGCGCTTTATAAATTTCTTTTGATTGATTGATTGATTGAGGGCCAGCCTAGGGCATACTTTCTCACTGGCTGACTCACTGACTCACTGATTATCACTTGTCAGCCGGGCAGTGCTATCGTATAGGATCACCTTGTAGTAGTAGTGCAAATGAACGGGCTATAATTCCTGCCAATAGACACGGTAGACCAGATGTATAAAACAATTTCCAGTGAAAAGCCATTCTGAAGAATTTGAATGGAAATTTGTGCCGGTGTGATGTGAAAATCGGACTCCTGGGAACATCGGACTCCTTTTTCTTTTATTGGTCAAACCCTCTCACGTGATCGGTCCCTCTCACAGTTATATATGCATGAGCATGCGCAATACCACCAATGAGTCCGTATTTCATAAAACCTAACTTCACGCCACACCTGATTCTGGTACCAGTTTGACGAGGTTCACCTTGTTTTGTTTTCAAGCCCCCTTGCTCCCTCCACCAATATAGGTCACCTTGACGACAAGGCCAAAAACATATTTCTATGCATTAATAACCATTCAGTAAATCCATTAGTATCCCTTTCATAACGTTTTTGTGATAATTCTTATACTAAACATTTACGGTGTAATTCTTAGAATAAGTTGTATACGCCTTTTCGTTTATTAGCTTTAGAAATTAGTAATTCTGATGGTGTGTGCCAATACTGACTGTTTTAAAAAGATGTCTTAGTTATTACTCCTTGATATGAAGACGGTTTTAATTTCAGGGTTTTTTTTGTCGATATGATTCGTTTTTAGGATAGGCCTGCAGTATAAGTGTCATCTGAGGACATTAATGTCAACAACGGTATCAAATTCCATGTTTGGAGTAGCTCGTTCGATCTAATCACGGTGCTGCCCGTCGCGTTTTTAAAAGGACGTCTTATCACTTCATGTTGGAAACGTTGAAATTTCAGTTCCATATCATTCGTTTGTCTAATATGTTGCAGTATGTGCCCGTAGTGGAAAACTAATGTCAAAAACAGTATCATATTCCATGTTTTTATGTAACTCGTTATAGCTCCTTCTTCCTGAAAAAAACCCAAAACGAGAACACGCTATTTCAGTATGCGAAGTACGAGGCGAAAAGTACGCCAAGCTGGGTGAACTTGGTCCAGATTTTCCGGCCGCACATCGGGCCATCCGCACTCACGCACTTACCCCGGTCATAGAGTTAATAGAGCGAATCCACGTTTCAGGTTTGAACCTTTCGGCGATGCTCTTTTACTCCCCCGCCGCGCTTTCAAAAAAAGAAGAAGCGATTCTGCGTCAATTCACGGATCGTTCGCAGGGCATCTGTCAAAATAACCCTTCCTGTCAGACACGTCAGACTCTCTCTCGTCAGGTTTCCATAGAGCAAGGAACAGACCCCCAAGTTATGAGTCACACGTGTTTATTTAAACTTACATGACGTACTTCGGTTTTTTAAAAATAGCTGATCCGCCAGTTCCGGCGGAGATTGTTTGGCAATTTCTCGGACTTTTAGTTGCTGAGGAAAAAAAAAACCCGAGGTTCAGTGACATATTCCGTTCTTACGGAAATTCCATAACACAAAAGTGCCACGGATGAATGCCTAGATTCAGGGAAGCATGCGGATTAGAAAGAGAAGCGCCCTCGCAATTTAAATCTGTAAGTGCGTTTTCAAGAAAGTTGATAGGCCAAAGCGGCCTTTGAATAATCTCGTCAATCTAATTCTTCCGGGAGCTATTCTCATCATTTTTTAAATACGTCTGAGGAATTCGCCTGCGGAACGGACATGGCTTAAAATATCCTGCTTCGTTCCAGCTTCAGTCTGACGAAGGGCAAGAACGGAAGGTTACAGAAATGTTCTTTAGGACCGGGGGCATCGAGGGGGCGCTGTTCAAAATACACATTGTGTATAATGTTTACTATGCAAGGTAAAGTATGTCCCTTGGATACGTTCTTGTCTCCCGCAAAAACGGAAAAGGTTACCAATGTTTTTTTCTTCGGCCAAGATTCGGTCTGTCTGTAAAAGTTTCACTGATATTCAGCTATGCATGAAAAGATGCAGGCCTTTCTTTGTGACTGCCAAAAAAACACAACCAACACAATGTTTTCTAATTATTTGTAAAGGGATATTTAACGTTATGGCCAGCACACTGCAAGACCAAGCGTAAATGGCAAGGCCACAGTTTAGTGCTGTCCAAAGGGCCTTGATGGTCAGAACGTTTTATGAAACAGGTATAGGGTACAAGACATGGTAGGTCAATTGGGAGAACACTTTCCAGCGGTACGGCTGGCTCACGCTCGGCCGGACAGTGCGCAGAAATGTTTTAAAATACGGACGAAATTAAACAAGCAAGAACCTGAACAGGACAGTGAAAATGTGAACCTTATCTATAAATTCAGTTTCAAGTTATGTAATTCCATTTAATTGATGTCATGTTCTGTTGTTCTTTTTATTTCCTTCATTGTCCAGAGGCCCATTGTTGATATTGTGTTGATAGCGAAAGGCCTATTCTGAGCATTGTATTGGTAGCGTTTTGGGGCAGTCACAAAGAAAGGCTGTATCCTTTTCATGCATGGCTGAATACACGTATCAGTAAAACATTTACAGACTGTGGTCAATACGCAGACATTCGGCCGAAGAGAACAATTTAATAACCTTTCCTGTTTTTGTACGGGAACATTTTTTTTCACTGTTAAAATTAATTTAAGCTAAAACTGCCATCAGACCTCTTCGGGTTTTTTTTTAATCATTTTCTTTTTGCTCTTTTGTGTTCGGGGTTCAAAACCCCGAAACCAACCCGTCGCCAAGTCACCGACAGTGCGCGTGAACCCATTTGAGACTCACACAACACAATCCTCGATCAAACTCCCCAGCTTATCAAAATATCCTATCCTCACCTGAATCGAATTTCACAGGGGATAACAAAAAAGCATCTAGAGTTCTTCTTTTTGATTGTGCTAAATATTCCCCTCTAATGGCGTATTGTTTTTACACCTGCGTGTTATGAAAGCTCAGGTAAAACACGATAATGCAATCAAAATTCCCGCCAACGGATGTTTGCAAATTTGTTTAATTTGACTCGGCTGGATTTACCGATCGAGACGTCACGGATTCAGGCAAAATCGGATGGGTTTCGGAGACATTCGGTAAACTGCCTGCGATTAGCAGCCATGCTATACTGTAAAAAGAACTTTGCGTTTATATTCAGCGTTAAAAAACTATTGAGTGGCTCAGAGTGGAAAGGGAGGAATATTATCGCAAGGTAAAATTTGGACCTGTCCATTTCACAAGGTGAAGCCGAGTGAAATGGAAAAGTCCAGATTATACCGAGCGATAACATTCCTCCCATTTCACAATTTCAAAGCCATTCAATATTTGTTTTATATACACGTAACTGACTTATAGACCTTTGTGTTTTCTAAAATCACATGTAGAATATCTGCGAGCGTAGCATCACCCGATCGAACCGCAATGCCACACATTTCAGTCTGCGATTGTCTTAGGATACTTAGGATTACCGTACATGTAATTACTTCCGGTAAACCTTCACACACATACTACTTGGGTCGAGCACTATAGGAGATGAACGGTATTTCCAATATACATGTAGCACGCGAAACTCGGAAACCCGATACTAGAAAAAAAAATGTCCATCTTCTGTACAAATAAAGATGTTTTTGCAGGAAATTTGATACACTGTGCTTTCAGATGAAGGCAATTTGTTATAGGGTTCTGACTACAGGAGGTATACAATCATGTAGTTGTTCGTGGCACAGTTTATAGTGAGAAATACACTGTGAATTGTCGTTCATTCTTTGGGCATAATCCATCCTGGGGGGCTTTCACCAAAATTACCAAACCTAAGGCTAGAATGCACCGCAATTTCAGTTCTATCCTCGGGCATGCAATAAACAAATAAAATAACTTCATGTGATTGCATTTCAAACACTATTCCCTCGCTCAGACTAGCTTTGCATAAGTTATTGCTAAAGGCCTTTCAATTGACTTCTATAACAGGACAAGCAAAAATAAGTCCGATTCCCTTGCTACTTTCTTACAATCTGAAATGTGTATGAAGTCTATACGATGTACATATACCGCAGTGATGGTTGTACCGCTCTCGGCGACGCCATGTAAGTTTCTTTGTTGAATATTCGATGCTGTGAGCAGCAGCCGCATAAGCAGTTCAATGATCATGCAGCATACAATTCGAATTATATCATTTTGCTTCAGTTTTATTTTATCAAATTAATACAAAGTTTGGTAAACATGTAATACAAAGGTGGAAAATGTTCAAAAATATAACTGTTGGCCTTTTGGTTCCGACCTACTTATAAAACAATTGTAAGGCACCTTAATGACGTGGGTCAATTTCTTACAAAAACCCATTATGAAGTTTATGTGAAAGCTGTATAAGTTTAGTGCAAATAGATGAGATAGTTACGTGGAAGATCGAACTCCATTCGGCTGATGTCTTGAAGTGGAATGGACAAAGGAAATGAAGATAAAGTGTAGTAAAGGCTAGTTCCCTGTAGTGATGTTAGATTGTTGCTGCACTTGTAACTGCACCATAGGTACCAGACTATCTCAGTCACAGACTACACCCAAAAGACACTAAGTAACGTATAGACTGTTAGTACAATGTGCTGTCATTAATTTTGGTATTATGCGTGTGCAATGTATATCTATTGTAAATTGGAGTCCAGTGAGTTTTTAATAATAAAAAAACATAATAATTTTTACAAAAGAGGTGAAGGTTAGACTATTTTGAATTAATTATCTGCAATAAAATATATGTTTCTCAGAATTGTCTGTGTAATCCAATAATCCGAGTCATCCGTGTAAAATCAACCTTCGATTACTATGAAAGGTCTTATAATCTTACTGTTTAAAAAATTGTACTTGTAACGATCAGTTCACACACGAAACCAAGCTCACTCCTCAATGGTTACAGGTGCCTGTTGGCACCTTTTCTTGACCAATCGGAGGCCCTGTCTGATGATAACGCCCGGTGTACTATCTAGCAGGCCTTGAGGGCGCTGCACACGGTGCTCGGGGTCAGGTAGGTATCGATGATCATGTCGACGATAGGGGGCAGCAGATCTGCAACCTCAGTCTTGCACTGGCGAGAAAAAGGAGGGAGGTTGTGTAAGGAACAACTCTTTGAGGTTTCAAAATAAAAACGGTGAATACATTTTATTTTTTAACTGGGGCTTGATAAGGTGACGACTTAGTGATTGTTTCCTCTATATTTCTCTAAACTGTATTTTAAATTTTGGAGATCTTCAATATTTACTGAATTTTTCAAATAATTAATTTCTCATTAAACTAAAGAAGACACTCAGAGAGCGAAAACGGTACCTCCATCAAGGCTAAACAATTTCCCACTGTTACACACAGCACCAATGCACAATGTGGTTTCTAAAACAAATCCTCAAACTCAAAAAAATTGTAGTTTACATATATGCCTGTGTTGGTCGAACCTTTCTACTCCCCCGTTGTATGAAATGGTCTAGTCCGTTGACTTGTGTGGTTAGATTAGGTGGGTGATAAGGCATACAGGATAACGGGGTCAGTCCCACGCTCCCACAGGGTGACAGTTTCCCATGGGTGAAAAATCCTTTAAAAAATCCTGCATTCAGACACAGATCTGGACCACTTCCAAAATCTAATCGATTTGTACTTGTACCAAGGACCACCTCTAAATAAAGGTTTCATGAAAATCGGTCCATAACTTTTTCATTTATCGTGTCAACAGACAAACCAACGCCGGTGAATACATTACCTCCTTGGTGGTAATGTTTGGTGGTAATGTTTAATGGTAAAGGTAATAGACCTTAATAATGATCCAATAACAATATTGAATGATGTTTTTTGTGCAAAAGGGAACTTGACAATAAAATCAAGATGGCCGCCGCATGACAACGTTCTATTTTAAAGCCATGAGCTTTCAGCTTACCTCAGCAGTACTGGTAGCAGGAAGTCGGTCACAGAACAAAGCAGCAAGAGAAAGCAGTTTCGCGTTGATGGCGTCCTGTTAATCAAGAATTAAAAAAAGAAACATGAATATTCACATGTGCAAATTTCCATATTTATAATAATAATATTTTGTCGTAGGACTGAAGCATGGTGGAAAATTTCATGGGTCGATTTAGAAACGGTACTTGGCAAGAATGGATACGTACCTTATTGTCTTCCATGTACTTCTGGAGTATTTCAACCTCGTACTCACAAACATCGCACTGCCAAGAGAACTGCAAAAAAAACACATCAAAACATAATATTATATCCATGAACATAGCCTAATCCTAAGATTTATAACAAAACCAAGCTATCGTTTCGGTTTGCGGTAACACCATGTGGTAATAACTACTGCTTAGAAGATATTTAGTTCTAAAAAAAAACTTGTCCTGCTTATTATCAACTTTCACTAAGTAGTTTTTGTTCTGATAAGAACAGTCCTGCTTTCAGTTCTAAAAGAACTTGTCTTTAGTCTCAACGTTTCGACTAACCAAGCTACATGTTTTGTGGCATGTTTTGTAGTTTCTTTGACAGAACTACCACTTTTCTTCTAACCGCTACTTTTCTTCTTCAATACATGTATTGTTTAACATTGTTCTGATCAATGCGCGCGCACAAGCGAAATTACGCCCTCAAGAGTTGTTATTTTCTATTTAGAGCGCCCTCGTCGATGCGAATGCAGAGGCGATTTGCATATTATGTGTACATACACGTAGTTGTGTTATTTGAAGTAAAGATTGGTACCTGCACTGGCTCCATCGTGGGTTTTTCCATTGGCTCGTTCGTCGGTTCGACATCAAAGGTGTTAGCCTGGTCAAAGTCTGCTGAAATTTCATTTAAAAAGAAGGACGGTTTCATTATACAGTGTATGTACTAGTGGTACAATGTAAAACAGAAAGGTTGTCATGAGGTTTTTATCACCGCTGTGTTGCCTCGTGTTGCACTGCATATATCGGACAATTCGCACTTATCTAGCTACCACCGGTGATTCTGCATTGCATGCGAAAACTGTCCTACCATAGACCATTATCATGTTGCGGCCATCTTGATTTTTCCCCATTCAAATCAACGTAACCAAAGCGAGACTGGAAGGGAAAATAGTCTGATTCCTTTTTGCACAAAAAATATCATTCAGTACTGTTATGGGAAACAGGGAACATGACTGAAATGGTGGGAGCATGATAAAGGTCTATTCAGTGCAACATTATACATTGAACCTGTAATGTACCTTGATTCCGGTCTGTATCTGGCGCTGACCGTTAAAGGATTGCAGTTTATGGGCCAAGTTGTTGGTGTACTTACCAGTATTGATGATAGTATTGATGCGGACTGCGGATCGCTGTTTCCTGTTTCCCCTGTTTGGCCAGAAAGGCTTGGCTGGCGATGCACCCTTACGGTTGGCCAAGTCAGGCTTCTGCCAGGTGTTTCTACGGGGGCCTGAGCTGCTGCCTTGTCGGTTGGGCCTAGGGCCGAAGGGATTCCTGGGGTCTGGATGGAAGTCAACGCCGGGGACTTCGACATTGGGAATTTCGAATTCTGGGACCTCGACATTGACGGGGATTTCGACATTTGGGATTTCGTCATTGATTGGGATCTCCAAGTCAGGGATTTCAGTGTCGGGAACTTCAACTTCGGGAATCATCGGCTCTTCGGGGAGGGCTGGTTTGTTACCCCAGGGTCTGTACGGCCTCATGTCAGGCTTCCACCAGGGTCGGATGTCCGGACGGGGCATGTCTCTGTCGGGATGATGGTGGGGTCCATGGTGGGGGCGATCACGGCCATCGGGACGGTGATGTGGGCGGTCGTGGGGCTCGTGATGATCCGGACGGTCGGGGTGCTCACGGGGCTCGGGGCGGGAGCCGGAGTGTGGGTGATGGTGCCAGTCGTGGCGGCGGCCCTTGTCGGGTCCGTCCATGTCCGGCTCCTCGGAGCTGTGATTGTGGCGGCGTTCTCCGTCATGCCGGTCCCAGTACGGTCTGTACGGGTGGCGTCTCGGCTCCGGCCCGGTGTTGGGGCGGGGACGGGGTCGGGGTCGGGACCAGGGGCGGCCGGAGATGAAATCCCCGTCGAAGTTGTCAGGAATGAGGCCCGGGAACAGACGGCTGAACATGTTGAAGGGGTTGTCCCGACCACTTGTGCAAAGGCCGATGATCTTGCAGGTTTGATTGTTCTAGAAAAGAATTAAGGGCCAAAAATCAAACAAAGATTTGTTTCAGTCACGATATCCACATTACAGAGCTTCAATAAATTCCGGGGAAAAGATCAAATTCAATATATAAATGAGTTTTAACGAAACGACAGCTCTGAAAAAAATATATCTCAGTTGAGTACAGGAAGCATTAATAGTCAATTCTCTTTTAATTTTTCATTTTATGGAAACTTATTTTCAGCAAATTTTGTTGGTTCAAGTAGGCCTAAATACACCTCTCTTACGAAAGTATTATTGAATTTTACAACAACAAAAAAACACATACCTTTTTAAACGATAAATTTCTCATCATCTTCGAGATAAGGTTAAGTTTCATTTGCGTGCTTAATCATTCTTTTTCCCAACCCGCCTTAAGTTCCAAACAATACCGATGTTTCACCTCGCTTTTGATTCAGAATGCCTGGCTCTTGAATAAATTTCGGTTATGTTCATGGAAGCATAACTTTGGTACTTTGTTACTCACCAGATACTGATCCGCAAATGCCGCAATTTCGGCGGGTAAATTCTGGAAGTAGGCCCGGCACTGAGCCTCAACTGGGCACAGGGAGCAACCCTCTGCTAGCAGTGTTGCCAGTTCGTCCTGCACAAACATATAATTCAGATGTTTATTTACAAGTCAAACAATACTTGTAGCCAGGCCCGTTGCCAATGGGGGCCTGGTATAGTAGTGGTCCCCCTAGTTGGTATGGCCCCAGACGCTCAGGGCTGGCGACGGGCCTGCTTGTACCACGACGCGACGCAAAGTAAGATCAAACTTCTCCCATCTCAATCCTCACAATGGATGATTAGTTAAAACATTATCATCGCATCAGTTTAGCCGCGAGAAACAAAAAGAGGTCCACTTACCAGAATTTGTTGGTTGGTCAGTTCATCATGCAGCAAAGTAACGACCTCATTACACCCATCGCACAAGAAGTTGTTTCCCAGGGCATTTCTGATCACTGCATGGACGAAAGAAATTAAACAAAATTATATCATTTAATGTAAACACTAATATCTTCATTAGTTCAGCGTATACGTTCGCTTTCTCTTCCTTATAAGATATTCCCACTTGTTTCCAGATGAACGTGAATTTGAATTTCATTAGCTCTCTTTCTGAACAAGTTCCTTTTCGCAAGAACGTTAGCTTTCCCGCGTAAAGGAGTTTTAAATTAAAGGTTTTATTATGAAGCGCACTCATTGACACTGACAGATATGAATATTTTGAAGTAAGTTACAAGTTCATGAACAGATTATGCTGCTAATTACAAAAACGTGCGATAGTTACAAAGACAATAGAAATTTGAAGAACTTTCAACAAATATTATCGAATTAAGACTACAAAAAGGTATAGTTACTTTGAGACGGTCAAATTGTGTTTCATTTATAAATGTATCTGATGTATCAAATCATTTAATAAATAAACGATAATAATTATGTACATGTACATAGTAATTGATTAAAGTGGGTGTTTACGTGCTTCCTGGGTGTGGCACCTTGAAAAGTAGATTTTGAAACTGAATTGATAATTTTCTAGCATTATACATCAGTTATGAGCTTTCAAATGAGACATCGCACGAAAAAATCGGCACATGACAAGAAATCAATTAATTGTAACTTTTGAATTAAGAGCGGGACGCTGCTAATTCGTTCTACAGGCATGCAACTGGGAAGTCACCAAAAAAAAGAGGAAATTCAAATCTTATTAAGACTTTGTGCAGTGTTTTTCTATTTTAATGGCACACTTAGGGAATTAAAAAAGAGGAAATCAGCGGATCCCAGGAAAAGTTGCATGCCTGATTCTGATTTCTGAATAGTGTGCACAATTTCTGAACTAGAGCGCGCCATTTAAAATGCATTTTTAAAACTGTATAAAGGCCTGCAAAAACAAACAAGCAAATTTATATGTTACAGGACATTATATTCCTCTAAATTTCGTTCGGAAAAGAAAATCGAAAATTTGAAAAAGCAGGAATAAACCAACTTTAAATTGGGAAACTTTTATTTGTCCATTTTTCCTTTTTTAAATCTAAATTGGCTTAATGGCATTGTATGGTGTGCTTCACGTACTCAGTTTGTTGAAGCTTTTCTTGAAGGACTTATGGAGGTAGCGCATCAGATGACCGAAGCCGAGGCGGGGAGTCTCGGGGCGAGTGACTGCAGCCGCGCTGCAGAGCGTCAGGTCTTGACAAACCTCCTCCGGAGTCTGGAAGTCGTAAAAAAAGAAGATAGAAAAAACATTATCAAAAATCAAACCTTGGACTCCCATGTATAGGTCCACACGAGAGGATGAAAAGCCTGCAGAAATGTATGTTTTTTATATCATCATTGATGAAACTTTCGTGACGAAGACTTTCTAAAGTTAATAAAATAAACGATGTAATATTTAACGAAAGGATTATATTTATGATTAAATCTCAATGCAAATGAAATACAGAATTAGAAATTAAAATACTATTATTTATTTATAAAAAAAAACATATCAATAAAGGTCTATTACACGTGACTTTGTGAACTTAAAGGCAGCCCATGAGTTACAGCGCCAGAATTTAGAATGATTAAAAATATGGTCGATCGGATCTCGGAAGCTGCGGGCCACGAATTCGTGTTCATGCATGAGTCACGTGATTGTGCCATGTAATTTCTGGAAGGAGCAGTGTTTTGAGTTTTAAAAATATCAGGTTTTTAAACCCCAGTGAGCCAATGATGACCTTTGACCCCAGATTGGTCATGTGACATGTTGGGGCTGGGCTACTGATACTTTTGACAAAGTTTAGTTGAAATCGGTCAAAATTATGTAGGAGCAATAGACAATGTCAACGTTTGTTACTAACTAACTAACTAACTAACTAACTCCCCAACTAACTAACTAACTATTTAACTAACTAGCTAACTAACTAAGTAACGGAGAGACATGATGATTTGTTGAGATGCTACCTGCAGCAAAAAAAATCAGTTGTTTTAGAGGTTCCATGCCTCGAGAAATCTTTATGCATTAACCGAGAACAAACTTGAATAGGAAAAGGGCTTTCTTTCTTTTGTACAAAAAGGAAATTGGATTGGGAAAGAATCGTACCTGATTCTCAAGGAAGTCGATGATAATTGGTGTCCATTCGTCCACGTACTCTTTGCAGGTGGCGTTGTAAGGAGCTGGCAACAGTGCACAGACTTCATCCAACAAGGCGATAACCTGTGAGGTATTCATTTAAAGTAAGAAATTAAGATAATTTTAAGACGGACTTCCATCGGTATTCCTTTTTTTTTTTAGGACAGTTTTGTGCTACGGGGCCAGACCATTTACCGAAATCGAGCGTCACGTAATGCTGTTTACTATTTCAGGCCCTGAAATGGACTGGTTTAAAGCTCAGTACATTTCGCACACCTGGATGAGGTCCGAACTCTTCGTCAAATTTTGCGTCTTAAAAGTAGAATGGACCATTTGCAACTATTCAAAAAGTAGGCCTAACCGAATTAATTATGGTAAAAAAAAAAGCTTACTTGGTTGAAAGATATTTAATGACACTAAACTCCCTGAGAAATGATTCCTTCTGGTATGGTGTCATTTTGAAGAAAACAATCACAAGAGAGGTCCTTTCCAACGAGACACATTTTTTGGAAACGTCCGTTTGTAGTTGGGCGAATCCGTGAATGGGTGCAAGCGTTGACACGACGCCAGGAGGGCACGGTTACCATTATATGCCGGTTGAGTGTGTAACTACAATCGGCTCACGAGAATCATGTGCCCATTGCTGATTTCGGGATTGTGTTACGAGAGGGCGCAATTCAAAATATGTGTCGGCAACTTTTGAATTGAAATTGTGATCTATAGGATATCGTGTTTTCTCAAAATACATGTTTACAGCATTCACTGAGCTAAAACTTCGTCAGGTTGGTTGCTAAGCAACCGCCTTCAGATTTTGAGCACTTTTGTTGCTGCAAACGAAAAAGTGTTTGCGCACTTAGGCTACAGCGCCCCGCGTCTACGTTTTCTTCGGAGTAGGCCAACAGCCAACCAAACTTCATTCCATAATGCCATACAGTTTTCCACTCTTAGTTGTTCATATAGCGCCCTCTGCTGTTATTGGAAAAGATATTAGAGAAACGCACCTTCTTGGAGTCATTTCCCAGCAGTGACTGCGCTTCCTCGACCAACACTTCGCAGACCTCGCAGAGGATGGGATTGGCTTCAGACTTCTCAACCTCCATCCCAGGCCTGGGCATGACAGGCCAGTCCTCCCGCACATCCGGGATGTGCCGCCTCCAACACAGGCCTGCAATGATATCCCAAAAAATAACATGTACTGTATTGCTTTAGGTCAGGTGATGGGCAACCTCGTTTCCATGGGTACAATCTTGCTGCGCCATGTTGTTTCCCATCATGCCTTGCGCGATCTTACACACGACCATGGAGTCGAGGCTGGGTGATGGGGCGATGTATTGGTTTATTACACTATCTACAGAGGGCGCTTTGCATCCCAACATCAAGCATGAAGATAGACTGGTACCATAATTCCATAATTCTCGCCGGGGCAAGAAAGGGAACCAGACCAGGCTGCCCAGGCAGCAGAAGTGGAATTTACATGGCTGCTCCGCGTTTACTGCCATAGGGCTACGAGAACGTCTACACATTGAATTTGCTTTTTTGTTCTTTCTCCAAACACCGACTTGAGCAAGTCTAATAATTCAGTAAGTGCCCTTTGACCTGAGTACAAACATCACATTCCTGTGGAGGTTAAATGTCGGTTTTCTTTGCAACATAACAGAGGAGAATATTTTTCCCAACTGAAGTCACAAATGCCAAGGAAATCTTTGCAACAGAGGAGAATATTTTTCCCGACTGAAGTTACAAATGCCAAGGAAATCAACATATTTCTATGTATAAAAAACACAGATAAGATTTCAGTCAAATTGTTTTGAGAAAATTGGTTTTGTTTGTATGATAGCCGACCGCCAGTGGTTATCGATATAGCATGAGTTTAGACATTCCATGGTAGCAAGATCTGTAAACAAATAAGGATTTATTGTTCGAAGTTATCAAAACACAGCTGCATAATTGCACCTTTGCTGAGGCTGCATTTTTTTACTTTTAAAACATTTTATCTTCTTGTTTATCTTGTACAAGTCTATCAATATTGTTCTACGATATAGATGATTTACATGCATGTACATGTATATGTTTCCTTCGTTTCGTTTCTGGGGTAACCTTATTTTCATGTTTTCATTATTTTGGAGCGTATTCTTTGCAGGGTGGGGATTGTTGTTTTCACTTTTCATTTATTATTTTTTTAATAATTGTTACTTTTATCTTTCCTTGTTTTAGTTTCCAATGCGAGTTTCGTATATATGCATGTATTTCAGACCCACGAATCACATGTAAAATCTCTATTGTATCGGACTGAAAGGAAAAGTGAAAATGATTTATGAAAATAAGCCAACAGCTAAAGACAGTAGAGACTTGCGAAATTCAATCAACGTCTCGTTGGGATAACCTTTGGAACAGTTTTGTTGTTCGTCATCACAGTTGAACAATGGGTTTCGTTTGTCGGTCACGCCACTTTTGCACTCAAAAAAACAGCCTCACCGGATGTGAACGCCTGCTAGTTCGTCGCACGCTATCCATTCCACGCAAGAAAATGTCATTGAAAAAGGACATGCTTATATCTTTCATTATCGATCGCAGGCCGTCAAACTTATATATGGAACTCGAATGGATCTTATCCAATACTTGAACAAAAGAAAGTATCTCCTTCAAACTTGGATAAAAGCCAAAAAAGGTTTTGTCAAGACAGCTGCACACATGTCACGTGCACCTGCGCATAGGAAATACCTCACAGGAAACAGGTGGCTTCGAACAATTATTTTTCTAACAGTTTCTCAGAGTTTATAGACAATGGTTCAAAAACCAGCAGTACTTTTCAACCCACGACAACATCGATTTTGGCCCTGGCAATTTCCTTTGAACTTAAAGTTCGCTTGGTACCAAGTTTGATCATTCCGTGAACTTCTGAGTTCACTTGGGAAGTAGTTGCAAGTTCAACTCTGCGAAAACCATTACTCAGTATGAAGATGCTGTACCGAAAGGAATACTTATTGTGCAAGGGTGAGAATTTTACGTTCGATTTCACTTGCGAATTGCATTTCATTTTCTCCTTACTAATAAATGATCAAGCTAGATCAGAAATATCTCGGAAGCTGCGGGGCAACGACTTCGTGTTCACACTGATCATGTTCCTTCCTCCATGGTTGAATGACACTGACCTCAACCATAAACCAATGCGCATGCATGAGGCACGTGATTTGTGCCATGTAATTTCTGGAAGTAGTGTTTTGAGTCTTTAAAAAAATCAGGTTTTTACCCCAGTGACCCCATGATGATGACCTTTGACCCCAGTTTGGCCACGTGACATGTTGGGGCTAGGCTACTACTTTTGACAAAGTTTGGTTGGTCGAAATATGTAGGAGCAATAGACAATGCCAAAGTTTGTTACTAACTAACTAACGGAAACGGACTAACGGAGAGAGATGATGAATTGTTCAGCTGCTATCCCAAGCTAAAATTAATATGGAAACTGCATTATGCGTTTCATTTTGGTAAACATTGTCCCCATTCACATACTTGTGAACATTTTTCGTGTTATTTACCCTACACATAGGTCTCAGATAAACCACACAGATAAACAGACAAACCATAAACTTCTGACCCGGTCACGATTCTTCAAGTTCAACGGTGGCCAAATCCAAGGAAACACCGCAGACGTTTTGTTAATGTAATTGCACGTTCGGAAGTTCAGACAGTGACTACCTCCATGCTGTGTCTGACAGCAAATTTTCTGTGAACTTTACGTCCTCTATAAACATAACTGGCTTGCATGGGCTATTTCCTAAAGCAGTTGGGGTGACAATTAATTTACATACTTTCTTTCTGGGATGCATGTACAATTTCCGGAAATTCCGGTCATAAAATCCACATTTTGGTAGAACAAAGAATTAATCTTGACATTTTTCAAAGCATTTTATACAGTAGCACTGATTTTCTTCCGTGGTTTCCCGACCGCCCCTACAAAAAATCGCACATCAAAAATTTAGCACTTGAAACACATTTTCTTTTTTACAAAAGCTTCATAAATGTTAGCGAATTGTTATTCCCAATTCCAAGAAACTACATGAATCGTAGAGCCTTAACATTTAATCAGTGTTCATTTAGCTACTCATACTCCAACTCCAAAGTCCAAACATAAGGTTCAGACTGTCAATCACAAGTGGCACAAGTCTTGCAAGTCTCAACTGACGAGACATTCAAATGAATTGTGACAGCCTTCCTAGTTATAATTTATCCCTGTAGGGCTCCTATACTTGTGATTTTACTGACTGACTTCAGATATCTGGTACCTTAATTAAGAGTCCCTGCTGCTAGGAACCACTTGGGAAAGTTTGCGAGGTTTTTCCACAAAATCTTCCAGCTGTTGTTGCTTTAGGCAAACTTTGTTTATTGACGTAAGCCCGAGAAAGCCTGAGTACGGGGTAAACAAAATTATGGGTCACAGAATGCGCCCTACTTTTGGAGAGGCAAGGTTGTCTGTCCCAAGGGCGGATCCAGGGGGGGCCAAAGGGGGCCATGGCCCCCCCCAAAACGAAACCAATTTTTTTTTTTTTTAATGTGACATCGCAATAAAGGCAGGCAATGAGTACACCACCATCTTTTCCTCAAAAAAAATTGGTTAAAGTGGTCAGAAATTGCCTCAGATCGCACCACAGAGCATCTAGAATCCAAAAATTTTTCGGGGCCCTCACGGGCCCCGAACCCCACGCCGTAATTTTTGAGACCCACTTTTTTGGGGGGGGACCAAATTTTTTTTTGGCCCCTCCCAAAATTGTGTTCTGGATCCGCCCTTGGTCTGTCCATGGTTAGTCCATGTTCGGCTCACTTGAAATCAAAATGAGTTTTGCAGTTACACTACGGTTCAAATGTATTCTCCAAGGCCTCAGTGCAGCTTATCGATCATGCATGATTACGGAGCGTGTTGGCACACAACTTACACAAACCATAGAGCGCTATGCACAAGCAAGCAGCCTTATCGGTGCTGAGAAAAACAAAGAGAAATCCTTCAACGGTAAACAAGCTCCAAATCAGCAGGCATCGCCAGACCCGATAACAAGAAAACAATGGGGCACATCAGGTGGCAATTACCCGAGACATGTTGGGTAACATGTGGTTATTATATGTTTTCGTTGTCTTATTACTAGTAGGTCGTTGATAATGTACTGGGTTTTTTTTTTGGTCTTGTCTGAGTTGTCTTGAACTTGAAGTAAACGACTCATACTCTTCCCAAAACAGGCACAGAACTAGATTGGTTGAGAGGCAGTGCTACAAAGATTTTCTATAGTTGAAGTTTGTTGAATCATTGTTCAGATCTCCTTTGGCTTACTACATTCATAGAGCAAGGAGGTAGAATTCTACCTCCATGCTACATTGCACATACGACATTCCAAACACGGCATTATATTCTTTGACGTGTAACATAATTATGCCTTTAACTAATTAAGATAAACATGCCAAAAGATCAATACTACTCCAAAATGTCCACATTGAACTGACAAACTTCAAGCAGTTGCGGCAAACAAGCAAGTATTTTGGTCAAATCGCTCATTAAAAAGCAAGTGATACGTATTTTTTCTCTATGGCTCTACATGCATTGCATGTCTAGCATCGGCGGTATATACGGGTGCAATTTCTTGCGCACTACTCGCAGTCGAGTCACGAGATACAATTCCATCATTATAAAGCAAACGATACCTGAGGTTGCCTGGAAAAGGTGGAGTGGGGTGCATTTGACACGAACACATGCTGAAAACATTAAATCTACACTGAACAACAAACACCTTCACAAAATTGGTCCGTCATAGAACAGACGCATGTACCCAATTAAATGTTCACGATTCTGAAAGGAACAAGAAGCATGTTTCACAATACATGCATATGTACATATCAACAACATAAGGATAAGAAGGAAAACATGAAGGAAGGAAAACTACATAACACATCCTTTTTTCCCCAGATTTTTACAGCCATGAACATTAGAGAATCGGAAACAATATACTGGAGCACATACTTTCACATCTAATATAGACTGATACTTAATACAGGAAAGAATTCATCCACTTTTCTTTCACCACAAAATGTAAAACTGTGCACAGAAGAATTTGATAACTTACCGCATCCGACGAGCGAAAACAACAGCAGCAGGGTTCGGAGGGCCATCTTTGTAGACAAACTCCTCCCTCAGTGACTTAGTAATAAAATGATAAGGAACCAAAGCCCACTGTTTTTTATACTATACGCTCTACTCTGCCCCCGCGTAGTCTGTTCAGATAAAACAGCTGTTGACCGGGTACCAGGGGTCACTGTTAACCAATCAGGGGGCGCGCACGAGCTTAGAGGTCGGCCCCCTTGTGGGTTGCCGTGATTGGATCTAAGCGCGTGATCACTGTCTCTGTGGGTGACGTTAAAGTGATGTCTGGTGTTTCGAACTGTTTCCTACCTCCATGTTTCGAAGAAGACAAATCCTAGATTTTGTTTATGTTCATCAGTGCCTTAGCTTATTGATTATACGTGCTTTTTATCACAGATTTCAAAAGGTTTGGCAGTCATGCGCTTTTACATGCACAGGAATGCTGGTACATGTACTACTTTTTTAACACTACATGACTCTGTTCCTTGCTGTATTATATGACGTAAACCGGATTTAAGAGTGTACAGAACAGCTGTTTGGAAGGATTTATATGCTGGATCCACTAAAGATTGTTTACTTAACACGCGTAGAGGTTGTAGCGGGCAAGTTCAAAGGGGATAACCCCGGTCGTAAACAAGTTCGATCAAAAGCCCCGAGTTAATGCGGCAAGATTCACAAGCCGTCAACAGACTGTGCTCAAACAATTAAAGAGCGATTCCTTGGAAATTTTGTTGATCCATCTCCGTGCATATATTTAATTTCTTCGTCCATGCATGGTCCCGGTGACTTTTTTTCAGAGCGTCATTATCATGTTTCATCATTACATGAACCACATGCAGGGTCCACTGAGTGCAAGATATAACAGGTTATCACGAGTTCGCGACTTAATGTTTGTGTTTAGTCCGTCTGTCAATGGTGGTATCTTCAAAGTTATGTAATCGCTTTTTATCAGAGGTGCTCCGTGCCATTTACAGACAAACAAATCTTACGATGGTATCCATCCAACTTCTGCTTATTCATGATATTCTCGATCTTTCTTGGATGTCACCTGATGCCAATTTTCGGGAAACTTTTTTGTTCTTCACTGAATGTATATTCTCTTGAAATAGAAGTGGTTTAATTAAAGGGCCATCCAGTGTTGTTGTGTTCTTATTGCAATGGTTGAAAATGCACCTTTGTGTCCCATTTTAACGCTATTTTAAATTTTCATTTTGCCATTTTCAAGGGTATTGGTGCCTTTTTGTTTTTTTTACGCAAAATGTAAATTTCCATATGAGCAATTGTGATGCCATTATTTTTAGGCAGAAGCCTCAATGTTACAGCTATTTCTGCAACACACGTTATCAGAATTAATTGTGTTGGATACTTTGCTGTGGCAGAGTTTCTTTTCGTTGGTGATTCGTTAATGTAATTCGTTAATGTACATGGCAGCATGCCATTGAGCAAACGTGTCTCACGACTGTTTTCAATGAGCAAATTGTTTGGTTCACAATTTCAACAGAAAGACCCCAGGCTCAACCGAACAGTGTCTTGACATCACAGCAACGGCGCCCTCTGTTGTCCAGGTCAGCATGGAAATGCACTTTTGAATAGATATAACCAAAAAGGGATTTCAAGTGAATTTCAAACATTTTAAGAGGGTTAGAAAGTTGTGTTCCCACCAATTCATTGCACGGACCCTTTAATATTAAAGTGGGGAAAAGCTGCACTGTGCATGTGTATTTATGAATTTGCCGCATGACACAAGGTCTGCCTTCTCTACTGAGGCTTGATCCACACACATGTCGCCTTGCACCTTACACCCTAAAGTACACTTGGCAGCCAGATTTTGATGTCACGGTCGTAAGATCAAACACTTTGTTGACTCTGAATGACGTCACTCTAGCTATATGACTAACTTCCTGGAAAGTATAACACGCAAGCTAGTGCGTGGAGCCACTGTATAGTTTCTTCACCCCCCCCCCCCCCCAAGCTTCAAATCCCCGGCCCCCTGCCTGTACTTAAAGTCAGACGGTTTGTCTTACCCCATGGTCCCATGGTGGGATTACGAATCGAACAATTCAGGGGAACTCCGAATGAATACATTTGTAACGATATAAATCTCTAAATCATGCCATAACAATTTATAACCAGCTGGGTGATTTAGTACTTGCTCTGCGCCCACCCGTTTTAGAGAAATGGTTTAAGTAGAATTTCAAGCATTCTGCAGGATATTGTGTTCGAGTCCTTTTGACCTAGCTTTTTTGACCTGGCGAACTTAGACCAGCTAAACATCTCAAACTAACGAGCAATTAAGCAAATTGTGTGAGACGCATTTTGGACTGATTAATCAATTATTATTAGGATTCTTGACATATAATTATTATTAATTTTGCCATTATTAAGGGCATTTTGTTGCCTTTTTGGTTTTTATGCTAATATGCCAATTTCCTTATTCCTGAGCAAATAGGTGATGTCATTCCATCCAGACAGAAAGCTCACTAATAGTAATACAGCTATTTCAGCCCAACAATTTGCCAATTTTGGATACTTTGCTGTCGTAAATGTTCTTTTCTTTGGTTGATCGTTGTTGTTTCAGTAATGACAGTAAGCCAATTAGCAAACTGTTTGCCCTAATTGTTTTCAAAGAATACATTTTGGGTTCACAATTTGAACAGAAATCCTCTAAAAAAGGTCTTTCTAAAATGACGTCAAAAGCATGGAAAATCTTTAATGTTTGAAATAAAAAGTGCATTTTTCAAAAATTTAACCAAAAAGGGATGTCATATCAACTTAGTTTATATATTTAAGAGGAGGAGAAAGATGCACAAAATATCATGTTCCCAAGGAAAATGTATGTCATCGGTCCTTTAAAATGGAAGCTGCCCAGTGTTATTAATTTTGTAGGTTGGGTACATCTTTACATGGTATAAAAACGTGATTGCAGAGTTCAGTTTGTGGAAAAGTAAAAATCGGTGTATGAAATAACATACTGCTCTTTAAAATCATCCTTCACTAAAGAACGGAGTAAACACGATATGAAACTTGCTTCCCATGAAATCCCCGTTGCTGCAAGAACAACACATCCCGGACATTCATCTTGGAGACTGCCCAATACCACCAGGATGTCTTGGCCTATTTCTTAGAAGTGCTGTTGAGCTGGAGCTGTGTCCTTGGGTCACCCACTGCCAGAGGCATGCCATCAGCACAGTACAGTTCTGGCAATGAACTGATATTGATATTGGCCCTGCTGCTCTGTGATATTATGTAGACTACCGTTCACTTGCATGACGCAATGAGTCATAGATTTCTTTTCAAGGATGCCGGTGAATCTGTTTTCTTGCTCATGAGTCAACAAATTAAGGAACGCTATTGAGACTTTTCCTAGAAAGATCTCGCATGTGGGTTTTCGAGTTTAGAAATTGAATGATCAAACCCAAGGTTAACTTAAAGGTTTCAGGTTTAGAAAGTTCACTTACCTTTCGGCAGCCAAATGTAAGGGTGAATAGCTCCATTCTATTTCCAAATGGCCAGGCTATTGCCAGGATCCGTTCAGTGCGTGTGGAGGCGGAAGCCCGGTGGTAACTGGAATTTATGGGGAAAGTACCGCTAGCTGTCAAAGAAAGCGACTACTATGAAATCTGAACTCGTTTGACATGTTATTGAAGGCTCCATGCAATGCAATTTGTTTTAAAGGGAATGTACATCATTGGCTTTTGCTGCAATTTTCAGAAATGATCTATTTGAGGGGTTAGTATAATAGATCAAATATTGTTACACTGACATGTTTGAAGTTTTGTGTTCGAAAATGCTGGAAAAACCAAGAAAAACAAAAATGTTCAAGTAGTCTGGTTCCCTGACTCCACTAAAGACAAATTGGATCCATTTATAGATGCCGTGAAATTGTAAGGTTAGGGAACCAGTCTAGCCGACCTACACCCGTTCATGGACATGTAACCAATAGCACACAAAATTGGGACTGAAAAAAATGGTAGATTTTGAGCAGTAGTTGCTAAATAGGTTTTTCCAACGGTGGTCGGCCGACCACCGTTGGACATGTATACAAAAATACCATTGTCTTGAAAATGACTTCACACCAGGTGCCATAATTTTACAGGATGCTTTAGACTGTCATTTACCAACATCCTAGTAAGGTATTTCGTAAAAACCTGGTAGTTTTATTTTTCGATGTTTGCAAATGTTGTATAGTCCCTTTAATACAATCCTTGAAAATGTATCTTTGTGTCCCATTTTACCTTCGTTTTGCCATTTTCACGGGTATCTTGGTGCCTTTTTGGTTTTTATGCTAATGCAAAAATCCATATTCATGAGCAAAAATGTGATGTCATTTCAGACAGAAACCTCAACGTTACAGCTATTGCAGCACCACAACAAGTTGCCAGAATTTTGAATATTTTCCTGTGACCGTTGTTTTTTTGTGTGGTGATTCGTTGTGTTAGTACATGGCAGTAAGCCAATGAGCAAACTTTTCTTACAATTTTTTTCAATGAGCAACTTCTTTGCTTCACAATTTGAACAGAAACCCCTAAACTGGAAGAGTCAGCGCCCTCATTTTTTTCGGATAAGCATGGCCAATTTTAAATGTCTAAAGAGGTGCACTTTTCAATAAAATTAACCAAAAAGGGATGTCAAATTGTTTGCATACATTTATGTGGAGTAGAAAGTTGCACTAAATGTGTTCCTAAGTAAAAAAATAAATAAATAAATAAATAATGAAAACAAAATCTTCTCATCGACCTTTTAACCCCCTCACGTGCACCGGTCACTAATGAGTCCGCATTTCACAGAGTCCTAAATTCACGCTACATCATCTCCACATTTAATAATATGGGAAATTAATACATGCAGTTGGATCATTAGATAGACCCCGTCCATCCGACGTCGCATCTGAGGGCAGGTTTTTGTTCCCGTGTTATATACGCACGAGAAGACACTATGTACATTCATTGTCACTCCAAGTAATTAACAAAAACTGCCGCCAAGTTCAGTGAGGGCGCACAACGAAACCGGTCTATATCACAGACATATAAACGCATATAGACCGCCAGTCGTGCGCGATAATCGTGATTTGAAAAAGTATGGGCAAAACCATTGATCTCCATTATAAGGGGGTCTATTGTGTTTATCATGTCTGTGGTCTATTCTCATCTAGCGCCTATAGCTGATTGCGCCCTCTACCAAAGCATCAGATCGTCTTCAACTCACAAAACCTTACTTAAAGGGCATACAATGGACAATTTGTAACGCAATCCTTGAAAACACACCTTTGTGTCCCATTTAACTTTATTTTCAATTTTCGTTTTGCCACTTTCAAAGGCATTTTGGTGTCTGTTTGGTTTTATGCTAATGCAAATTTCCATACTCATGAGCAAAAGTGTGATGTCATTTCAGGCAGATACCTCAATGTTACAGCAATTTAGGCTTTGAAAGTTGCCAGAATTTCTGACGTTTTGCTGTCGTCAAATGTCTTTTCTTTTGTGATTAGTTGTGTGCATGGCAGTAAGCCAATGATTAAACTTTTCTCGCAAATGTATTCACTGAGCAATTTCGTTTGGGTTCACAATTTGAACAGAAACCCCCTTAAACTGAAGAATGCATCCTGAAATAACATCACAGCAACAGCGCCCTCAGTTGTCCGGAAAAGCATGGAAAATCTCAAATGTTTAAAGAACTTGATGCACTTTCCAATCAAATTTACTATTAAAAAAAAAAGGATGTTTAATTGTTTTCATACATTTCAGAGGAGTAGAAAGTTGCACAAAATGTGTTCCTTATAAGAAAAATTAATTGCATGTACCCTGTAATGACGTACGGTGTCACCTGATCACGGCATTTAATACATGTATACATGCTTATGGCATATTTGCTGTTTTGTACTGATAGTCCTATCAACTTTCATTATGCGCATTAGAACATTATGTTTATGCATTTTGCGCAATATAAATACCGTTATTATCATTCACATCAGTATCAAATGGTATAAGCGCCAAAGTGTAACTACGCCATATGTCACTCGGTTCAACTTCCAAAAACGATATCTACCGCTGGTGCATTTTATGACGATAAATTATTAACAAATTTTTTGCTGAAATGAATTAATTCCGTAAAAAAACTGATACAGATGGTAACACATAACATGGTGAAAAGAGGCAAGTAGATGGTTGCACCGGGGCTTAAAAAGGAAAAAAAAAAGAGTACATGGATGCCAGATGGTTTAGGATATTTTTTGATGGCCAGACGTTCTTTTGTGAATTATCGTAAAAATGTTTACTTGGAGGTTTCAAAGGTCTTGTGTTGTTTTATGACTACATGGATATCTGCCATTTATATTTTCTTAATTGAGATGTTTTTGTTGATATGAAATTCTGTTGTGCATATAATTCACAACAGAAATATCTTTATTGCAGTTTTTAAAGGTAAATATTATTTTATGACTTGCTCTGTGTTCGATCTGACTCAATCTTTTCAGAAATTTTGGGGTTTGTGGTCTGCAAATTTTGCTTCTTGGACTGATAACTAATTCAACACACTCACTTTGTTTCAAGCTTTGAATACAGATTCACAATTGGTTTAATAATACCTGTACATTAGTAATGATACGCATTCCCACACATTAAACTAACACCCAGCTATTACGCAAGTTTAAAAAAAACGGTTTAAAAGGTACATGTTCAAAAACATTTCACCTGTGATGCCTTCAACGTGTGTCTAGGCAGATCTTAGATGGAAGCAGAATTTGAAAATTTTCTCAGGAAGAGATTCCAGTCTTTGAGAGACAGTAGGCTGCGTTATGTGTGTAGTCAGCGTAAAATCATAAAATGGGTACGGTACATACAAAAATTATCAATACATGTATACAACAAAAACTTCCACAGGATTGCAGTTCATGTTTAACCCCAAAAAGCATGATTTGGAAAAACATCATGATGGTTTTGTGCGGAGGGGGGGGGGGGGGGGACTACCCTACCCCTCCCTTCAGACACACATGCCCCTGGGTTAAAAAAAAAACATCCATTCCAACATAAAATTAAAGACTGCTTTTCAAAAGGCCAGTTATTCATTTCAGTCGGTGCGTGTAGGTTTGTTTTTTTCATTCAATAGGGGACATTATATAACCGACATACAGATCCTTGTCATTTGATTGGTGGAACTCACATCACGTGACATTCGTTATTGCTCCCATTCACGCCGCGGCTCAAAAAGTACTATCCGCCCATGGAGAATGGGAAATACTATTGAACAGTTAGGATCATCCTTGTTCCATGACGCGGTATTTGTGAGTAAATGCATGCTGGTGTGCGCGTTCAGCGTTGCGCGTAGCGCGTATTGTTCCAAAGAGCAGCGCTACAGCGTTGGGTTCAAACATTTTTGTGAAGGGGTGGTTTGGAAGAGAGAAATACATTTTCCTCCAGTTTTTATTGAAATAAAAGTTCATATACATCAAATGACAAGGATCTATATGTCAGTTATATAAAACAAATATTGAGCAACTTTAAATTGTGAAATGGGAGGAATATTATCGCTCGGCAAAATCTGGACTTTTCCAATTCACTCGGCTTCGCCTCGTGAAATGGAAAAGTCCCAATTTTTACCTTGCGATAATATTCCTCCCATCCCAAGCTGAGCCACTCAATATTTGTATATTGAGAAATAGAGGACAATAGAGTCCCCAATTCCCCAACACTTGTGTGTGTGGGTTGGGGGGCAGGTTGGGGTTGCAGGGGGGGGAGGGGCACATCTGTTTGACTTGAGTTGCATGTGGTCCATCACTGCTGAAGAGATGAAGGTTGGGTATCCGAACCCTGTGTGATTGCAACCCCTTGCGGTTGCCAAGTCCCGCCCTGGCTTGGAAAAACAACGGCCGTCTGCGCAGACAACTGCGACATGGGCACACTGTCCGCACTCTCAAAGTCGCAGACGACCTGCAGAATCCGGAGTTGGGCTGCGGTTTTGTACCGCTCCGGCAGTCTGCGCATCTTAGGCACCAGACTCATACAGAACATCATGTCTTCATCGTGAGTGTTTGAACTGCCTCTGTTTTCATCCGCGACTCTCCTGGGTGAGTTCACGGCCGCCAGCATGGGACGCTTGGCCTTTGACTTCACGTATTTCTTCATCGATGACGGGGAGGAGTGAAAAGTGCGCTTTGTTGCCCTGGGGGCCGCGTGGCTTGGACTTGGAGCGAGGCTCATTGCTTGGATGATGCTATTCCCCTCGGCATGGCCAGATACTGGAAGGTTACAAAGAGAGTAAAGAATAATAATGGATTGTTTCATCATGGAGATCTTAACATGTTACATTCACATGCCACTGTTGAAGTCAGGGAACCAGACCTAATTCCAAAATGCAGGTTTTTAAGTAAGTGTTTGAAACTTTGGATTTCTTTTCATCTCCGCCATCTTAAGAATCAAACCCCTGACCTGTCGAGAGACACATCTGCTGCTTCAGAGACGTACAATCCCAACAAATATGGGCAATTCTCCATGGGAGAGCAAAAAATGTCAAAAATAAATATTTACATATTAAACCTTTTTTGTACTTTTTCCAGACCTCAATTAAATGGGGAATTCAGTTCAACAAACGAAGTTGAAAAAAAATACATATTTCTGGTAAAAACAGTGATTTTTGCAATTTATGATTAAAAACGTTCAGATTTGGTAAAAAAATAAAATTTTGTGTATGTATTACTTTCTGAATTATAGGGAAAGATTTGATTTATTTTATGATGTTACAAGTTACTAACATTACTCAGGGTCATTAAAAAAATTAAAAATATAAATATATATATATATATATAGTGTAGGCCTTCATTTAAAAATGTCAAAATTACCACGTAATTCCGTTACCGAAAAAATGGCAAAAGTTACTTATTTCACAAATTTTCTTGTTTTTTCCCTTCAAATCATGTATGTTGAGAAAAGACCCTACTACAAACATAAATGAAAAATAAAAACTTTAAAATAGTAATTTCTTGGCATTTTTCCAAGTGGTAACGGAATTACGAAACGGTAACAGAATTACGGTAACGGAATTACGCATGCACAAAGTATGCACATTTCCTCCAGATTATGTACATGACATATTAAATAGGAGATTTGCATGTAACCTTGGACAATAACTTTAAATACTAAATTACTTGTTAAATCATTTCCCTCTTTAATTTGCTATTATACAATTAAAAATAATCAGGTGTTCCATTGATTTTTTTACTTTTACTTTTTCTTTTTTTACTATTTAAAAAATGCTAATAGTTGTTTGGATGCTTAAAGGGAATATACAACATTTGCAAACATCAGAAAATAAAACTACCAAGTTTTTACGAAATACCTTACTAGGATGTTGGTAAATGACAGTCTTAAGCATCCTGTAAAATTATGACACCTGGTATGAAGTAATTTTCAAGAAAATGATATTTTTGTATACATTTCCAAAAGTGGTCGGCCGACCACAGTTGGAAAAACCTAACTATTTTTCAACTACTGCTCCAACTTTACACTTTTTCCATTACAAATTTTGTTTGCTACCAGGTATTTGTTACATGTTCATGAACGGGTGTAGGCCAGCTAGTCTGGTTCCCTTACCCTCCAATTTTTAGGCATTTATAAATTGACCAATATTACCTTTAGTGGAGTCAAGGAACCAAACTACCTGAACAGTTTTGTTTTTCTTGATTTTTCCAGCATTTTCGAACACAAAACTTCAAACATGTCAATGTAACAATATTTGATCTATTATACTAACCCCTCAAATAGTTCACTTCTGAAAATTACAGCAAAAGCCAATGATGTACATTCCCTTTAAATATGTGTTGCCAAAGCCATTGTCTGGTACCCACAGAAAATATATTCGACAACAAGTACATGTATATGAAAGTTGAGTACTAGACTGTACTTGTACTTCTACATGTTCTACTTGGCATAACTTAACATCTTCCCTTGCTCAGAGATGCCAACCAGTTCAGTTTTATTGTATTTTCCACGATAAACTAGTGAAATACGATAATACAAATGTTCATAGTAAAATTCGATTTTCGGTAAAAAAAAAATATACGTCATTGCTAACAGGCAATGCAGCCATCACCAGACTGCTTTCATTTGACCTTGACCTTTGACCTAAAAAATGAAGCCCAGACATGTTTAGGCCTACATTTACATTTTGATCTGCTAATTTTATAAACTTCTAAAATTTGCATTGTGATGAGTTTATATTGAATTCAATGTTAATGTAGTGCATTTACCTATTACATGTAAACCTATGGCGTAATTCCGTTACCGCCCAGGCGTAATTCCGTTACCGTGATTAAAATGCAAATTATGAAAAGAGTGATTATTTTTTCAACTTTGTTCTGCATTGTAGTTAACAACACCCCTGAACTCTACAAATAACAGGAAGTGTCCAATTTTAAAATTTCCAAACTTCAGAGAGTTTTAAATCTAAAAATTAATGTGGCCTGACGTTGCGAACTTAGCAAGTTCTTCTTCAGAGGCTAAAACAGAAATGACAGAGGTACATACATTAACATGGGGGTGCACACAAACATGCAGGGATGAAAGAAGAAACACAAAAGGAGGATTAGGTGGGAAAGGTGTGGAAACTGGAAGGATGCAGGGGAGGGTGGATGAGAGAACAAAGAAACAAAGGGACATGGCAAACCACAAGGGGTCTGGTATGAACAGGGGAGGGACCAGAAAGGGGAAGGATCAAAGGTCACAGGGAGTGTTAATGGACAAAAGAGTGTGGGAGTGAAGGGGGATTATGCGGGGGGGGGGGGGGGGACAGTATGGAGGTGGAAAGGGATGAAAGATGGGGGAAGATGGGTAAACACAAACAGAGAAGACCAGGTGGATTATCTGTAACAGAAGACAACGGAGGAAGAAAACGATTAATCATTTCCAAGTTGGATGTTGAGACCATGTGGTTGAATAGTTCGAAGACGATTCATCCACACTTTCTCTCTGCTGAGGCGAACTGAGTCCTTGCGATGCCCAAGAGATTCAATGCCCTGCAAAATCATATCAGAAATGGAGTGGTTAGGCAGGTTGAAGTGATGACCAACAGGGGTGTCTAGTTTCTTGGTGTTGACCGTTGACCGGTGGGCATAGAAACGCTTCTTGAGCGTATTCTTAGTCTCACCTACATACTGCACTCCACAGACCCTGCAAGAAATGAGATATATGACATTAGGGGTGTTACAGGTGATGTTACCAATGGTTCTGTGGGTAGTGACAGAAGAGTGGCCAGAAAAGGAGTCAGACTCCTGGATATGAATCTGGCAGACAACACATCTGGAACTACATTTGAAAGTACATGTACCATGCTGGGTGGGAGGGGATGCATCTAAGGATGGAACTTCAGCTCGAACAATCAAGTCCCGTAGATTTCGAGGACGCCTGTAAGCCAATGTGGGGCCGTTGGGGATGGCGCGGGCAAGGCGATCTGAAGTATGGAGGATGTGATGATTGTCATTAGTGATTTTGCGAAGGGGAGGGAGATTGGGGTGAAACGTGGTAACCAAGGGAATCATGGGTTTGGCCATGGCATCAGGGGCCTTTCCCATGAGAGCTAGATTTCTGGGGATAGCTTTAGCTCTGGCAATGGCACGATGAACTTGGCGAGAGCTGTGACCCCTGGCCACCAATTTGTTCCTCAGTATCTGTGTATGGCGGGAGAAATCGGAATCATTAGAACAAATTCTTCTGAGTCTGAGTGCCTGGCTAAACGCTATGCCACAGAACCATCAAATTCACATCGGAGTTCTCGGCTCACCAAACCCACCAAACCCACTTTCTGGATGTCACCATCCGCAAGCAAGGCAACTCACTAACCACTGACCTGTATTCCAAACCCACAGACACCCACCAGTACCTCCACTCCTCCAGCTGTCACCCCAGGCACTGCAAAACTGGCATAGCGTTTAGCCAGGCACTCAGACTCAGAAGAATTTGTTCTAATGATTCCGATTTCTCCCGCCATACACAGATACTGAGGAACAAATTGGTGGCCAGGGGTCACAGCTCTCGCCAAGTTCATCGTGCCATTGCCAGAGCTAAAGCTATCCCCAGAAATCTAGCTCTCATGGGAAAGGCCCCTGATGCCATGGCCAAACCCATGATTCCCTTGGTTACCACGTTTCACCCCAATCTCCCTCCCCTTCGCAAAATCACTAATGACAATCATCACATCCTCCATACTTCAGATCGCCTTGCCCGCGCCATCCCCAACGGCCCCACATTGGCTTACAGGCGTCCTCGAAATCTACGGGACTTGATTGTTCGAGCTGAAGTTCCATCCTTAGATGCATCCCCTCCCACCCAGCATGGTACTTTCAAATGTAGTTCCAGATGTGTTGTCTGCCAGATTCATATCCAGGAGTCTGACTCCTTTTCTGGCCACTCTTCTGTCACTACCCACAGAACCATTGGTAACATCACCTGTAACACCCCTAATGTCATATATCTCATTTCTTGCAGGGTCTGTGGAGTGCAGTATGTAGGTGAGACTAAGAATACGCTCAAGAAGCGTTTCTATGCCCACCGGTCAACGGTCAACACCAAGAAACTAGACACCCCTGTTGGTCATCACTTCAACCTGCCTAACCACTCCATTTCTGATATGATTTTGCAGGGCATTGAATCTCTTGGGCATCGCAAGCACTCAGTTCGCCTCAGCAGAGAGAAAGTGTGGATGAATCGTCTTCGAACTATTCAACCACATGGTCTCAACATCCAACTTGGAAATGATTAATCGTTTTCTTCCTCCGTTGTCTTCTGTTACAGATAATCCACCTGGTCTTCTCTGTTTGTGTTTACCCATCTTCCCCCATCTTTCATCCCTTTCCACCTCCATACTGTCCCCCCCCCCCCCCCCCCCCCCCCCCCCCCCCCCCCCCGCATAATCCCCCTTCACTCCCACACTCTTTTGTCCGTTAACACTCCCTGTGACCTTTGATCCTTCCCCTTTCTGGTCCCTCCCCTGTTCATACCAGACCCCTTGTGGTTTGCCATGTCCCTTTGTTTCTTTGTTCTCTCATCCACCCTCCCCTGCATCCTTCCAGTTTCCACACCTTTCCCACCTAATCCTCCTTTTGTGTTTCTTCTTTCATCCCTGCATGTTTGTGTGCACCCCCATGTTAATGTATGTACCTCTGTCATTTCTGTTTTAGCCTCTGAAGAAGAACTTGCTAAGTTCGCAACGTCAGGCCACATTAATTTTTAGATTTATATATTTCAGGTCCATCCAGTCAGTAAGCAGTTTGCAGCAGTCTTACTTTTTTTCAGAGAGTTTTATTAATTTATGCGAGAACTCAAATATGCTTGTCCTCTGTCCGTAATTCCGTTACCGATATTAAGCTCCGCCCCTTAAAGGGAAATCTTGTGGGATTTTTTTTTTTTTAGCGGTCAATCAATTCTATTGGGTCTTGGCTCCCTTTCCATGTTTAGATTAGTTGCCTAGCATAGAACATATTTTCTTGGTAAAGAATAATCCTTGACAAAGTGACAAAATTCCGTAATTCCGTTACCAAAGAATTGCCCATATACAGCCAAACTTTAGGATAATTCAATTTGGGGAAAGAACGTAGTATCCAGACGCCAATTCAGCAGTTGTGTAGAAAGCCTATGGAGAGTCAAAAATATTTTCAAAGTATTTCCTAACAGAATTGGAAATGTTTCTCAGTCCCAGATTTATGTCTTTTCAACATTTTTGCAATGACTAACCCTCATTGAGATGATATATGAAAAAAAAGTGGCGTCAGGATCTGGATGCAACATTCTTTCCCAATTTGGTTTTAAAAAAGAAAGATTCCTTCCATTCTATGATTTTAAAGGGAATGTACATCATTGGCTTTTGCTGTAACTTTCAGAAATGAACTATTTGAGGGGTTAGTATAATAGATTAAATATTGTTACACTGACATGTTTGAAGTTTTTTGATCGAACTGCTGGAAAAACCAAGAAAAACAAAAATGTTCAAGTAGTCTGGTTCCTTGACTCCACTTAAGATAAAATGGATCAATTTCCAGATGCCGGAAAATTGTAAGGTACGGAACAAGTCTAGCTGGCCTGCACCCATTCATGAATATGTAACCAATAGCAAACAAAATTTGAACTGAATTAAAAATGGTAAATTTGGAGCACTTGTTGCAAAATAGTTAGGTTTTTCCAACGGTGGTCGGCCGACCACCACTGGAAACGTGTACAAAATTACCATTTTCTTGAAAATGACTTCACACCAGGTGCCATAATTTTACAGGATGCTTTAGACTGTCATTTACCAACATCCTAGTAAGGTATTTCGTAAAAATATTTTTTGATGTTTGCAAATGTTGTATATTCCCTTTAAAACCAGGGATGAAGCCAAATTTAGAGAATATAGCAAGGTTCTAAAAAAAATGTAGCTTTTACCTGAATCTTCAAATCCATCTGTGATCAAGACACCAGACCACGTAGCCGTGTCTTCTCCCTCATCAGATTCTAGGGGTTCTGCAATGATGGTAATTTGATCTGATTTTATTTCCAGACGCCAGGATATTATTTTGCAATAGAATTTCTGCGGGAATAGGCCTATATGAAATAACAATGTAGGAGTGGGGGAGATTTTCAAAGCTTGTACTTTGTAAGATACTCGGCCTTGCTTTCATAGATTAACAAAAAATATATTTCATAGATTAAAAAGGGGGGGGAATGCAAATAATGATACAATTTTTGAACGATAAATAAAAATAGGTAAATATTCTAGCACAACCACTACCAGTACCACCCAACCCCTATCCAACCCCTGTACTGTACATAAAATTACATAATGTGACTGCCCTTTCATTGTCATATCAGCCCCCCCCCCCCCAAAAATTGCTTTTATAAATAATAATATGCCATTTATAATGTACTGTTACTTGTTTGCATAATAAAATCTGGTACACCCCCTGCCCCCCCCCCATCCCACGCCCCCCCCCCCCCCCCCCCCCCCCCCCCCCCCGCCTCCTCGACTCATAGAGCAAGGAAGGACTAGCCCATGGATGGAGCGCCTGTCAATTAAAGTTTGCGTCAGAGCTAGGCTTTAGTTTTTTTCACAACTTTAATAGGCATACCTTGTTCCCCTACGCAGTTTCTTGGCTTAATGTGAGCGATCAGCCATCTCAGATATTCAAAACCATCTTTGATGGGGACGTCCTCCCCAAGTCTGTATGTCCCGGGCCCGCCCCCTCCTGTCTGTTGCCGCCTGATCGTCTTGAGATACCGCGAGAACACAGTCCGTATGTTGCCGTATCTGTTCTGCGCCTCCGCGATGTCGATGTTCAGCTCGTCCGCCACCGCCGCCCAAGCGTCCTTCTTCAGCATTTTGCCATTTTTGTGGTACTCCCCGGTCGAGTTGTAGATCGCTTCGTACTTGCGAATGGTCTCCATCAACTCGTAGTTGCTGACGTGCGAGTTATTTCGATTGTCTGCGGCCATTTCGGATGATGTTGCGATTGGATTTTTAGACTCTGCCGCTGCTTCGAGTTATCTTTTACGATTGTGTTGTGCAAAAGCTAGCGCGGCGCTATGCATTGTGAATTTTGTATACATAATGCATACACTACATGTACAAATTGTACATGTACATGTACAAGTACACATGCGGTATGCGTAATGTAAGCTATGCATACACATGTAATGGCTGCTCGCAATGCAGTCTGGGACATATCTGCGACGTGACGCACGACTCACGGTCATTATCTGCGATTGTACTATTTGCCCTACAAAACATAGACTTGACTCAATCGCTCCATCGCAAATCCGTCGACCTAGCTCAAGAATTTGTGCTGGTATAAAAATTTAACTAGGGCAAGTGGCGTGTAAAGGGCCTATGTATACTTTGCAGGGGATATGAAGGTGCACGCAATGGGTTTGGACAGTTTCAATAAATACGAATCTTAATTTTTGTTTTTCTCGGCGAGCAGCTGTAGGGTGCCTCTCGCGCCTACACCGAACGGAATATTACTAGGACCCGCATGATTTGTCAAACTATAATTATGAGCAAATTAGATTAGATTAAATTGATTATATTATAATATAGATTTTATGTTTTGGACCTTGTATTTTGCTGTCTTTATGTCAGTGTTGGAGTGTATTCCTCTTAAGAGAATACTTTGAGCTATTTAGGTTTTTGCTTTTGGCCTGTCGATCGACCCCATAAGCCGGTGGCTTTATGAGCTGGCAGACATTTTTTTTCAATTTTTGTGCCCTGTTTTGTTTTAGTAGTATACTGTAATTAATTGTGCTTTATTTTCTTGTGTTCTTTGTCTTTACGTGTTTAAATGTATCAATGTGTATTATCTATTTTTTCTATTTTTGTGTAAGTATCAAATTAATCAAACCAAGCCAAAACCAAAGCAAATCTATATAGTCCTCTATTGCATTAGAAATGTCACCCTAAAAATGTTGCAAGCATGTGATTCGTTTCACTCATATTCAGGGTGAGTAAAAAAACAAAACGAAACCCAAATGTCGGGACTATTGTTTTAGTGAAGTTCTGCATGTAGCACTTTCACAATCTAGCATATGAAAGCCCAATTCAGAAGCTTTCTTTTAGTACAAGAATCATTCAAATCACTCATGTACTTTTCAAGTTACAGAATTTTAAACACAACCACCGTTTTAAGGTTCTGTCCACGGATCACCAAAAAGTTCAGTGTTCTTTCAGCAAAACGAAAGCAAATCACATAGGGATGTGTGTGGAATTGTTTTCGTTTTGCTGAGAGAACGCACACCTTTTTTTGTGATCCGTGGACAGAACCTTGGACGGTGGTTGTGTTTAAAATTCTGTAACTTGAAAAGTACATGAGTGATTTGAATGGTTCTTGTGCTAAAAGAAAGCTTAAGAATGGGGTTTTAATATCCTAGATTTTGAAAGTGCTATAATATGTAGAGCTTCCCTAAAACAATGGTCACAACATTTGGGTTTCACCCTGTATATTATTTCCTTATCATATACTTAGGCCTATATATAGCAGAAAGTGTAGACCTACCCGTATTTTTGTAGAGCTTGAAGCATGAAGGCTGAGGTTTGCAAACATTCATCTCAAGGAGAAATATAAAGGGACACAATCAGTAATAGGGTCGGGGTTTTTTTGTGAGCCGGTTTGAGTGCGTGGTAGGTTTCTTTTGTGCGTAAAATCCGTACCGTAAATCCTGCGTTTGAGGCGTCATGGCTGAACGATTTTATAGAATTTGCAGATTGTGAATGTCGAAAGAAGCAAAAAGGGTTGGGCAAAGCCTATGCACTGTAAATGTTGCAGTTACGGCATATTATGGTTCGATTGTGGTCATGTCCAACTTGTGTATGAAAGTTAGTCGGCTAACGATCGTGATGAAATCCAGTTTGCTTCATACAAGTTAGTTGCCCATATATGGAATGGTGAGTGTACTATCTTTAATAGCTCTCAGTGCATTTTTGACCTCAGCAGATAATAATTTTAAGCACTATACTTCATGGTGTCGATTGAGGCAGCAGTTAATGCCGTTCGTACGCGTCCTGATATTACTTGAAAATCGCCCAGAAAGAATGTTGTATTAAACCTGACGCCACTTTTTTTTCATATATACACTTGGGTCACTCATTGCCAAAAAAGTTCAAGTGAAAAGACATAAATCTGCATGGGACTGAGAAACATCATTCAATTTTGTTAGACACTTTCACAATTTTCTTGATTTTGTACACAAACGCTGAGGGCAAACGTTGTACATAAACGCTATTCTGGACACTACATTGCATGTACTTTGTTGTGTGTTTCATCACCATTATCGCACTCACCACATCATGAATTATCATGTCACCACACCGCTGCCACACGTTCCGTTATCACCTCTGACACCAAATCACCACTATCTGTCTTCACGACTACCATCTTCATCACTAGCCCCATAAAATGTGGCCAATTTACTGGACTACCTCCGTAAATAAAGGCCACACTTCCACCATGTACACAAACATGTCGAACTTTGTCAAATTTTGATTTTCACATTCAGGCTTAGTTTGTAGTTTATTTTTGCTTTAGAAGCATACTCGCCCTCTTTATAGGCTAATCAGAAAGTGCTGCCTTTTTTCAGATGTCTATTTTTCGTAAAATGTCAATATCTGCACCGTCCTTAAATTTAATATGCACCATCAGTATATCACCAGCTATTCGCCCCGCGGCCACACTGTTATCACCCATTTCAACATCTGTCAAAAAAACCACTACTCTATCAATTCCAAAATGTTAATATCTTCATGATCAAAAACTAAAAAAGGACAAAAATAACCATGGTAATTATAGTTATATCCGGTCGATTAATCAATTACATCACAACACGTGCAATGCTATCATCAGCCTTGCCAAGTATTATGCTAATGACGCAACTACGAAAACGCAACTACAGTAATTAGAATAGACGAGTTATAATAGTCACAAAAATACAAGCTGCTACTTCGCATGTATTATGTACGGTGGCATTTTACAACCAAATCTGTCACCCATGACGTTTGACCTCCAGAATAAATGCCATTATTCTCACAACAATAACTGGCGCTTGTTAGTTGCCGAGCCACTGGTATTATCACACAATGATGTTATTGAAACGGTGTATAGAATAGACGTATAATCATGGTTGAGTACAGACAGCGCGAAATGGTTCATGATATGGCGTGGTCTTCAGAATCAATATCGTGACGGCATATTTTTGTAAGTGAGTGCATTGTTTTTGACTCATGTGTTGTTTATTGATCAGGTTTGATATTTATCAGATCGATAGGTTTGTGCATTTTTGTACGGGACTATGAGGAATAACAATTTTGTGAATAGCTTCGTTTTATTCTTTTGATCAACAGATAATTGTGCGTGTGCCTTTTGGAAATGTATATGGTGTGTTCTTCGTCAGACTCCATGCGTGTCGCAGGCTATGCGATAAAGTCATTCAGCATATCTTTGTGCTGTTGAATTTTAACTTCTACTGGTAGTACGGGGTATATTAGATATGACAAAAAGTAACGTGACTGAGCAGAAATATTGTGTGTTTGCAGTGCATTGCTTTGCATCTTGGTGTTGACTCACCACAATGCAGACACAAAGTGTGTTTTCCTGTGGCGTACGTGAATTGTAGAACTGTAGAACTCTGCAATGATCTGGATGTACATTTTCCGCGAGGTATTTCAATCTTAACATTTTGCATGTCATCTAGTTTTAGCGTATGCCTGGATAGGGTTACATCCAGTTTGCATGCACAGAAACTGGAGAATTGAGCTTCCAAAACGAATGGGACATCTTTGTGAGACTCTTGAACTTTGACCCAAAAGAGAGAGAGTGTCGCATTCAACATGGTTCTTAATCCGAAGAAGAAACAGGAGAGTATCCCTCTTGTTACCAAGGAGACGCCTTCCATCAATCATGGCGGTACAGACTCCTCCTCGGTCGACTCCTCCCCTGAGCACCACGCCCCTAACTCCAACCCCCACGCTTCGGAAAGCCACGCCCACTGGGAGTCGGACCACCCGCTGCACCGTCGGGCCTACACGCAGATCCTGATCTTCCAGAGTCTCATTTCAGTCGCTTTCCTGGCCGTCCAGGAGAACATTGTGTTGTACTGCACGGAGGTGTTGTTCTACGTGGATGGAGGAGCGCCTAAGATGATCGAGGTGTACGCGGCGCTGGTGCCTTGCTTGCCGGTTTTCGGTGGGCTGTTGGCCGATATTTACGCGGGAAGATACAAGATGATCAAAATTGGAGCCTTCACGACGCTAGCAGGTGAGTGTTTTACTGGTTTTTATTTCTGGATAAAATGAACAGATTTACCAAACTTGTAGTTTGCAGAGAGGCCATGTGGCAGCAAAATGACGAAATGACTTGCCCATTTTAAAACTATTCGCTGACGATATTTTTTTTGATCAGTTGCCTAATAACAAAACTAAAGACCTTTTTTTTTCAACTGAGCGATGTATATTTTGTCATGGGCTTTGATAGGTTATTCGACTGCATCAAAGTTAACTCAAGTCCTGGCTCTTTTAGCACCTTATCTGTCGTGAGTCTGAGTAAGAAGTAAACTTGTTTCGTTCACTAGCTTGGTTATATATGCGTCGAAATTCAGATTTGTGATCAAGTCATCACAAGCCAGTCACAAGTCATCACAAGTCAATCACAAGTCATCGCAATTAGTCATCGCAAGTCATTACAAGCCAGTCACAAGTCATCACAAGTCAATCACAAGTCAATCACAAGTCATCACAATCAATCACAAGTCATCACAGATCATTACAAGCCAGTCACAAGTCATCACAAGTCAATCACAATCATTCACAAGTCATCACAAGTCATCACAGGTCATCACAAGTCATCACAATCAATCACAAGTCATCACAAGTCATCACAGGTCATTACAAGTCATCGCAAGTCATCACAAGTCAACCCTCCGTCTATTCCCTTGTCACTTACTCACCTACTCTGTCGACCCAAGTGGCTGCTTGAGACGAGCGCGATGACGCACACGCCACACATCTCGACTGTTCATGCAGCTAGCAAGCTCATCAGTCGTCTCAACCCCTGCATCATTCTTCATCGTCCTCACCACGGTCTTGATTGGCCTCCCTCTGCTTGGTGTCAAGAGCTTAGGTTCCCACAGGATCACCCGAGCAGTTCGCAGCAAGGCTCAGAAGTTTTGACTCGAAAAAAAATCCCTTGTCACTGTTCAAACTTACCCGACTTGTGATTGACACGATTATTAAAATGCTGAAAATTCAGACCTTTGATCAAGTCATCACAAGTCATCGAAGGTGATCGCAAGTCAATCACAAGTCATTTAATGTCAACAAATGCCAATTGACCATGATAAAATACATTAACCCCCAATAGGCCTTATTCACGAGTTGGCCTTTTTTGTTGAGTTCCCTGAATGTATTTCATTAATTGTTAACTGTTGAAGGGGGTGTCGCCAGACTATTTATGCAGGCACAATGCAGTCTTATTTTACTGGGTTTTTTTATATGGCTTTAAATATTGGGGAATGTTTAATTACAAATTTTAAATATTTAATTGAAGCCGAGTGGAATTTATTATGAATTAATTTACTTTCATTTCTCTTCGCAAGTTCCAAAAATTAAGATTTTACCTAACTTTCAATTCAATATGGCCGACTCGTGACTAAGGCCCATTGCTTATGACTGCATGGCGATTGATTTGGATATTATTCTGATGACATTTCTAAATCCAAATTTCTTTCCTCTTTCTTCAAGGATTGCTCCTGCTGACTTTTGACATCATCCCCTTCGAGAACTGGTTCGCTCGCTCCATCTCCATCGAAGCCAAGCGAGGCATCTTCATTTTCGGCTTCACGGTCATGTTCCTGGGCTTCGCTGGGTACGGAGCCAACGTGGGACCCTTCGCTGCCCGCCAAGTCGAACAGGCTGGTGAGAAGGCAGTCAGGACGCTGTTCCACTGGTAAGACACCTTGACAATTGAGTCTTAGTCTGGTTCCCTGACCTGCTGATCCGTCCTGACGTCTCTTCATAGATTATCAAATTCACCAAAGAACATAACGCAGCTAAGCTCTTGCCTCGTCTGAGTGCATACTCAAGGCAAAAGGAGTGGACTTTCCTGGACGTTACGTCTGGTCTTGAAAATCGGCAAGAATCCGTGCCAAGCCTTGTAATTGGTGAATATTTCAAAACAGATAACAATGATGACAGGTGTTTTGTTGGTGTATACTTAGAATAAGCCAGCTCGGTATTCCAAAAAAGTCTGGTGCGCAACAAGATTCGACGATTTTTTTTCGGGATAAACGCAGCAGATAAATGCACACTATGCTATGGGAGATACGGGTTTTGGGGGGGTTTTTTTTGCAAAATGTTACTTCAGAACACGACGATCTCTTTAATTGTGCTGGTACCCGCTATGCTTTTACACGCATACGATGAAATGTTGATCCCGAAAGAAAAACCGTCAAATCTTGATGTGCACATGCGCAGTTGGAATACCGAACTGGCTTATTACTAATCCATTTTATAAGATCAGTTTTAAAGGTGCCATGCCATAAGTTCACCCGAGTCTCACAATTTACTTGTTCAAGAAGTTCATACACAATTGGAGGCCTTCACAAACTAAAGTCGAACTTTTTTTATAATCTCAATTTTTAGGTTTTATTGGTCAACGACATTAGGCCTAGCCATAGCCTTACCGATAGCTGATTACGTGGACAGAGTGATCAACTTCGGTGTCGGCTTTGCCATCCTGACTGTGTCGCTTGTCATTGGCATCGTGGTTCTCATGTGTCTCGGGAGCGACTATGTTGAAGTGCAGCCACAGAGTGAGTTGTTGAACACCGTGAGATATGAGCTTTGTTTTGGATGAGAATGAAGCCAATATAAAGGCAATATGCCTTTATGAACGTGTTGAGTAATGTAGTTGTTATTCTATAAGAGCTTAGCCAGCACTTAACAAAAGATGCGGCCTTAAAAGATTTACCGAACGAAGCACATTTTCCAAAATATATAATTTTGCCAAAATGCATATCAAAACTATTCTTCAGCAAAGATACTTTAACCCTAACCTTCCCAAATCCTCTTTGCAAAATGGAGAATTTGGAAGATTGAATTATAGCAAAAATGTTTGGCTGATTTTGGAGCATGCACTGTGTCAGGGTCTTTGGCCGGACCTTGTGCTGCACGTTGATGACATCACCACGGCCATGCATGGCGGACAAGAGAGTCTGGAAGAGTTTGGTTGCATCCATCTTGGCTGCGGCCGCCCAATGATGATTATGTGTTGTTTATGCTCAGCCGTGCATAAATTTAGTCCTATATTGTACAAAATGCACTTGAAATCCTCCGCACTGCTCCAGGATGTCACTGGCTCTGCCTCGACATATTGATAGTGATTGCTGGAGGATTTTGCAGGATTGAGGTTACTGGCCGAGACGGCAATATTCCTTTCAGACCTTCAACATTATTCATAGCCCTCGTAAATTCTCCAATTTTCAGGAGATGCTCTGTTTAGGGTCTTCAAGATCATCTACCAGGGTATCAGGAACCGCGTAATAAGTTCGCAGCAGGAGGAACGAGAGACAGACAGCAGCCGGGAGAGACCGGACGGTACGCTGGACTACGCCAAGCAAGAACACGGAGGCAGTTACTGCCGACTAAACGTAGATCAAGTCAAACACTTGCTGAAGACGCTACCAGCGTTCCATACTGTCACCATCTACGCCATCGTTTACTATTTTGTAAGTTTCACGATATTGTAAATGTTTTTAAGTTGTCAACTCCGCCGAGGAGGTTATGTTTTCATCGGCGTTGGTTTGTCTGTTAACAGGATAAACAATGAAAGGTTTGCGGAAACACCATATGCGAATAATTTCTCAACTAAGAGAATGGTTCTGAAAAGAACCAGAGGTATAAACTCGACGTTCCGGTCAGTATGCTCTGACCGTCTTCAGGAGAGATTCGGTCAGAGCATACTGACCGGAACGTCGACTTTATACCTCTGGTTCTTTTCAGAACCATTCTCTTAGTTGAGAAATTATTCGCACATGGTGTTTCCGCAAACCTTTCATTGTTTAGTATCTCCACCATGCAAAGTCTCAAATCTTACTTAACAGGATAACTCAAAAAGTTGTGGACGGATTTTCATGAATTTTGTTTTTTAATAGGGGTGGTCCTGGGTACAAGTACAAATCTATTAGATTTGGAAGCGATCCGGATCTCTGGGTCTGGATGCAGGATTTTTTTTTAGGATTCTTCACATTTTGTGTGTGCGAATATGCTATGTGTAGAGACGTGTGAGTGGGTAACGCAGCGTGCAGTCTATTATGAGCGCATTGAAACCGTTGAAACCAACAGGTCAATGGACTCGACCATTGATACTAAGGAGGAGTTGGGAATGTACAATAAAATATGGAAGTCCAGTGGATATGCGAGTATTTCTATTGGGTGTACTGATAATAATTATGGCGGGAATGGTTCAGCCTTGGTGGAGGTTTGCGCTCTCTGAGTGCTTTCTACCTTTCTAATTTAAAGCTGTTGTTGGTTGAAATATTCTTCATTATACATGTAGAATGATCCATATCATTGTGGTTTGTCTTTTGTTGTTCTTTTTAATGAGTATTCTGTATATTCCGATTTTTCTTTTGTCCTTTCTTACTACAAAACATGCTGATATCGAAGTGAATTAGCTGTGAGGTTGATTTACTGATTAGTCATACCCATTAATATTTTATCTCTAGTTTAAAGGCAAATATGATCATATGCTTTTCATGGATTGTGTTCCGTTTCCGTAATCATACCGCTCAAAATCCAAAGAAGAATGTTTAAAGCCTAACCTTTTGAAGTTTCAGCTCAGTAGAAACTACACTTTTTTCCAGAAAACAGAGAAAAGCCATGCACAACGTTTAATTTGATCACCATGCACACACGATTTCAATGGCACTCTTTATTATTAAAGAAAATAACACTCTTTATTATAAAAAGCAGTCAATGGACTGATCTTTAATCAAAGTAAGCGTTTTTTGATAATAATTCAGTAGATTACTTCCGTGATGAATGTATATGTTCCTGCATGTATGCCTTTATAAGGATGTCATTCCTCAAGACGAAATTAGGACAAGTTGATGTTGACACATTGCGTGTGTTTTAAATACATGTACAAAGTTCATGACTTTTGTGTCTGTTTTTTCTTCAGATGACAATAATTTACTACGAACAGTTCAAAAGGCTGAATCCTTACCTCGGTGATATTGGTGAATCGGTCCACCTTCCTAATGTGACCTTTGAACTCTACTCTACCGGGGTGGTTCTACTATTTACTCCCATCTTTTGCTATTTGTACCCCTGGTTGGAGAAAAAGGGGGTCAAGGTCACCCCTCTACGCAGAATAGGTATGTGCTGATGATATTTTGTTCACAAAACGTAATGATACATGTATTATTTTAAAACATAAATGGATCATCAAGAGATACAGATTGTTGATGGGAAAAATCAGAATATAACGGGCCCTCTATCCAAATGTTGGCAACACTGGCTCCCAGTCCCTCCATCATCTTCGTTTTATAATGAAAGCGGTAACCAGTCTAAATTTTGGGCCTGTATTACGCCCTCTTTAGTTCGGGCACATGCAGGCACATGTCAAAAAGACTGGAGATAGTTGGAGGATCGCCTTCCGTTGTACTCGTAACTTTTATAAACGGTGAACGTACACACAGACTGAAATTTGTATCCTTGTGGAGTCATTTCTTTGTTTTCGAGTACTAAAGTTTTCGAGTTTGAAAGTGTAGTTTCAAAATGCTCCTATTTTAACCAGAATTAATTTCCTGGGCCGATAATTCGGACTTAATAACCCTTACATAAAATACTTCAATTTGCGACAGACTTGGAAATTCCTAGGTTTTGAGTAAAATCCATATATCTATTTCGTGATAACCTTGTGGAGAGTACTATTTATCTATAGAAATTGCCCTGTGGACACGTATAAAGTCTTATAGTAATACCCATGTCTCCACAGGGTACCGTGTTTGTGACAGATCACTAGCGAATTGAAGTGCTAGGTTCTCCCACGCAGGGTAATAGTTGCCAAGTGCCACAGCGCCCTCTCTTGTTCATTCTCAGTTTTGAAAAGTCTGGCTTCACCAGTTTTGATCTGAACATTTTTATCCGTGATATTATAGCCTCGAAATTGTTGTTGTAGCTGTATAGATCATTTGCACCGCAGCCAGCTTGGAGGTGTGTTGTTTTGTGCAACAGGGACACGCATGAGCAGACCTCGTGTGCCTTTATTGTTAATGAATTAACATAACAAAACACACCTCCAAGATGGCGGCTGAATGCAGTCAATCTATATTTCGTAAGTCTTACAACATGAGTGATTCTCCCCCAGGTGTTGGTGTCTTCTTTTGTCTTCTGTCCGTCCTATCCGCCTGTCTGGTTGAGGTCCACCGCAAGGTGGTCATGGCTGATGGGGGAACTTTCCCCAACCCTGTCGGTAACACCACGTACGAGGCGTCCACTCTCAGCTGCTTCACGCTAGTACCGCAGTTCACGTTCGGCGGGCTGGCTCAGGCCTTCGTACGAGTCGCCGGTAAGGTTCCCGTAAAGGTTCTACGGGCTCCTCGCACTGCTGGTTCTAGAACCAGATTAAGTTCTAAAACCTTATCAGGACATGAAATCACAATACCTGTAATTTTTCCTGACAACCTCGACAATCCTACGTTGACTTTGTTAATGCATCGATCTTGGTTTATTTTTTTTGTAGCTAACACCACGTCTATTTTATGGGTATAAGGTGGTGTACATGTATATCGCTTTATGCATTACAATTAGATATGCCGTGTACGTATTTTATAACTCTATAGAATTATAACTAGCCGAAAGATAAACTTTGAATATCATTCGCAGCTTTCTAAAGATGTGAGTATTGACTACTTTGGGCGACATAATTTTCTGATTTCAGGTTTGTTATATTTTCTGAACTGCACTCCAGGTCTAGAATTCGCCTATTTGGAAGGCCCTGATAACCTCAAGGGTTTCTCCACCGGTCTGTATATACTCATGTCAGGAGTCGGCAGCTATATCCTCGCCAAGATACTTATACTTCTCATCAATGCGATGTCGTATGGTAAGTCCCGCCATTTTCTCCATACTTAACGAGCACCAATGAATGTCAATGGACCTTTTTTATCGCCGACGTGCGTTGTTGGCACATTTTGCCAACCACGGGTTGCCAAACTGTGGAAGGTCCAATTAACACTGCAAAAATGAAGAATATTTATTAGTGATAACAAAAATATTATTTGATTGTTGAAAATACAAAATGATCAATAAACGCTACAAAACATTCCTAAACATGCACTGCAAAAACTGTGTTACACTTTTCTAAACACGTTCTTGCTTTCTTTTCTTTCTTTCTTTCTTTCTTTCATGTTTACAGTTTGTAAACATGTTCAAATACTAAACATGTACACTGCAAAAACTGTGGTGTTATTTTAACACCATTTGGTATCTATATAAGATAACACCAGCAAAGTGTAACACCAGATGGTCCTATTATAGATACCAATGGTGTATATTTAACACCGCAGTTTTTGCAGTGTACATGTATAGAGTATTGATGGATAGTGTGTAGCAATGGGACATTGATGTTTAGGAATATGACACGTCATGTTTAACTTCTAAACATGTTTACAAAGTGATAGCAAGATTGTGTTCAATTGCTTATCACAGTTTTTAGAGTGTGCTTGCTTCTTTTGATTGTAATGAGGTGCTATATGAGGACTTTCTGTGGAACAATATGTTGCCAACCACGGCTACAATTTATAGCGCTTGCGGCAGCCCATACAAAATGGCGCTCAATGTTACAAACAATAAAAAAGGTCTATTTAATAGACCTTTTAATTAAAAGCAATTGAAGACTTCCCGTGTAAAAAGTCCTCGCTTCCTTTTTTGTTCTTTTTCTTTGACATGATTATAGCAAGTCCGTGGTACACCTCGGAAATCAACGACGGCCATATGCAATACTTCTTCCTCGTTCTCGTGGGAGTTCAACTCTTTGATCTCATCTACCTCGGTCTCATTTGCCGGAAGTACGAGTACGCCCACTGGCGCGAACGGGCCGTCCGGGAAGGGGCGTTCCCGGACGTGGTGCCTGGGAACGATCCCGTCACATCCGGGTACGCTGTGGTGCCTGACACGTCTGCCAGCGACACGGACGGATCACCTGCGCGCGGTGCAGAGGGCGCTGCTTAGTAAATTCTCACCGTAAGGGGCGCTATTCAGTCAAAACTGCGCTCATCTCCATCGCACTTATCAAAAACAAAACCTCGGAGATATTATTAGAAGTGGTTGCGTGGTCTTTGACGATCGGAACTGGAAACAAATCTACGGATACAAATGAACAAAGCTCCAAATTCAAAATTTGCCTTGTTCGTACGTTTGCACTAAGTAGCCTACTTACATTCAAAAACACAGTGTATTATGAGTATTGAATCAAACCTAATCCCTTATCGGAAAAATTGAGAAAGTTCTAGTGCCTGCAATTTTCTTCCCGAAATGAGCTCAATCCGTCCTCTTATGGCAGTAGTATTGTAAGCGCATTAGCACCATGAAAAGAGGCGTTAAGTTCTGTGTCAGTGTTCAATCATCTACCCTCGGGGGAAAAAAACCTAGGAGATCATGCACCCACCTTCTGCTTCTGGATCGCGTTCTTCACATGCGCAGGTCTTCATTGTCGGTTTCAAGACGTATGATTGATACATTGCATTTCTAATGAACTTAGTCTGTACATTTTAATGTGTGTGTGCTGTGCTGATATAAAGGCATCAACGCAGTGGAAGGCTAACATCTTGATCTGATACACCGTGCCCTCTGGAGACATGCACACAATAGGGAACAAAAGATTGTATACGTCTCCACAGGGCAATTTCTATAGATGAATACGTCTCCACAAGGTTATCACGAAATAGACGGATTTTACTCAAAAACTAGGCATTTCCAAGGTATGTTGATCCGTCGCAAATGGAAGAGTTTTAGAAAGGGGATATTAAGTCCGAATTTCAGCCAAGGAAATTAATTCTGGTTAAAATAAGATTATTTTGAAACTGCACTTTCAAACTCGAAAACTTTACTACACGAGAACAAAGAAATGACTCCACAAGGATATAATTCCAGTATGTGTGAATAAGAACCTTCAGTTCCTAATTCCTCAGATTAATGCTAAAGGTTTTGTTGCAAAGTTTAGTAGTACATTTGTATTGATAACTAATCAAGTAATGACGTTCTGTGGATTAGCATTGCCTGGCATGTCGAACTTCTACCATTATAGTAACAACCACAGACGTATTTTAACTCAACTTCTCCGAGAAAAAACATCATCGTTCATAGTTTTAAAGTTTTGAAGTTAGTCTTGTATAAAGAACAGAATAACTCAGTTTAACTTTATTTTAAGCAGCACATTAATTTATACAGATGGGATACGGGATCAGAAAGTTTTGATAAAAATTTAAGTTAAACGTTGGAAACTGAATAAACTGGTACAATGAGTACAGCATCACACGTTGTTCTTAATTTTCTTTACTAACTTAGTCTTTTAAACTCTGTCACTAGAAACATGATTCGAAACAGCAGATTCAGAATCGCGCCCCCTATCGTTTATTGGAACAAAGACAGTGAAGTTAGGCCGTCGACCAAACTGCACGTACATAGCTCGGAGGCTACCAGCATCTGGGTTTTAGTTTTTACCGTGTAGTTGATGCTGAGTGAACCCAATAAATGTAATATTTTAATGTAAATATAATGTATTTGTAGATCGTCAATATGCTGGGAGCCGATGGACTTTGGCTTTTTCCTTTCAATTCCCAAACAATAAAGAATCTGGCTATTAAATTTAATTGTAACCTTTCCACCAAAAACGTTATAGAAATTTTTGAATTATATTTCCATTTGCAGCTTTTAAAACTTATTTCTAAAACGGGGAGCGTGCAACGTGCAACGGCGGACCCAAGGGGGGGGGGGGCATGGGGGCTTGAGCCCCGCCCCCCCCCCCAGGTTGTCTTCATTTTTTTTTGTATTTTATTTTTAGTCTCACGATTTGACCTTGGTGATATGTATGTGGCCCATTTTCGAGTAGTCTAATAGGGGCTAAATGGTGCCACCAACGTCAAGTAGCACCCCCCCCCCCAAAAAAAGGATAAAGATAAACAACTTCAAACACATTTGAAGCAATAAAATGTGAGGGCCCCCCAAAAAAATCAAAAAAAAAAAATCCTGCGTGCACCAGGGGCCAACGGTGGCCATGCCCCCCCCCCCCCCAAAAAAAAACCGAACCCATTTTTGTTTTGTTAAGTGACGTCGCAAAAAAGACAGCCACTGCGTACACCACCATCTTTTGCCAATAACAATTTTGGTTAATTAAAGTGGTCAGAAATTTACGGCGCTCCATGAGTGCCATCCACTTATTTATTTACTGAGATAATTTATCACGCCATGTTGACAAATAGCGGAGAGTAAGGCGACTTAATCACATAAATTATCTCGTCAAGTCGACTTCCCGAAGTCGAGATGACGACTTATCGAGATAAATTATCTAGCCAAGTGAACTTCCAGAAGTCGAGATGACGACTTGTCAAGATGAATTATCTAGCCAAGTCGACTTCCCGAAGTCGAGATGACGACTTGTCGAAATAAATTATCTAGCCGAGTCGACTTCCCGAAGTCGAGATGACGACTTGCCGGGATAAATCATCTCGCCAAGTCGACTTTACGAATTCTAGATGACGACTTGTCGAGATGAATGTTCTCGCTAAATCGACTTCCACCATTAAGATGTCGGCTTGTCCAGACAAATCATGTCGCCAAGTCAACTTCCCGAAGTTGACACGATTTAACTTGTGAAGAAGTGATAACTCATCAAGTTGACTCACGGAAATCGAGATGACAACTTGCCGAGATAAATTCTTTTGAGTTTCACCTCGAAAACTAAATTTGCTTTTCAATTGCTCTTTTCCTAACAATTTTAAACTTATTCACTTTTGAATAAGACATCGGTCTCAATATCACTGTGACGTTATGCTGATGTCATCAAGTATGAAATTACAAGCGATTTTAGATCCCAAATCGACCTAAATCGCTAATGCTGAGAAAATTCCTCGGGAAGAATAAAATACGTTTTCTCACACATTAATGCAACTTTCCAAGAACCTAAACAGTGTCCCCATTATTAAGTTAAAGATACTACCTCCTCGACGATAGAAACCGGAAAAAATAAGACGTTAAAAAGAGAGTAATTATTTTGTTTACTTGGTGGTACAGTCAGTGGCGTGACTAGGGTTAAACCTAATTTTGGTGGGCCGGTGGGGGGGGGGCACCTGGTGCACATAATTTTCAATGACATAATGACATAATTTTGTTCATTTTAAGATTTTAAATGGGGAGCGCGGGGGGGGGGGTGTAACAGACATTCGTTGTTGAAAAGGTCCACTTTATGGTGAAAAGGTCCACTTCATGGCAAAAACTACCCTTTTCCACCAGGCTTTATCGCCAATTTTTTTGTTTTGTTGCAGAACAGAAAACAAATGGTAACCGCGGAATCTGGATCTTCTGTATTCAGAAGTAAAGATCGTGTTGCATTTCATTTGACTCCAAAGATTTTAATTGATCTTCCAGAAAGCAAAATAAAATATACACGTGGTACTCATAATGAAGTAAAAAAAAATGACTCATTTTGAGGTAAAATGGAAATCTTCATATAGTGGCAATAAAGAAAGACAAGGCAAGTCTAGCCAAGCTTTTCCCAAATCACACAAACAAAATTATATTCAACCGGTTCCGAATGGCTATTCACTGTAGGCCTTTGTGTGCCTCTGTGTAACAATAGCCCACTTATGTGGCGTTGCGGGGTAATCCTATACAATAGCACTGCCCGGCCCATCAGTGACAGTCAATGAGTCCGTGAGTCTATCCTCTCTGGGTCCAAATGGTTAGATTTCTGAGTCTATTTCTTTGTTGTGTTTATCCAGCTTACAAACTCATGGGGCATCGAACCGGGGACATCCGTGGTTTAGTCGAGTAAACACAAACAAAGACATGTAAAAGCAGGCCTACATGTAAACAGGTATATTGAATGTTAACGTTTGTGATTATTTTCGCAAGCTGACTTGATATATCTAAATTATTGAATAGCATTGCTGGAAACTAATATCCGACTCCGAGACTGAAAATGATATCAAAATGCAGCGTGGAGAGGCAATTAATGGTTGTGTCTCTTTTGTTGATGTTCATAAAATATGCAAAACGTCTGCTCGTCTATTTCCTGTCCACACATGAAGAGGTACATAGAAGGATGATTAATGATGTCATTTGAGTTGTTTTCAATGAAAAGGTATTGTTGCTTTGATCACCAACGGACACGCTGTTAAAAAAAGCTTGACGAACAGGCAGCGCGTGATTGTATAGTTTTTGAAATTTGAAAGGTCAAATGTTCTTTTCCGAACAAAGTTTAAAGGAATATAATGTCCTGTAACAAATAAATTTGCTTGTTTATTTTTGCAGGCCTTTATACAGCTTTAAAAAGTGATAATTTATGTGATTAAGTCGCCTTACTCTCCGCTATTTGTCAACATGGCGTGATAAATTATCTCAGTATATAAATAAGTGGATGGCACTCATGGAGCGCCGTAGAAATTGCATCAGATCGCACAACAGAGCATCTAGAATCCCAAAATTTTCCGGGAACCCCAGGCTGTAAAAGTTTTAATCAACTTTTTTGGGGAAGACAATTTTTTGGCAACCCCCCCCCCCTAAAAAAGGTGTTCTGGATCTGCCCTCATTCCAGAAAAAATGAAACAAATAAATGAACATCTACAGCCACAAAGGTTTATATTGCACACTGGCATAGTTACGTCATTTATTGCGAAAACAGTTTTCCCGCGCAAAATTGCATCCTATAGGAAAACAACTTATAATGTTACTGATAAGTGTATCTTTTTGGCGATACGAAAAATGACACAGAATGGTTAAAATAAACCAAGCATATTGAATAGACGTTGTCAAATAATACGTTATTGGGGGAGTGGACCAGCACTCTCCTATCCATCCTAGTAAAAATCATGAAATAATTATAGTAATTGAATTGGTCCGAAGTGCGAAATTTTCATTGGAATATGCTGAGTGAACACAGCGTAATCCAAAAAGGGGAAAGAGTGTAGTATCCAGACGCCACTTCTTTGGTTGTATACAGAGTCTATGGAGAGTCGAGTGCATTTTGAAAGTATTTATTAACAAAATTGTAAATGCTTCTCAGTCCCACATTCATGTAAAGACTGACCATCATTGAGATATCACATGTATATGATGAAAAACGTGGCGTCAGGATGTAACATTCTTTCCCAAAAAAATAACCTATCGCCACAGAAAATTTTATTTCTGCTTGTGAAGCAACAGTTATTTAAAAACAAAAAACAAAAAAACCAAGAATAAAACAAGGTACATGTTAATAAATAAATAAATAAAACTTGGTGCTTTCCCCCATTGAATCAACATAATTATTTACGCCATGAAGCAGGTTTAGTAAAGTAAATTTGAAAATGGTAAGATGGGAATTTTAAGGCACATATATGGTGTGGACAAGAAATTTACTGAAATCCATTCTTTAAAATTGGTGTATACGTGTTTTTTGGTGTGGCACCTTAAAAATTGATTTTCAACTTGAATGGATAATTTTCTATAATTACATTAGTTATGAGCTTTCCAATGAGACATCGCACGGAAACAAATTGACACACGACAATTAATCAATGAACTAATTTCAACTTTTGAATTAAGAGCGGCACTCTGCCAATTCGCTCTGAACAGTGTGCGCAATTTCTGAACTGGAGCGCGCCATTTAAAACCACTTGTAAAAACTGTATAAAGGCCAGCAAAAACAAAATGAAGCAATTAATTTGTTACAGGACATTATATTCCTGTAAATGTCGCTCGGAAAATAAAAACGAGATTTTGAAAAAGCACGTATACATGTACATGTAAACAAGATTAAAACAATTATTCTCGCAAATAAAAAAAAAAGGTTCCAAAAATTGAACTTCTAAACAAAGGAGAATTTCATTAACAAAATGGACACAATTTGGACCCTTTTCAAATGTAAAAAAGACACATCGTTGGCATGATCGATATCACCGTATGGATCAAAATGCCACCGTCTCGGCGGCAACAAAAAAACTATAAAACCAGCGTCGGCCAACACAGCTGCTCTGTACAAAGCGTGTCTGTATTTTATGTATGTACATGGAAATTGCATATTAACATAAAAACTCATTAAACTGTACACACGAATTCATACAGCGAGTAGATAGCACCGGTGTCAGCATATGTAATTGAGCTAATCAGGACGAGAGAGCAGAAACCATTTTTATGACTAGACACACGCCCCGTTAAACAGTCGTAGGAGGATAATCACTCTCGTACCAATTCACTTTTCGTTTACAGTGAAGTGTTGGGTTTTCTCCTAATTTCAATTTTGACGGGATTATTTTTCATAATCGCCGTCGAAATTCCTCCCCTCCTTTCTGATTTGCTCTTATTATTTTTTTTTTGCATAAAATGGTTTTCTTACTGGCGTGTAAAGGGGGAGTAAAAAAAAAACCAAATGTCGGGACCATTGTTTTAGTGAAGTTCTGCATGTAGCACTTTCAAAATCTAGGATATGAAAGCCCAATTTATAAGCTTTCTTTTAGTACAAGAATCATTCAAATCACTTATGTACTTTTTAAGTTTCGGAGTTTTAAACACAACCACCGTTTTAAAGTTCTGTCCACGGATCACAAAAAAAGGTGTGCGTTCTTTCAGCAAAACTAAAACAATTCACACATATCCTTATGTGATTTGCTTTCGTTTTGCTGAAAAACACTGAACTTTTTGTGATCCGTGAACAGACCCTTAAAACGGCAGTTGTGTTTAAAACTCCGTAGCTTAAACAGTACATAAGTGATTCGAATGATTCTTGTACTAAAAGAAAGCTTATGAATTGGGCTTTTATATCCTAGATTTTGAAAGTGCTACATGCAGAACTTCACTAAAATAATGGTCCCGACATTTGGGTTTCGGGGTTTTTTTTACTCACCCTGTAGATTGGCACCTTGTAATTATGTATCACATGAATCTGGAAAAAATAACTGCGGCACCTTTTCACAATTTTGCGGGCATGGGAATGTTATTGATACCTTGGGTTTAATTATTTTTAAAACCAAGTTGTTTTTGGCTCAATGCCAAATGGTGTAGCATAGTGGTATCCCACAAAGCATCAACTGGGCCAATAGCGCTGCTTAACAGTTAGCAGAAAAGTTGTGCTCATAGCAGAAAATAAGCACTGTTTCACGGCGTCGATGTGCTGAACGGTTGCGCGCGAACGGTTTACGTCACTGAGTCAAGCAACTTTTTTTCTACTAAGCGTGTTTTTTATGTGCTTACTGCTTACGTTTTCCGTAGACGGAGTAGGCCATCAGCCTCGGTCCATTATTTCACCGGTATCACATGAGGGGAATAATCGTCATAGCAATTTTTGGCAAGGTATACACCAGAGTTGGAAAATATGTGATAGCATTGCAGCGGTGACAGCTTTTTGGGTGTTATCACCCTTTTTTCAAAATGTCCATCAAAATGCTTGTTACCACTCTATCAGTAGGGGCAGTATACCTTGTGCATGTGCACTATAATCATTTATGCCCTGATTTGATACCGACCAAACCCCAGGCTGATGGCCTAGAGGCTGTGTCAGCAGAAAATCGTGTGCTTAGCAGGCCAGCACCATGACGTTTGGTCCAAGTTTGATGGCCCTGCTAAAAAAGAACATATGGCTTTATAGCATATTAACGTGTTTATACAACATTTCTTTTTGTTGTAATTTTCAGAAATGGATGGATTTGGGGGCGAGTATTTTATAGCAAAGTAGCAAATACAGGGTTACACTGGCCCGATTAGATTTTGTGTCCATAAATGCTGGGAAAACCAAGAAAAAATGCCCTTCTTCAGTCTGGTTCCCAGACTCTTCTTCAGACGAAACAATTTATAGACGTCAGAGAATTGTCAGGTCCGGGAACTAGACTAGCTGGCTTGCAAACAAAAATTTGGACTAACTAAATGGTAAACTGAGGGAGGTATTTGGGGAAAAAGTCAGTCGGCCGATCATCGTTGGAAATTGATACCAAAAAAGTCTACACCAGGTGCCATCATTTCTGTGATTTTTGAGATTATTATTCACCTAAGTAGTCAAGTAAACGTATTTCTTAATAATTTTGTAGATTGTTTTTTGATGATTGCAAAAGTTAATGTTCCGCTGGGAACAGACGCAGCATTAGCAAGGAACCCTGCATGGCAGTTTGACCGATGACCCATTTATGGTTTAGAAAACATTTTCTGCGCTCAGCAAAGTTTTGTGCTAAACATTTCACCGAGGTGGCCCCAGTTCCTTATTGGTTTTTGTTCATTAAAAGTAAAATTGCCAAGTAGTTATTTGAACAGTAAACAAGGTATTTTACATTTTACAAGTTATGCATTCGAACCTTCGATCTCAGGAATACCATATTAGTGCTTGACCAACTCAGCTTTTCCAATTGTCCCGACAGCTCAGATTAGGCAACGGTACGGCATTCCAAGGTAACAGGTTCGAATCCAGTTGTACTCAGTTATCTTTGTCCTGGGGATAACCCTTCCTGTCATCTTTCCGGTGACGATGCACGGATAGCCCGTCGCCTACGACTGGTCCATCGCTTCTCTCTCAAGCTCCGTATCCGGCCCCGGTACACGCCAAACTTCGACGCAATCTTGCGCGAGAGCAGTGTTAGCTCCATTGAACTGAGGCTCATGCACATGGAAGTGAAGCAGAGACCAACGAAGGAGTACAGAAACGAGAATATGAGTCCGGCATGGAGGTTTTGAGGTAGGAAGACCAGGTCGCCGAATCCGATGGTACTAAGTGAGATGAAAGAGTAGTAGAAACCATCTATGAAACTCCATTTCTGCATTGCGGCAAAGCAACCGGCTCCTAGTAGGAGATACATCAGGAGCAAAAGGAGGGCTAGCCAGAGCGGGATGCTCAGCATGGCGATATCCGCCTCGGATACGCGCATCAACTCGCGTCCAATCATGGACGGACGCGCGGCGCCGAAGCGCAGCTGACGGAGCTTCTCGAAGCTCTTCTCCTCCTCGGAGTCCATGACGTCATCGTCGCTGTTGACGTCATCCGGCCGCGCCTGGTTATCGTCCGAGCTGTCCCCGACCGTGAGGTGGATGGAGTTTGGTCGCCGCTTCGGGGAGCACTCGGTGGAGTTGGAAGTGGAAGACGCCACCCCGGAATCCGTGGCAGGCTTGTCTGTGAAATCACCGTCCGCGTCATCGTCCGCCTCGTGAGCGTCTCTGATGACGTCATCGTCGCGCTCGGTGCAGCGTTCCAAGTGTCGGTTGGGCAAGCGTCCGTTCTGTTTGGGCATGCTGGTCTGGAAACTGACGTTGGGAGCCGAGGTCCGGCGGGTGCGCGTCCCCCTGATAGCCGGCCGGTGACGGGAAGGCTCCGTGTCGGTCCTCTCCTCGTTAAATGTGTTGATGCCTTCTAAAGATCTGGATTTCTGTCTGGATAGTTCGTTGACATGCTGATCGTCCATGAGTGAATCGTGACGGAAGTACGTCGCCATAATTTGTGGAATTTCATCCTCCTTTCTCAACAACAGTGATTCGTAAAGCGGGGGTCTTGTTTTTATATCCATAGATAACGAATCAGTAGAAAATGTCTTTGTTATTGCTGAGTCTACTACTCTGCTGTCGATGTCCAGGGCAAGTTCGGTTTTTCTTCCTTTTTCCTCGGCAGAGTTTGAACACTCGGATTCTACGACATCGTCAGTTTTGACGTGTCGAGCATTTTGCATAGGTTGTCCGCATTTATCGCATGTACTTTCACCAATGGCCGTTTCCTTGCCGAGTGGTGACGTATGCAAGACGTCACTCGGCTCATATTCACATACATCGTTCCGAACTCCCAAAGACTCTGGGTTGTTAGTCATTGATGTTGTCACGTCCGTTTGTTGGTTGTCGACCGTCGTGCCTCCTCTTTCCCTGGAATCGGCGCCCTCTATAACCGACGGTTGGTTGTCCTTCAAAGTGTCAACACTCACTGTGACGTCATCTGTTGACGCATCCGAAGACGAAGAATCTGACGCCCTCTCGTTGGGCGAAGAGTCCAACTTCTCTCCACCGCCGAGGTAGGGATCAATCTCAACCTCTTTACTGTCTTCGATACTTTCCGTAACCGATTCTCTAGGCCTTGGCACTTCGAGAGTCGCGCTGGGCACGATTGCAGGAGCATTATCATTGGTGTCGATTATGCAGGCTTCGACTCCCGTGCTGGACCCGCCGTAATCGCTGTTGTCTCGACAGACGTGCAGCCCTGCGTCCCTGTATCCGTGGTAGCGCTCCTCCTCGCCGACAGCACCCTCTATGTCCTTGGTCTCCATCTCCCAGGCCTCTTCGTCCAATGTGGACATGGCAATGTTGATGTGGACCTCGGGGATGTTCCAGGCCCTCAAGCCCCCGTCTCTCAAACTTGAGGCGTCTCCTCCAACCTCACGACCGTCATCCTCATCACGGACCTCATCACCTCCTCCTCCTTCATCCGCCTGTGCCTCATCCCGTCCCGTATTCGACTTCCCCAAATCATTCCGTCTCCTCTCTTGGCAATAGTTGCACAGTTTGTATTTACACTTCCGGAATTTGATGATGGCGATCTTGGTCCAGCGAGCGAATTTGTTACCTGTGAAATCAATCGAGATAATGTTGTAATACTTGATAAATTGTGTGTGTTGATATAGGGGAAAGGACAGTTCCCTTTTGGACTTTAGATAGTTTGCACTGGCACTGCAGCTATGAGGCGTTTATTGTTAATCAATTAACGTAACAAAACACATCTCATAAATTGCTGTTGAATGCACTCGATCATATTGAGGTATTTTATCAGGGTATGCCCTGAAAAAGAAAAGTGCTCCTTGATTATTAATTGCTATGTACTATGGCACCGTGTGTTTATCTTGCAATGTAAATATGTTTGTCCTAATTTTCTGTTAAAACAGGAAATTTAATTCATAAGGTTGCTTGGCAGAAAATATCGCTTAGAGAATTCACATGCCGTGTATCTTATTAGTGTCTGGCAGGTATTTTTTTTAACCATTCAGTAAAATGTGACCATGTTATTTTGAGTATTCTTTCTGCGTTCATAGCCATATGGCCAGGCACAATTTGCCGAACCCTGGTTATGCAAAAAAAAATGTAACTGTGACGTACGTATAGCAAAATACTAATCAAGCGACCACATTCAGAAGTCAATACTTAGGTGTAATACCCAACCTCGTCCCCAGGGTGTCGAGCAGTACGCGCCCACCACTACCTGCTCTCTCACCCTGGTATTGGATCATTTGCATGTGCAAGATTTTTGCACACGTATGCAAATGAGGAACAGTCTGGTGCCTGGATATGCGTTACACATTAGCGTTTGTTTTTGTATGCGGTGTCCGGGGTAAAAACAGAGTCAATTCGTAGCAGCGCGAGCACGGCGTGAGTTACGAAAACACGATTTTTGAAATCAAACTGTTACGATCTTATCGAGACAACATGCAGTATCATATTTCATATTAATATGAGCAAATTGGAAAGGAAATTAGTATTTTCGAGAAGGCGTGGACGAATGATCGCGAAAACACGTACTGCACGTTGTGAATAATAGCCTAAAGTACACGATAAAAATCCATTACTAGCCAATTGCGGTATCCAATCAGGATACAGGAAGAAAGTTTCCTATCCAGGGCTTACTATTGGAAACACCGTTGGAAATAAAGTAAGCACTGGGGACGAGGTTGGTGTAATACCATGCTCGCGCGCAGGTGGTACGCGCACGCTCAACGCTCCCCCAACCAATACTGTGGCGCGGTGCAACTTGCAAGAATTCACGCGCACCTCAACTCAAGAGAGCAAGTGACATGCGCAGAACAGAAACACCTCAGGTTGCACTGGACCAGTAAATGGGACTAAAATTGCCTCGGCTTTCTTTCTTAGTGAGGTTTGTGGCCCTTGCACCTGAGGGTTTGTAGAAAATAAGGGTCCAATGTCTAATCCGGACCTGGAACTTAAAATTGTTGGGAAATTTGGATGAAATTGACCCGGAATGTCGCTTTATTTTGCATTGGAGTGGACCTATCATTTTCAAAATTGCGATGATTTCAGGTTTGATTTCAGGGGTGGTCATATTTGAAGAAAAAAAAATCACCCAAAATTCATCGGTCAACTCCACAAAATTGAGTGGAAAGTGAAACGGGGTTGATCAAGCTTCAGTTTGGTTTGTGTCTTGAACACCTTCAAGTCACACACCTAACTGATACTTAATTAACCCTTGATTAACCTTGTGGGGGTGTGGCCTAGTGGTTGGGATTCGTGACCCATAATCAAAGTTCCAAGGGTTCGAATCCAGCCGCTGGCTATATGCTGTGTCCTTGGGCAAGCCACTTCACCCCCACTTGCCTCTCTCCACCCAGGAGAATAAATGAGTACCGGCATTCAGCAGGGGAGTAACATGCGATGGACTAGCATCCCATCCAGGGGACTAGAAAATAATATTCTCAGTCGTTTCATGCTACCGTCCGATCCCGGAGATCCCGGAGATAAACTGGTCTGCAGCCCTCATGAACGTCTTCATATGACACGATCACTGGATATCAATATTTCATGTGATGCCTCAGTAGAAAACGCGAGGTCATTGACCTGTGACCTAATCCCTTTGAGTCAGTGTGGCGACTAGACAATGCAGGCTAAGCCTTCTTGGATTAGGCGACATTCGAAGGTGAGGCATTTAATTAAGGGGGGTTGTTTGCCCAATCCAACCAAATTACACAAACGAATTTGATTAACCCAAAACATAATGCATTGGTGAAGCTTGTTCTCCATTGACATTGGTCTGTAACTGCTCGGCTGGCAAAATGATTGATGACACTTTCATTTTATCCTGGTCTATCTTTTGGTTCTAATCATGACGTTCCGTTAGCGAAACGAATTTGATTCTGTCAATTGTTTTTTATTCGGTTGTTTTAGTTTTTTTTTCAAATGTCCAAGCTCAGCCTCGTCCCCAGGGTGTTGAGCAATACGTGTGCACCACTACCTGCTCTCTCACCCTGGTATTGGATCATTTTGCATGTCCAAAAATTTTGAACACTATGGAAATTAGGAATAGTCTGGTGCCTGCCTGTGCTTTAAGTTAGCGTATGTTTTTATAAGGTGTCTGGGGTAAAAACAGAATCAATTCGTCGCGGCCTGAGATACGTAAACACGATTTTCTTTTCAAAGTTTAAATGTTACAATCTTCTCCAGCCAATATGCAGTATTACATTTCATATTAATATGAGCAAATTGGAAAGGAAAGGATTATTTTGGGGTAGGTGTGGACGTATTAATAAAAATGAACATGAAAACACGTAATGCACGTTGATCATAACAACACCAAGTACACGATATAAACCCATTACTTGCCAATTGCGGTATCGAATCAGGGTATACAAAAAGAAAGTTTCCTATCCAGGGCTTACTATTGGAAACGAGGTTGAACATAAAGTAAGCCCTGGGTACGAGATTGGGCTAAGCTGCATTTTGCAAGCTTCAACTTATTTCAAAATCTTTATATTCTCTTCACTGTTGGTAACTTTGGAAAAATGTTCTTCTGAAAAATTGAGAAAAAAAGCTACGACAATCTAACTCATAAATATTTCACTAAACTGGGAAACGAAATTTGAAACTGAGCTTAAAAGTGAGCAACGTGGGTTGCAGATAGCACTCACCTATATCTGTAATGAACAACAACATCAGAGGAATCCCCACCACTGCGTAAACGACGGCAAAGAGTCGACCAAATACTGAAAGAGGGGTGACGTTTCCGTAACCTGTAGAGGGGAAAAATAGGTCAACTTTGTAGTCCGGGTTTTGTTGTTGTTGTTGTTGTTGTTGTTGTTGTTGTTGTTGTTTTTGCAAATGCAGTGAAAGTTACTCTCCAATCAAGAGTACATCCACGATTTGGTTTGAGCTATAACAATTGAAATGATGAGTAACCAGGTAACACCCATTGAAATTATGGTTTCGACGAAAATCTATAAATGTTGCCAAATTTCGAAAAATTCTACTATTAAAAAAAATGTTCGGAGATTTACAAAAGTATAAAATCTTTGAACTTAAAATATGGGTTTACTGCAAAAGGTTTTTATCACATAAAACAAACTACTTGTCTTATCATAACGATGTTCATGCCTCTTCGCTGTTAGTCGGTACTCCATGTTTGTTTGTTTGTTTTTCTGTCTGTCCGTCTGTCTGTCTGGCTGCCTTACCGTGCTGATGTCAAAGCTTTTGTTTGTACTGATATGTGTATCTTTCATATTTGCGTTTACTCGACCATCCTGTCATATTTTTATTGTCCAGTCATGCATTAGGTCGGTTATTCTACAGGTTTTACTAGCCCAAGCTGGTTGGACTTCGTTGTGTACATGCGTCAGTCGTAATGCAATGAAGACGTCGTCCTCCCTGGGCTATAGGGTTTTACAAGCCTGGGCTGTTATTTGTGGCGTTGGCATATACATGTAGCTTTGTCATGTTCAACCCATGTTAAATTTGGGTTCACGTTCGGCTGCAAAAACATCAAATCATTTGTGTTAAATGTGGCGTTTGTATGGGGTATAGGGGTAGCCCAGGTGGACTCCCGTACCGCACTACGTAGTCGTAATGCAATAAAGAGGGCGTCCGACCTGGGCTATAGGGGCAGGGTCATTGGTCAAGCACTGAAGACTGATCTGAATTATCCTGGAGTTTGGGTTGAACCCGAACCGGAGACGAGTTTTCGAAAATGGCTTTGTCTGAGTTTCTATATTTTTTTTCACCATCAACTTACCTATTGTTGATATGATGGTAAAGCTACAGTAATAAGAATAGATCCAGGACCAGACTTGTCCATCGATCTCCAGGTAGATATGGGGAAAGTTGATCAGATCCTTTTCCCATTTCCTCAGAAGCTGGTTGTGGCAGCTCACATTACCGGAACAATTGACTAATTTCTCGGCCACTTCGAGCCGCTGATTCGCCATCAATTTCATCTGTTTGTCCTCCTTGTCCGCCTCGAGCCACATGAAGCAGAACGCCCCGATGCACAAGTAAGTCTGGATGAGGAGGAACAGTCCAAGGGAGGAGGAGAGAACCATCTTGATGCGGCTCCAGACGGGATTCCCCTGGGGCTTCGTGGAGGCGAAGCCCCGGCGGGCCGGCAGGCTGCCGCTGCTCCGCGCTGCCGAGGTCTGGCGGCTGTAGTCCCCCGATCGGCGTGGTGGGATCTCGCTGGGCTGCGCCAACTCCACGCTAGCCGTTGGTGATGGGATGTTCACGCTGATATTTCCACCACTTCGGCGGGACCGTGAGCTGAAGGCGCTGGCCGTGGACATGCGCTTCTTGCCCGCTATAAACCACGGCGGTGGGTCCAAATAATACCCGTCCAACTCATTCTCTTCTGCCTCGTCCACGGCGTTACGTGCCGTGTGGGTTTGCTGGAAAAACATGGCTGTCTTTCTTGAACACAAAATCCTCAATGCACCATCGAACGTATTTCTAATTTACAGACTTTCTCATTGTTTATCCAAGCTTTATCCAGTCGGTTTAAGTGACTTAATTACAGATCCATAACAAAATTAGGCGCAGCAAATTGAAGCCTACATATTTCGGCCGATGTCAGCACACTGTCAGTACAGTAAGACTTGAAAATCAAATCTCTGGTATAGCTTCAGAAACATATCCAATAGTCTTAATCCACTTTCTTGCGTAGCGCAACACCGCACTTGGATGATCGAGAACTAGCCGAGGAGCACACTTATCTCCAAGTACCTTGGTAACTGCGTCATGTCAAAAAAAATCCTCCTGCGGCTCCGCTCATTTCTTTGAACTTGTAGATTACAGTTTAGTTAAGTTCCACAAGCAATTTGGAAGTTCCAGTTTATTTCTATCAGTTCTCAATAATCGTCTCTTGTGGCGTGACGACAGCAGGTTTGGCGATGACGTTGCAGCGTCTTTTTATCGGCAAGACCGTCCAGAAATGTTTGTTGGTCCACCCGGGGCGATCTCTTGCCTCCCCTGTCGGAGAATGTCAGCCTCATCCACTATCAAACAGTCTTGGAACTCCACACAAGTAAAGTTATCTTGCCGTCATCGAGTCAGTTGTTTTGGGTCCTTCACATATTCCAACGCTACTGTGCGTATCACACAACACGATAGCTTGTTACGTTCCAATGCTGACGTAACAACGACAGGACGAATGCATCCGATGCTGAAGTTGAAGACTCGAATCGCAGTTACTTGTTCCTTCTCCTCAATGACCACGACATATCCAGAATAACTCGACGTCCCTTCGTAATATTTCTAGAAAGTTGGCAATAAACCAGTCTTCGGTTGTGTTGTTAGGCTTCAGTGGCGACGTGAATACAGAGTCAAGCGTTACTCCACCGCATCCCATTCAATGATGTATCACTGGAGATGGTCTGAACGAAAAGGGAGACAGAAAAAAAATAAGAATAACAGACGCCGATCAATAACGTTGTTCTTATAATCTTTTCACACACAAATGCGAAACACAATGAGCTCAGCAGGAAATTCGATTAATCGGGGGGTTGTGCGGACGAGTACATAACATGGATAGGGTGTGGTGAGGTCAGTGCGGGGCGGTTTGGCCTGAGGTTAAACTTGCAAGTTGGAGTCCAGGCAAAATATCGTACGCCCTCCTGGTGCAGCTATTTTGAGCTGCACAACTCACTCTTTATGTTAAAACGTGTGGGCCGCGATGTTTTTTTCTTGTTCATTCAAAGTTTCTTTACTTTTTCGTCTCTTTCAATCAATGATTTCGAGTTGGAAGGCAACTGTTAGTGTTGCTTACATTGATAAAACGTAGAAAGTGAAAACACTTCGTATGCAGACAACATTCGGTCTCGACAACTGAAAGCCTAAGTTGTCGTTTTTAAGTTGGGTGTGTTATTTTTGTAAGCGAAATTGTATATCCAAGCGATGATTGGCAAAACACTCTTCGCAATTATTTGTTTGTGAACCGCCTTCCCGTATCAAATTCGATATTTTTACTGGTATTGTTTTTTACTCATCTTGCATGTAGTAGTGTAAATAAAATTCTGAAAGTTATAAATCATTTATATGCTACATGACATATTTTGTTTATATTATTTGTGTAAGTTTCGTGATAACAAGGTTCTTGTTTACAGAATGACAAGTGTGTGATAAAACATACCGTGACTCATGTACGGTATAATTGTGAGACATTTAGTATTCATGCCATACCTATACAACACAGACATGAAACAGTTACATGAGTAGATAAATGACACTGCAAGAGTATGCATTCACAAAAAAACGTCTCTAGGATTGAAAATGAATATACCATCATCTTCAAAACATTTCTAATCTGACCAAAATTCCACTCGTTCACATTGAAATATCAACATTTGTCATGGTCTTTCAGGTTTTATCCTCGCCTGAGTTGTCCGTACACGAAACAGCCGTCGACAGAAGCCAAACTTCCAACCAATCCATCGATTGGTTCCTTTATCCTTTCCTGCTACCGCAATGAATCATTGAAAGTTTAATGGCGCGACCGGGCTCGATCCCATTGTTCCTTGATCGTTGAAAGGATCGAGCCCCCCATCTGGATACGGATACGCTTGTCCCGGGTTGTTTGAATCAAGTCACTGAGAAGAGGTCGGTCAATATTTCCAATATGGCCGCGTAAACACTGACGAGCCTTTACTCTCTTACTTCGAACGAGTGCATGACAATGAACTGTATTGAATTGAACTTCCACTGACGACAACTGACACTATAGACCTACAGGGTGGTCAAAATAACACGGAACTTCATTTTCCGCTACATTGAGACTCAAACCACCTGTATCAATTGATAGAGAATCCTTTTAGGAGAATTATGATACCAAAATATTCCGATTCGGTCGAGTATTTTTTGCTATTTTGTAAAGGATACTTCTTTCATGTGGGTATTATTAGATAACAATCCGTCTATCAATTACAAGGTAAGTCAAATTCCCGGGCGCGGTTTAGTAGTTCATCGGGACAAAAATGACCCCCACCTTGCTTCGCAAAATAGCCTCTAGAATAAAAACTACTGGACCGAATCGGACAATCTTGGTTTCATTTTTCTTCTAAAAAGATTCTCCATCAGTGATGTAGTGCCTTGATGCTGGGCCTTGGCCTTAAGGCTGCCTTAGGGCTGGACTTTAGGGCCTTGGCCTCGAGGCTTGAGGGCAAAAGCCTTGGCCTTGGCCTTGAGGGATCAGTGCCTTGCAATTTTGAGTCAAGGCTCTTCAAGGCTCATAGATTTTTGCATTTTCCAGATAAATCTGTTTGAAATTTTGCTGTTACGATTTTAATCGTGTTACCTTGGAGGAGGAAAATACCCTATAGATTTGTGTGTTGGGCACACTTTCACTTTTATAGCATCACATTTTGTTACCATTGCAGTACATTTGCTGCAATAATTTTCTGTACACTTAGTAAGTAAAGCCACACAAAGTTTTAGTGAGCTACTTTTTTTTCTAACTGATGATCAATCTGATTGGTTGTTTATGTCTCCCTGATAAGTGCTAAAGATTTCTGACCATGTTGGCCAGCGAATAAAAATTCCCCAAATCAGTTTCATGGGTCCCCCTTTTGTTACACTCGGGAGAATTGTGCGTCAATATAGAAGTAAATCAATATTTTGTTTTAGTTAAACCATATTCATGAAGACCTGAACTTATACTTTAATAAATACATGTAAAATGCAGTCATAAAACATTGTATGTGAGCATTTTGATTTCAATTTAAGGCAAGTTGTTCTTCTTAATGAGCGATTCGTAATGATGTGTCATGTGACTATAATTAGTTCTATATTAGTGGTCATTTTATAAAACAGGGCCTTGGCCTTGGCCTTGGCCTTGAGGGTCAAAGCCTTTGCTCCAACACTGTTCTCCATGCATTGGTATATTTGGTTTGAGTCTCAGAGAAGAGGACGTTTTGGGTTCCGTGTTTGTTTGTTTATTTGGTGGTTTTTTTTACCACTCCACTCTGTTTAGGGACCAGACGTTTTAGAGTGAAATTCATTCAATCGAGTAGATTGAGTTTTCATTCGAGTTTCTACTGGATTGGTTCTTTTTCGGAGTATTTCAACATTAGAGCGAATTTTATTCTAAATCGTGCAGTCCCTTTAATTCACTCTTTGGAATCATTTACGGGTAGGTATTTGGAAAATCGTCGACATCATTGAACATGAAAATGCTTGTGGAAATCCATTGGCCAACTTCATTATTTCAGAATGGTCATGCTCGACTAAAAATGTGACAAGGACAGCTGCTGATGATTAATAATGAAATATACTTTGCAGTATTAAACTTATATTGTAATTTGTCTGATATTGTTCACTGCATTAAAGGGGGTTTCATCAAACTGGAACCTTGAATGCAAGGGCGGATCCAGAACCAATTTTTTTTGGGGGGGGGGCAAAAAAATTGTGGGTTCCCCAAAAAGTGGGTCAAAAAATCAGGGCGAGGGGTTCGGGGCCCGCCTAAGGGCCCCGAAAAATCTTTGGATTCTACATGCTCTCTGGTGCGATCTGAGGCAATTTCTGACCACTTTGACGAATTATTGCGACGTCACTTAAAAAAAATTGGGTTCGTGTTTGTTTTTGGTTTTTTTTTTGGGGGGGGGGGGATGGCCCCCGTTGCCCCCCGTCTTCTTCTTTGTTTTCCTTCTTCTTCAAGCCCCCCCCCCCCCCTCCTCTCGATCTCCCCGGTTGCCCCCTCCTTTCGACGCCCATGCACCTAAATGGCGACTGTTGTTGATTGTCTGTTTACTTACTTAATTATTTACCTTAATCTACCGTCATTTGATGCTTGGTAACATGGATCAGTTCACGCAACCCTCTACCAGTCAAATAATGAATTTGTTATGATAATGATATTGAAAATTACTAGTTGCCAATTATTCTACCCGCAGATGTGCCGACGGTTTGTAACGAAATGCAAAACTCCAATCAAATGATGCATTTTTGGTGCATGGAGGGCGAGGCTGCAATCTCAAACAATGGAAGCCCCGCAGACATGTTCGTGTCGTTATCGATTGAAACCGATTGTGTGTCATAGCCGATTGCGCATCAGCCGACTTGAACCCTTCTCGAACATTAATCATACCGATACTGTCCCAATCGACAACATGTGTTGGCAGAAACCCATAATATCCAAGCATAACGAAGCAAACGTTTCGCTAAAGTGTCAACAATTATAATCGCTAGGGCTGTGAACAGTTTCACCGAAATTAATTTCAATCGAAGGATGATGAGTACTAAGTTGATGGTATGTAAAGCGCACTGCCACGAAATTACGCTGTCTCGTTTCCGCAGAAACATACTCTGTCATCTCTGAATCATGCATTGTGAAATCTGCTGGTCCATTCCACAAGCGTACGCTAAACATCATCTACAACAAGCACACAGTCATGATTTTAATGTCATGGGCATAATGCAAATACGCCCTCTTTCACTTTAGGATAAAACACGCCCACACGTTTAATATTTGTGTTTTATGTGATGACATAAAGGTCGAATAATTAACCAGAAATTTTAGTCCGGAATGGTGTAGTGTTCCGGCATTTATTTATGTCCGTCGTGGGGTCGGCTACAATAAATATTGGCTTGCGCGCGATTTCCCCGAACCATAGGATTGTATATTTCTTATTTCGTATCTACCGCCCTATCTGTTTGGGGCTGGTTGCACTCTTGAGAATCCCTGTCATATACAAATCGGACTTCTATAAAATCGGACTCCTTTACCATACTATTGGCTAAACCCTCTCACGTGACCGGTCACTCTCCTAATGATTACGCATGCGCAATAGAACCAACGAGTCCGTATTTTCATGGAGTCCTAACTTCACGCTACACCGGGTCGGACTCGACACAATCCCGGTCAGATTTGACGTGACATTTTTTCCGAGTTAAAATGACACTTTCCTGAGTCACATTTCCGGGATTTTGACCCGAAACATTCTGACCTAAACAATTGTCATTTTGACGTAGAAAAATGTCGTTTTTACACGGAAAAAGAATGTCATATTGATCCGGAAGGGTGTCGGGTCAAAATCTGACCCCGATTCGACTAGAATCTGACACGGAACATTTAAGAATGTACGGTTAGAATTTCTTTGGGCTCTCATGGGATAGATTTTTGGTCGACAAATGACCCGGGGTCAACACTTCCGGCGCGTAAGCAATGAAATGTTCGTGCATTGATCATGGCGATAGGCCATCCAGAATGCATTGCGTTTCCCTCACGGTATTATATGTGAAAGAGACTGCCCGTTTTTGTTTAATACCAGCCTGAACACCCTTGGATCGGATGGTGCCAGGTGGGTACCAGCGAAGATCAAGGAGTGAAATCCCAAGCATTTTGTATTATAGTAACAGATAACAGAAGATGTGGGGAAAAACAGCCTTTTTTCTTTAAATTCTAAGCACAACTTTTGGCCAAAAATGTCACTGAATACACGTGCATGTATACTTACTTCTCTAAAATTCTGTATTATATTTAATAAAATTCTAAAATGTAACAAAAGAAATAACTGCACGTGCTTGTTTTTAACGCTGGGATTAACCATCTGACAAGGTGTGAAACTAAATGGGCAAAAAGGTGTCAACTCCAGCCTCATAGGTCTTCCACGTACCATAGAATTACAGTTCAGTGGGGGAAAAAAATCGAAGTGAATGTTGTGTCAAAGCTGTGAATTTCATGATTCAATCATGCACGCACGTGCGCGCCAAAACAATACGCGCCAAAACTAACGATCGCGCCAAAACAATACTGGGTTAACTCAGGATTTTGCATTCTGTGCATGATTTTTGTTTGAAGCAATAACTAAATAACTAAAGCTGCATATTGAAGTTTCAGCTCACTGGATACCGACATTTTAAGAAAACAGAGAGACTTTAAGCACAGTTTTGTCAGTGGATTCCATTGCTAGCGTTAATTCCGATTTCGAAAGATGCTGTTTCATAATTGTAATAGCACACTTATGTGTACAGTCAGCAAAGGCGGATTGGGGGGGGGGGGGGAACGGGAGTCCCCCCCCCCAAAAAAAAGCCCCCCCCCCCAAAAAAAAAAAACCACAACCATCTTTTCCTCAAAGAAAAAAATGGTTAAAGTGGTCAGAAATTGCCTCAGATCGCACCACAGAGCATCTAGAATCCAACAAATTGTCGGGACCTAGCGGACCCCGAACCCCACGCCGTATAGTTTGGGACCCACTTTTGGGGGACAAAAAATTGTTTCCCCCCCCCCCCTCCCCCCCCCAAAAAAAAAAAAATGTGTGTTCTGGACCGCCTTTGTAAATCAGTAACTGTAACATGGATGATTCTCATTATAAGTGCATGTGAATTTCGTCAAATAAAAACAAAAATCGAGAGCCCGTTCCGTTGGCACACTTTTTAAAATCGCCTTCAATGATTGTTTTCTTCTGAACGATATCATTTTGAGGTCAAAAACCTTCGTCGGATTGTGTGGTATACCAATGCTATCTTCACTTTGAGCTAGGATTTCTCATATATCGGTATGTCCGTTTCCGGGTAATGGATAAATGACCTACAGCTAGGGTGAGTCAAAAAAAACGAAACCCAAATGTCGGGACTATTGTTTTAGTGAAGTTCTTTATGTAGCACTTTCAAAATCTAGAATATGAAAGCCCAATTCATAAGCTTTCTTTTAGTACAAGAATCATTCTAATCACTCATGTACTTTTCAAGTTACGGAATTTTAAACACAACCACCGTTTTAAAGTTCTGTCCACGGATCACAAAAAAGGTGTGCGTTCTTTCAGCAAAACGAAAACAATTCACACACATCCCTATGTGATTTGTTTTCGTTTTGCTGAAAGAACACTGCACTTTTTTTGTGATCCGTGGACTTGAAAACGGTGGTTGTGTTTAACATTCCGTAACTTGAAAAGTACATGAGTGATTTGAATGATTCTTGTACTACAACAAAGTTTATGAATTGGGCTTTCATATCCTATATTTTGAAAGTGCTACATGCAGAACTTCACTAAAACAATAGTCCCGACATTTGGGTTTCGGGGTTTTTTTTATCACCCTGTATACACGTCTTATTATCCATGTGTTCGAAAAACCAAAGAAATTTTGCAAACCTGCCAGTGCGTTTTACTGTTTTATTATTTGCCTCCCCCCGATATCAATTAGTATAAGCGTTTATTTACTTTCAGTCCTCTTATGTACACACGCGCATCCGTCCGCGATAGCGATAAATAAAATATCGTTCTGAAAATAGCCGCGTGTTTTGTTGGAATTTGACTGCAAACGTGCGGTACAATCAACAACAGTGCTCAGTCATCGAGCCTAATATTAAAATATTTCGGCAAAATGATCATAAAATTTATTTCAGATATTAAAAAAAAGCCAAAAAGAAACAGAAGTCTAAAACACGAATAATTGTGAGTTATTAATAGCCTAGGGCATAATATTCTGGGTCCTACCCCCACAATTATAATTCAAACATAGTGTCCGCTGTGTACCTATGTCGGTGACTGACCAACTGATTGACTGCTCGACTGACTGACTGACTGACTCTGAGCCTGGCAGTGCTATTGTATAGGATAACCCCGCAACGCCAATGAATGGGAAACATCCGCCCACTGTGTAGACCAGATACATAAAATGACTTCCACAGAAAAATCATCCCGAAAAGATTCATAGAAGTTTTCAGTTTGGGTCCAGCTTTTCTACGGTTGTCTTGTTTTGTTTTTATTTCAATTTAAGATGTTTTTAAAAGGAAACAGAGCTCTGTTAACCATTTGGACGCATGGTAGTGTCTCTGTTGCGAAAGTATGCTAATCATGGCTTTTCACTTTAGTCATTGCGTGTAATAGTGAATATACTATATTACACTATCGTATAATGACACACGGCCGTTTTACGCATGCACTCATTGTAGCAGTGAAAATGAAATAGCCATTGATAATGTCTGTAAAGGCTTTCCTACCAACAGAACCAACTTACCGCACGTAAATTTTTAACCGAGTGTGGAACATCATTTCTTCGGTGTTGTCCATGATTCAGTTCTAAACCATCCCCGGGAAAACTTCTCACAAGCAGACGTTATGTCGTCCTCAGTCGATCTCACGCAGTTGTCACTCTTCCAGTATTCCAGCGCAAACCTTTTTTTGATGTATCATATATCATACCGTACACAATGATGTCGTGTGTTAACAATACGCAAATTAAAACTCGGCATGCATGACTTTCCGTTAAGTACCAGGCTGTCGCGAAAAACACAAAACATGCTGGTACTGTCAGCGCCAGAGCCCTAATCCTATATACGTTTTATCTGAGTAGGGTAATGGCGGTATTTGAGTCTTCATCTTTTTCTATTACGCTGACTTGACACAATACAGTCGATTCACGATCACTACCAGCACCGATATTTTGTCAGTTTTGTGGAGGTCAATTTTACTATTCCAATGCACACGCCATGAACCGTATATGTCATCCAACTCACTGAGGTTTACAACATATAATGTAATGATAACGTTTGGCCTTGGGTATTGTTTAGTTCGAGAAAGTGTTTGCTTACGGGTTTTCATTTACCCTGAAGCGGGGCAGCCCGACCTCAACTTTGACGAACTATGCATGAACTGTCCACCTCAGTCATGCACAACATTTAGCACCGAAGGAATGGTACTTGTGACGTCGTCAGTAGTCTCGTCTCAAGCCGGCCGCCGACCCAAATGAAAAACGTACTCATTCTTGCCATAACTAAAATGTAAAATGTTCCCTTGCACAAACAAAGTTTCCCTAACTCTGAACGATCAGTGACACTTTAAATACTATTTATAAGTGTACATTTCCCCCTACATTCACAATTCAACAACTTCAAACCTATTCAACAAAACTTCCAAATCAACTTTAATAGAATTCTTCCAGAAAACAAGGCCGACTCCAGGGATGGAAGTTGTCCTAAGAAGGCGATTGAAGAAAGATAAATTGTATCTCAATAGATCAACACCTTCCACTTTTATCTAAATAAACTCAATTTGCAATCAATATTGACCTGTGAATTGGTGAATGCATGCACCTGTTAATTATTGTAAGACGGACCAAATGACCCCAGCATGGTGCGTTAGGAGTGCGTCATGTTCTTCATGGTTGAGACACGTACAGGGGTGCGTCAAGTCATGATTTGGTGTGTCAAAAAATAAATCTGGAGTGCGTCACCTTTCCTCAGTAGGTGCATCACAGTTTGTGAAAGGTGGATCAAAAATGTTGCCAAATAGCGTCATAACAATACATTGAGTGCGTCACTACTCTGACACACACACACAGGGTGTATAGATGCCACAAAAGGATAACCCACTGTTGGACAATGACACACCATTCCCGGGGGTCGTGGGGTGTGTCATACAATTAACCTATCGCAGTAGAATCTCGTCAAAGCAGCTTGTGAATATCATTGTCCAATATGATATTGTCCAATTACATGATATACAAATCGACGCGGAACGTGCAAAATCTGAGACAAAGAAAACTTAGGCCTAACTACGAAATTTCACAGGTGAGATTTGAAGGTTTGCATGGTGGAAAGATACTAAGACAAGATTGCGGTAGCACCATATGAATAAATCTCTTTTGTGAGTATGTGTGGTTCTGAAAAGAACTGGAGGGACTCAACGTTTCGAACAGTATGCTCTGCCCGTCGTCAGGAGAATGTTTCACAGGGTTGTCTAAGGGGCGTGGCTAACTCGCAAATGGCGATAGGTCAATCAGCTCTTGCATCTGATATACAAAAACTAATCCAAAGCTATACTTTTTGAAAGTCTTGAAAGTGGCCATATTTGCTTGATTCTGTATCACACAAGTACATTGTACTAATTTTATTTTTGTTTAGACCCGCCCCTTTCAGCTGTAGTGCATAGACCCATATCGTCATTACTAATGGCGATCAATGCATAGACCTTACTCACGTAGGAAGCCATTTTCGATCGTGTTCCCTGAATCTAGTTTATAGATTGTAAACTGTTGAATGGGATGGTGCCAGACTATTTTATGATTGGAGTGCGTTCTAAGCCTCACTTTAATTTTTTTTAATGTGGCTTAAAATATTAGGATATGTTTAATCACAAATTTTTAATTTTTCATCAGAGCAGACTAGTATTAATTTATAATGAAATTGTATTTCATTGCTTTCATTTCTACTCGCAGGTTCAAAAAAATGAAGAGTTTACCTCGCTTTCAATTTAATGTGGCCGAGTCGTCAATAAAGTCTATACAATCTAGTTAATCGAGAAGATAGACTTGATGGCGTCCGAATATAATACTCCTTGTTTAGAGACTAATGCTTGAGGCGTTTATAACCGCAATATCAATTGGTGTTTGTTGAGCTTCTTGCTATGGGGGATTTCCTTGATACTTCGAGCAAACACATACCACATACCACTTCAAACAATTCGGTACATGCATCGTGTTTGTTTCTTAAAAACAAGTCTGGTTCTAGTCTCGGTTCAAGACGGAATTTGGGATTCACCACATGCACATGCATGCACATAATTATTAAGGCACTACAAACTATATACCCGATATACTCGTAGCCAGTGTAAATGGCGTGTGTATAAGGGAACACAATTATAATTCCCATCTTGAATCAAGACTAGTCCAGCCTTGTCTAATTAGAAAATGGCTCCAATTTGTAGTTCAAGGTGCGCATACGGTTATTGCTTTTTTCAAGGCAATATATCAACGTCTAGAATAATGATACTCTTGCCCATTAAATGTATATAGTTGCCAATTTAATATGTACTTACCCTCGATATACCAGCAAATATGTTAGAATGGCATCTCGAATGACTACACTTGACCGTATTGTTGTCTTGTCAAACTCTTAAGACATATAAGGTGATAAAAAAACGAGGGCCACGGCTGTATCTGTCCATGATTCAATTTACACACAATCCTTGAACCCGCCAGAATACCGATTGTATACAATTCGTCACCGACACCGAAGTATTATCCAAGTCCAGTTCAGTATTTACTTCGTGAAAACCGCTTAATGACAATTTTTTGTTTAACGAAGTGTGCGCGCGCACATCAGACACTGGCGGCCTCGCGAACGATTTTTCGTTTTCACAATTACAACGCGGTTACGGAAATACTATTTGGATAAAAACGTTTTAAAATGTTTGAGAGGAATGTAATTGATCCGTATTCTTGTAGGATTACAGGAAAAAAATACAAAGTAATAAAACAAGCCTTCAACTGGTGAAATAAAGATGAGTTTATGATTAAACAAACCCTAATGTTTTAAGCCACATTTAAGCAAAATAACTGAGTGAGGCTTAGAACGCAGTCGAATCATAAAACAGTCTGGCACCATCCAACTCTACAGTTTACAATTTATAAAATAGATATAGGGAACACGGTCGAAAATGGCTTCCCAAAACCTTTCTTTACGGATCTCTAAGAATCGGGGTATTGAACAAAAAATGTGGAATATGGGTAGCACGTCACACAATCCTGAATTTATACAAATGAAAAATTGACTTGAAATGGGATATTACGCTTTTAACATGAAGGGGTTGTGTTTATTGTAAAATTAAAATTTGGGACTCTCAATACTCTGTATGGGAGCCCGAAAACTTATGGTATTGAAAACTTGTAACACAAGAAAATTAAAACAGTCTGGCACCTGAAACAACCAGTCCAACAACCCATCAGTACGGCATCAATCAACTGTGCCAAAAGAAACATCTGGCATGTCTGGTACCGGTTTCCATTTGTACACATTTATCCATTACTCAGCTACCAGACTAATGAAGAGTCAGTCTTTTCAAACAGTTGGACCATGGTTGGACATGTACCAGTCTAGACTTTGGTCTCAAGTTGATATCACTTGACTTCCCTCTCAGGTGCAAAATATTGAAGAAAAATCTCCTTTAAAAATTGAATTGAGTCTTCAAACTTGGTTGGTGACATACTGAGGACCTTGTCTTTGCCTCATGATAATTTTGGAGAATTTTGTTCGCCAAAGAGTGAGTAAAGTTGGCCTGATTTCGTTTTGCATGTCCAGCACTCCAGGTCCCAGTCTGTGTTTATTGCATGGACATTTTTTTTAGTTTTGTGTATGAAAATCTTTTCAGACTTGTAGTTTAAACAAAGATAATACAATAGTACTCCCAAAGTTAAGGCCAAGTAAAAAAAAAAAAAAAACCAGTTGATCGTCCGGGTTTTTTTTTTCAAAAAGAGGAGGATGAGGGCCTTTTTATTTTGTTTATTGTTTATTAAAAAAATATGCTATTTAGCCACATTTAGCTTACACGATATGTGCCTTAAAAAGGAGAAGGCCCTTTTTATTTGATAGTTTTGGGTAGTTGTCTACTAGTTAATGACCACAAAACCTTCTTAAAGTACTTATTGAACATTAGTAAAGCTATAATATTGGAAGCATCTGAACTTCTGAAACATCTTTTAAAATAATTATGCCTGAAATATAAAAATATAAACAAATTGATGCAGCCTAAAAAAAAAGGAGTGGGCAGGGACGATCAACTGTTCTTGGCCTAAACTGAATAGAGGATAGATGAATTGTGCATGCATGCTTCAACTTAGAAAGTTGTATTCTTCCCATTTTTTTTGTTCAGTTTATCCTTGCTGTGACCGTCGGTCCGTGATAGACGGTACTGTCGCTTGGTTGCCAGACAGAGACACCAGGGTTCTGGTTTGGTGACTTGATGGAAAAGAAATATTCTATAGGGATTAAGAGATAGTAAATGGTGCGTTTTATGTGCCTGGCTAGCTATTGTATGCCAGGAATACCTATGTACCACGTGATTAGAGTCGGAGTTAACTTGTACTTTGGTGAACAAACAAGCACATTTTGCTGAGCCGAAATGGAAATACCGGCGAACATGACAACATTGCTTTGATTGATTCTCAGCAATTTTTTTTTTTTTCAAACTAAGTTCGTAAATTTGCTGATCACTTTATCCTAAGCAATTTCATGATGGCTTCTGAAAACGGAACCAGATTTTACATTACGTTCTTGCCTTTAGATCTGTTTATAGCCTGTTTTCGAGGGGGGGGGTCATGGAATATACAAACATTTATTTAGTATCGTTTTATGACCCTGTTACGTATTAACCATTCAATTTTTCATGGGTTTACCTCTAACATTTCATGTATGGATTCCCAAATGATATAATTCACCTCACTTCATTTTTTTAATATTATTATTCATAGCTATATCGATTCAGGTTATGGCGTTGTGTGTTTAACTCACTTTAAAATCGATAGCTAACACCAACCTTATTGACCAGGACTATAAGTAAATTAGGTTTTGTTTCTGCTTAACAGTTTCTCCATGTGCATAAAACGAACTCCTCTCTAATTTCTCTCTCTTTTTTTTTAACTCTTTACGCGACTGTTCTATGTTAATGTTTCTATGAACTGATCTAAGGTGGACGAATTTCTAGGTATTCGCAAAAAAAAAGTGGTAATCAATTTCCACCGCTAATCCGCGGGCTTATTTCCATCAATCTAAAAGTCATTAAATTAAGGCCGAGGCATCTAGTTATTGTCTCTTTCTCAGTGTCGACGGCTGTTCCTTGTGTATGAAAAATCAAATTACTGTTTCATTTGCCGAGGGTTTCTCTGCTTTCGTCGTCCGTCCCTGAGATTGCGCTGCCTGAACGCGTCCAAACACTGCGCGCATGCTCCGAGTTCGTCCGACATGAAAAGAGCCGTCGACTCGACACTTTCCTCGTCACCAAAACCCCCTTTAAGCCCATGGGTTGTAGGTGACGACGCCCCGTTGGCTCCCTCTAGTGGGTGGGTTGAGGTTGAGGGGTTCACGACCTCCGCTGTTACGTCTCGCGGTTGTGGGCGGTACCAAAGTTCGCAGGACGCGGATCGAAAGCCCAGGCCGAAATCTGACGTCATTAAGTCGTCGCATCTGACAGACGGCACCGCTTGCCCTAACCCGGGGCAAAACCGGTAGCCAGCCTGGGTGGTTAGGCTGTGCACGCACTCCAAGACGCTCTTACGCCAAGCAGTTGAGTCCCCGCCGCCTCCGCTAGTCAGCAAGGCGTGTACCGTGTTGAGTGTCTTGAAAGCCGCCTGGAATTCCACTCTACCTTCTGGTGATACCAAGATCCTCGCTGGGTGGCACGGGCACAGAATCGGGGTCCCATAAGCTCCCTGGTTACTACTGACAGGGCCAGGGAGAAGCGTGGCTTCCCTTGGGGTGACTTCGAGGTACTCCCTCCCTTCGGCCGCAAGAGGGCGGTAGATCAACTCAGGGAAGATGCAGTCTACGATCTCCTTGACGAACGCGATGCCAACATTGGTTGCGGGCCGGGGAGATGACCTCGATGGCCCTGGGGAGAAGGAAACTACATCTCTCGATCGAGGGTCGTTCTGAAAGACCTGGTGGGTAACAGTACTTGGCATTTCGTTTTGAAAAGGTCTGAATACGGGTGATTTTCTGGCGGGGTTACAACTGTTGATTTCTCGGCGAGGCGCGACAAAACTACAGCCTCTTTGCGTTGCCAGATTCAAAGGATTATTGACGCTATCTTGAAGACCGATTTGCTGCGATTTGATTGGCTCGAATTGAATGTTCATCTCATGTCCGTCCCTCCGCTTTTGGCTTAAATTCAAGAAGTAGTTTTCACTGGTCTCCTGTGGAAAATCATTCCTTTTCACAAGATCTACTGGACCCTGAGGAGCCTGGCTGTGCCGTATCACGTCATTGACCTCGTGACTGTCACGTGACGGGTTGTGCTGGTCAGTTCTATCCGGTAACGGGCAGTTGACGGAGGGAACCGCCGCAGCGGCCGCCGCGTAGAGTTGCCTGGCCCGCCCACGACCGCGACCGCGCCCTCTGCCTCTTGACCTGCTCCTGCCGGCTGTTCCCATTCCGCGGGTGCGAACCAGACCAGCCTTCAGCAGATTCATGTGCAGGTGATTGTACATCACCGTTCCCTCCCCGCATTCCCGGATCAGCTGCCTGAATTTCTTCATCGCAAAAACCTGATCTGTCCGTCACAACCGGAGTATGTCACATCGCTTACATTTTGAAAGTTTAAATAATCGATCCTCGAAAATTGCCCTTCCGTTATACCAAACCGAATACTTATCTCAGGCGTTTACAGTTCCTATCATACATCGTGAAGAATCGATTCTCCTTCAAGAGGGATTACCGACGAGCATTAATGAACTGCGTCCATGCTTGCAATCTTGTCACAACTCAGATGCTTATTTGGCACGTGTATCGCCCTCTGTTATTGGACGTTGTCCGGTATCTGTAACAAACAAGATCGAGATAATCAAAATTTATTGAAATTGAAATCCAAAAATGGATCCAGGTTCTTTTATTAATTAAGTATTAAGGAAGTGAGCTTGGCCTATAGTGGCGAACTTTGCAGCAGAAAACAACAACTACAAGTTGAATTCCGTTGACAAGTTATGGCTGTTTCAAGTTCGCATGTAATATCGACATTTCAAAAAAAGTAAAATACCGAGGAAAAAAACTTTGACATTTCGAGTTACGTATTCGTGAAAATGAAAGAGGACATGTTTTCCCTTAAAATACTTTTGTTCCACAACAATCTGTTTTTATACTTTTTTTCTTTATGGACGGATTTGCATGAACATTTTTTAAGGGTGGTCCTTGGTACAAGTACAAATCGATAAGATTTTGGAAGTGATCCGGATCTGGGTCTGGATCCAGGATTTTTTTTAAAGGATTCTTCACCATTTATGCAAGTATATCTTGTGGGTGTACTACTCACAATATGGCGGGGAAATGTTTAGCCTTGGCGGAGGTTTGCGCTCTCTGGGTGCTTTGTAGTTTTGTAAAATAAAAAAAAAATCTGTAACTTGTAAATACACAGACTCTTTCTACAACTGTGAAAATAAGGTAATCTGTTCTCTGCTTGTGTGAGTTGGTCGAACAGCGTGGAAGATAAGAAGGCTAATATCTAAATTGAGATATTATTTTTGAATGATGGCTTCATGAATATTCTATTTATCGTCTGCATTCTTGTGACTGTGTTTGGGAAATATCTGTGTAGTGCAAATATCCATCATACAATCACATGCAGATTCCAGTTACACTCTGATATCACGTGACCAAATTCTTTTCCAGCCCAAATATTTTCCTCATCTATAAATAGGCAGCAATGTGTTCAATGTAAAATCTTCCCGATGTGTATACACTCGCATGAAATTCCAAGTGATCGAAAACTTACCACTGAATTCAGTCCGTTGGGATTATTCAAAGGGAAATTTCGAAAATCATGAGGGACAAAATTATTAAAAATTCCCGTCTTTTAATTTTAAGTCGCCGATAATATCCCAAAAAAAGTGTCCAATTTAAACGTTTTAGCTTTTGACCGAAGAATGACCCGTACACTATGTATTAAACGGCTCCAATAATGATTATGCTGGATAGTTAATTTAATTACGTTGATTATTTTTGTCAATGAAAATTTAAAATACCAAATGCGTTTTAACATTGTGGACGAATGTTGCCAAAATGTGAGATCTTTTTTATTGATATTGTACAGTTTTAATCCAATTTGTTTTATTAAAAAGACGTCTTCCTCAGTGAGAACAGCTCGAAATCCGGAGAAATTGTGAGTTTTCAACAATTGCAATCATGGATAGTTACCTTTTTCGGTCAAGACGCTGTTTTCTTGGCGAAAGTCAAAAACTGGGAAGACAGGAGTTTCGAGGAGATTGATCTCATCACCACAAGAAAGTTGCTGCAACCTCTCGCCAACGGTCCATGGCCCTCTATCGCCCCTGTAGACCCGCTGAAACACCGAGCCCAAATCTTCCTCCTAAACTCCAAACCCTAGAGCTCCTCCTGAAATCCTCCTCCTCCAATCTCTCCAACTGATACTTTGATGTGTTTTGCGTCTTCATCATCTTCTTATGCATTCATTTTTTGCGATTGACGAAAGCAAGGATGCTGATGATGATAATATTAATATTGCAGCGCCGCGCGGGATAGCCAAATAAAGACAAACTGGTTTAAGGTTAGCGAGAGGGTGGTATCTCGAGGTATCTCGACTCGCACAGCGGGAGGAATAGACCGGAGGCCATCCGCTAGCTGCGTGCGAGAAATTCCTGTCCTCCTCAATCCGTAAGACATCTTCGGTCCTTGTCATGAGAACGGTACTCCTAAGCTGCTGACAATTTGTTTTTTTTGTGACAGGTCTTGGAGTGTGAACTGTATGTTTCTGAACTGATCTCATCTATTTTAATTGAATAAAATTCCAAAATATGCATTGGGCTGTACCTCAAAGTCATAATAGTATTCTTGTATAGAAGTATTGGTTCTGGAAAAAAGGGTTAAAAAGTGTTTTCGTTACTTTCGGAGAATACTATTATATTACCCTACCCATTCTTACGTGAATGCTCTCTAAAATATTTTACAGTTGTCGAATTGAAGCCGGGATAAACGTCTATTGAAAGAATAACTTGAATATTTTAAGAACCCAATTTCAAACAATTTGACCTCCGTGTGGTAGATTTTAGCAGTTACATGTATATCAAAAAGGATTTTTTTTTTTACGATTTCAAGTTTTTGATTTTGTCTTTTCATTAGGCCAGAGGTTTACTTTCAAGCAAAGACGGGTTTCATTTTTTTTAAAAAGTGTTTCATGAAATAACCTAGCGAAATGCCTTTTTGTTGTCGTGGTTTCTTGTGAGGTATATGTCCAATTTTATTAGCTATTGACTATCCTCAATATTGTCAACAGGTGTCGCCCTTCATTGTTAATGTCACTCTTTTCTCGTTTTCATCTGGAAACGGTCATTTTTCTCTAGCGAGCTAAGGAGTTATAGACGATAGAGGGCGCCCCTATACAAAGCCACTTCCGCACTCTTGAAAACCGATATATCCACAAGTAAAAGTTCATTTGCGGGCAACATTGCTGGAATTTCAAAGCCTAGCTCTGGTATTTCTGGTGATAACTTCAACGTCGCCGGGCCAGGGACAGTTTTCTTGAGGGGTAGGCCGTCTGGACTCTAACCCCGGCCCTTGTCTACGCTCAGCCGTTTAAATAATCGTACAATTTTTCCGGGGCACATCCCACCGAAGTTTGAGTAAACTTCGCGTGGAATCGAGCGGGCGGCGCTGAGACCGACACCGGTGGACCCGCCCACGGATCGAACCGGAACAACACGGTGAACTGAAAACACCGCACGCGGAATCTACCCGTCTTGCGGTGGTAGCCTACAGGAAATCCTTCGGACAGGGATAGTGCTCTGCATTTTGAAGGCAAAATGCCGGGGGGAAAGATGCTCAACATCACTATACAAGGGCCCGGGCCGTGGGGATTTCGTCTTGCCGGGGGAAAGGATTTTAATACGCCACTTTACATTTCAAAGGTGAGGTTTAATTTAAGGTTTTTTTTCCGGTATATAAAATGGAAGTATTTTTTTTTGTAGAGTGATATTAATCCATAAAGGAAAGAATGTTGCATCCTGACGCCCCTTTTTTTCATCATATATATTGTATCAATGAAGGTCAATTTATTGCAAAATAAAATAGTGAAAAGACATGAATCTGGAACTGACTGGAAATTTATTAGAAAATACTTTGAAAATGCACTCAACTCTCCATAGACAATGTACACAACCAAAGAAGTGGCGTCGGGATACTACATTCTTTCCAAATGGGGCAAATCATTGCAAACTAGTAATTAAGGGAACTAGAAGTACATGTACTGTAGGTCTATTCATTGAAAATACACGGTGATGGTGGGATGCATCGGAACTGAGAATTATGTAAAATTTGAAGATACTTTGGACACATAAATTTCTACATTTGTGTCGCCCTGTTGATAATGATAGTGTTATTGTTAACCTGCCAAGTATTAAAATGCTAGATCTGTGTTAACAGCATTTCTTGAAGAAAATTAGAATATCCCAAAACTACTCTTTTCCACATAAAGATAAATTTTGGCCTTGGTATAAAACCATTCACCCAAGTTGTAAATTCAGAATTTAGTTCGGTGTCCGGCCACCACCGCTTGCGCACCGCGTATGTCAGTGTACACGTACGTACACTTCCCAACAATTTAATGTGGCTTCCAACATAATTGGATACATGTGTACATGTGTGAAAGAAACCCACAAATATGGCTTAGAAAACAACTTTTCCTCAGATGATTTCAGTTTTCCCAAGCTGAATGGATTTGTCTTGTCTTAATGGAATGTATGGTGGTTGGATGTACATGTATACGGAACTCTGGCTGTAAATTCTTGTGTGATGTGTTTTTACATTAAGTTAATGTGAATCATTGTGAATGTATTTGCTTCCTGACCACAAATACCGTGCATACCATGCAGGAAGAAGTCAAGGCCATGGGTTATGCAAATTACACACATTGCTGAACCTGTCATCTGTCATCTGTCATCTGTCATTATAACATTTGACACATGTCATGGTAACTAAGTGGTTACATATTCTGTAGGCCTACATCATTGAAACAATGTATTAGGCCTAACTAGGAATGTTTCTTAGCCAATTTACATTAAGAAGTAGTAACTTGTTGCACATTTGACCCTCGGTAATCATATAACATGAAATTGACATTTGACCCTCAGTATTTAAGAAATACCATGGAGTCGACAAATAATTGTTCCAAAAATAACATCAAATAAGTTTTTATAATTCTACAGTTTTGGTTATGTACCGTTAGAGTATAGCAAAAGGCAAGGCCTACATGTACATCCGCCGTTTAATGTGAGGGAAGATTTCCATACGAAGTTCACTCATTTTCCTCTGTATTGACTAACAAGCCCCCAGATAGCAATTTCATGTCATCAAAGTCAATTTGAGCAGTGAGAAAATACAAGCATTTTCTTAGAAAACACTTAGAATATTTCAGTCCAATCTCATATGGTTTGTACACAGGGTGTTTAGTGAACTTCGTATATGGAAATCTTTCCCTAGTTTTTTCTTTCTAGCTCAGAATTGAGCCTTAAATGCTTCCCAGAACTGTTCACAGGTCTGAGAGTTGCGAGTAAAAAAATCCTGTCCGTACAAGAACATTTCAAAAGCTCAGTTTGAGTCCTTGGAAAATCCCTGTGTCCTTATCATGCCGAAGGGTGCAGGTGGGTCACGCAAACTGGAACAGTTACAATAGAGTCAATGGGCCTGCTCCTTAATAGAATCAAATTCCTGTGCCTTGTTATGTAAATTTTTCTTTCTAAATGGATGTTTACGTACATGTAAAGGCGCTCAATATTACTTGTGTACAGCACGGCCCATTCGACGTAAAACCACAGGGCTACTCTATGACATCATTGGTAGAGAATGCGGATTAACAACCAATCAAGCATCAAATTATAAACTTTGACGGCAAATTTGTTTTCTGGTTTGTTTTTGTGGGAACTTTTTGGAGGAGACTTGCTTCAGTTGCCAGTCATTGTTGCGGCTTTGCATGACTTATGGTACTTCAGTCTGAGGCCCCTTAGTTTGGTCAATGTTTTTCTGAGGAATTTGAATGATTGATTAAATTACTAATTAATAGAGATACTGACCATGTATGTATTGCCTTCAATTCCTTCGCCCAGAAATGTTTTCATACTATGCTCATGGCTGTCTGTTTGTTTTTGTTACATTTCTCAGAAAATCAGAATATATCTAGTGGAACTGAATCAGAATGAATGATTTTTAATTTAGAATAGCCAACACTGTTGGTTTTTTCACCTACCAATTCAACATACTGTACATGGACAGTCCTCATGTATTATAACGAATGACACTCACACTAAAATTGTCTGCCCCATCAATAAGCACAGTGTTTTACTGTGAACTTGTAGCAGCATATTGTCACAGACCTTGTTACTGCTGTGAGCAACCTTGGACCAGCTTTGCTCTATGATTGAACTGATCTGACCTCGTCATAAAATATTGATCTGTCTGTTGTCTGATATCTGCTACAATAACCATACTTTTAATATGCCAGTACGTACACACGCACATATTATTCTGCTATTTTTGTTGACCTTGTTGAAATGAAACAATATCCTTACAAGTCCATTTTTGAATGTCATCTTTGAAGTCCTTAATTGGGAATCTTTTTTTACCAACACAATTTTTCTAAGACAAGGCATTTACACAGCATTTCAAGAAAATGGTTTAAAATTGGTTGAGATCCTTAAACAGTTTTGGCCAACAATGTTTTCTGAAAACCCTTTTCACATGGGTGTAAAAAAAATTGCAGTCAGTGTGTTAGTTAAAAAAACTCATGCCTGGAAAATGGCACTAAGGGTCTGTGCCCAAAATGCCATTTAATGCTGTGGTCCAGAGCTCTTAACGTGTACTTGGCAAGTAAATATTACAAATATTTCTGCGTGTGAACAGACGCCATTATTTGGGCGTTCAGCATTCCTTACAAATTCCTCTACAGTTTTAAGATATTTTAACATGGCATTACAATGTACATGTGTCTGCATGTCACGCTCACGCACCAAAAAACTTCTTAGTGTCTAGTAAATTTCATTTTATGGTTTGTGTACTGAAAAAAGGTCCCATATAATAAAACTGTATGCACCTCCCCCCCCCCCAAAAAAAGAACTTGAAAGTTGTTTGCTGTCGGTGGAAAAACCTTGTTGCAGACTTTGCAGAGTTTTCATCTTTTGTTTTCAAAGATGGCGGCAACCGGCTTGGGATGTACAAATGTATCTGGCACTCATCAGAGAGCCACGTGTATTAATGATGCATGCACCAAGTTTTTAACACACTGAGTAAACAGTGTTTAGGCTATACGTCGGTGAAGGGCAAAACCTAATTTGATTTACATCACCCCGACGCAAACAAATTCCATCTTATGAATAGTTAATGCAGTACCCGCTGCTATGTACATCAGATTCGAACCAGCCAACCGATCCCGTTAGCTCGGTGGTCGAGGGGCAAGACATCTGCACTAGAAAGCAGGAGGTCGTGGGTTCGAGTCCCACCCGAGTGATTTTTTTTTCAATCTTTCACTCGGGAGGTAACACACTGAGTATACAGTGTTTATACGTCGGTGAAGGGCAAAACCTAATTTAGAGCCTTGTTGCTAGGCATATTTGTAATGTTGGAAAAATATTAACAATAACTATTGACCTGCAGAGCTGTGGGACTCATCCCTGTGTCAATATTGGTATTCCAGGGTTTGTGGTACAGGTGTACCAGTATAAAAATTGTACGTACCATTTTAGTAATCAACACGATACTTTGTGGAAAATGTCCAGACCTTTTATTTGGTCGGTATTCCTAAGCTGGTGAAACAATTTAAAATCAAAATAATTTGGTTCATTTCAAAACGGATTACAAAATTTGTACTAAATATTTATATTAGGCTATTTAAAGGTTATGTTTCATGGAATATTAGAATAAATAGAACATTAAAAATAGCAATTTATTTATTGTATACATTAAAAATTTATCGTGAAATTTCCAGTACAGATAAAAACCTCTTGTTGTGTAAGGTGTTTATCAAAACATGATCAGTGTACATGTAGTTTATGAATCTCAAGTGAAGTAGACTTTGACATTTGGTCCTTGTAATGTTATTTACTGCACATAATAGTCTTTTTAAACAAAATCTCTATTCTACAACTACATGTAGGCCTACCAATAATCAGGAGTTGTTTGTGTATATTTACCCATGACATTATATTGGTATCTGATAATCTTTTAGAGCGTTTGCTACATGTAAGTACTGCATTGCCAAATGCACCATTCAGTAATCACAGCAAGTCCCTAATTATTATGACAGTTAATCCTTTAATCTGTCTTAATCCCTGCTTAATCCCTGCTTCTGTGCATGGGATTACCTCCAGCTTATCAAGACTGGAATTTGGCAAGGGGCTGCATTGCATTATTAACCCTAAAAGGCCCAGGGGCGACTTTTTCCACGATATCCTTGAAAAAAAAAAAAATAATTCGCGACCCGAGCTGTTATGACTTTTCAGCCTCAAGCCTTGCGCATCTTTTGATACCAAAATTATAAAAATCGGACCACGGGTTGCTGCGCAGTGAAATTTTTTTCGCCGCTACACGCCGTGAAAACTGAATTTTCCCATATATACATGTACGTCGTGTACACAGAGCAAAATTACCATTCGTACATATGAATAATTAATAAGCCATAATTCCAAAACCCTTTGACCTAATTTGCTTGAGTATGTTCATGATGAGTTGCTCTGTGCATGTACCGGTACCGAGTTTAAAAAAAAATGTGTCACTCGATGGCCGAGATCTTAGGGGGGGGGGGGGGGGGGGGGGCGTTAGGCCCCCTACTACTTTTATTATGGAGGCCAAAGTGATTAACTTTAAAATATGTACACCTTAATATAATGAATACATGTTTACCACTTCAGGCCAAAACAGTGAACATTTGCTTCATCAATTATTTCTGGTCCAGTAAATTTTTGGAAGTATGGTCCAACTTCCATAATTTTCTTTGGAAAAATCCAGGTCATGGTTCATGCAATCAATATACACATACCGATATGAGGCAAAATATAAAATTGCCAAGTGTCGATAATTAAGGCAAATTTACTTAAAGCTAGTAATACAATGTCCAAACACAATCGAGTTGGCTTGCCAAACACCAATGTACCCCCATGTGGCCAGTTTATTGCAAAGTAAACATTTTGGCTACAGTAATAAACTCCCTGCAAATAAAGTGATGATAAACTCATTACATTGTTAGTTCGACTAAATCAGTTTAGGACTTAATCCTCGTACTGTTTGCTGTCTTCACATGAGGAATGTTAAATAGAGCATGGAGCTATAAAGCTCCATGAATAGAGTACCTTGAAATTAACGCTGCATTTGGAAAGCCCAAAATGGCACCACAATTTCTTGTTTCATTTTTTTGGGGGGAGGGGGAGTTTTCCTAATCGGACCTAACTGATTACATACATATGTAACATAATTGACTGATAGTGTAGTAACATTTACTTCAGTTACAGTACTAGTCAATTTATGTTACATTATCGGTTGGTGATACAATATCAGTCAATTTGTGTGACATTGTCGGTCTGGTGATATGTTATCCGTTGGTTACTACATTATCAGTTGTAACAGTCTCTCTCCCCCCCCCCCCCCCCCCCCCCAAAGAAAATTCAACTGGGGTTTCGTTCTTGTAGCTGTACACATTCATGTTACAAGCACAGTCGTACTATTGTCTGTGTGGAATGGGCGTCTATGCATAAAAAAAAAAACCACCGCTTTCAAATCTCCGTCTGAAAGCTTCTACCACTAAATCTCTGGCCGATTGAGCCAGACAATCAACCACAGTGGTAGACTCCCTAGTTCCTGACAGTTCTTGTTTATCCACTGTGCCTAGTATTGTGGTTCACCAATAAAAATGTGCCCCTTTCACCTCTAGTTGAGCTCAAGAATGCCTGGTTGTTCCTTTGTGATTTGCTGCTTTACCCCTCGAGTAATAGGGTTCAGTCGTAAAGACCCTTTTACACAAGTCTGACAACATGCTGCCAACATGCTGCCCACGCATTTTATCTTTAAAAGGGGGGTGTAAGATTTTGATCATTGCTAGTCTACAATGTGTGTTGAAGACTGGAGTGTTCTCTGATTACAGCTGGCCCTGACACATGCAGTAAAGACACCATACCAGTGGAGAGGCTGTTAAGATTAATCTTACCCAGTCTTAGGAACTCTGGCGCTTGGATCCGAGACATTTCCAGCATATCATGTCGTGCTCAAAATCTCATGAGTCTGAGTGCCCAAGTTCTCAATACTGGAATACTCTTATGCTGCAGTAGTCCGAAAATATTGAACTCTCAATATGAGAGTCCCAAAACTTAAAAGGCCATGCAATGTAATGTGTTTAATGCAATCCTTGAAAATGCACCTTTGTGTCCCATTTCACTCTATTGTAACAAAAGGGCACTTTTTAATAAAATTAACCAAAAAGGATGTCAAATTTTTTCATACATTTAAGAGGAGTAGAAAGTTACACAAAATATGTTGCTAAGAAAGATTCACTTGATGGCCCATTTAAGATATATTGAAAACATGCAAAACAAGAAAATAGACTGACACAAAACAACCAGGCCAAAACCCTTTTAGTACTGCATCAGTCAACTGTGTCAAAAGAAACGTCTGGTACTGGTCTCTGTTTCTAAGAGTCTGATCATATTGACTGCCACCTTACAACTGTAGAGGTCAGTCATTTCAATTTTCAAACAGTTGCAAGTCATGTACCAGTCAAGTCTTATTAGGCTTCAAATTGATATCAATTCAATTGGCTTCACTCTCAGGTGCAAAATGTTGAAGAAAACGGCTCCCTTAAAATTGAATTGATACTTCAAAGCTGGCAGCACCTGATTTCATCAAACTCTTCTTCACTGACGTTGCATCGCAGCGATGCGACGCGTCGTATCTATAGATGCGTCGCAGCTGTGACGCGTCCTGCGATCCATTTCACAAAAACACGTCGTACGTGCGACGTGTCGTATGTGTAATTTATAGCACAACTCGGTGACTGTGTGATGTATCTAGTCAGCGTACAGGAAATAGTCGTCTGATATTCAACAAAGAGTCGTCAGATATCTGCCCAAAATGTTGTTAAAACGTAAAATAAAAAGGCGGCCGTGTGATGCAATTTCAAAGGAAAACAAGTTCTCAGTGGACTGTATAGCTACTTTGAAATTTCAACTGCAATGTTCCAGGCTAATTAATAATTAGTTACGTTATATCGTTCTGGGGTTTTCCTCCCTCCAACGGGGTGCTGCAAAAGAACTGGCCACCCTCATGCAGGACCGAATTACTTCGACAAGCCCTACTCGAGCCTGTCTGTAGGTGAACGAGTCAGTGAGTGAGTGTCCTTCCACTAAAACTGTCATTTTCCTTTCATTTTCTACCAGAATCCACTGGAAATTTGTCAAAAAACATTCCTGGGCTATCCCGGCCAATGGCTGAATAATCACAAACAAGCAGACAACCCAACAAACAATCCGCTCCGTTCACAAGTACCCCCCTCACCGGCAAAGAAAGCACAGTTGGGGGTGACCGACCGACGCCATCTTGCCTGACTGTAATTTTGCGCGGCCGTATCATGTACCACTGCGTGTACATAGTACAAATCCCCTGGTGTACGTGTGTCACACACAAGGAACGGTGCTCGTCAACCAGCTAAATGTCCCGCCCATGGGACGTCGTTGCTAGGTAAAAGGGCGCCCTCTTTCATTGGCGCACGGAACCCATACCCTGTGTGGGCCACATGCATTGACAGTAAATAACTAATCTGAATGGATTTCAGTAGATGTTTGTGAACTTTGTGCGAATTCTCTTTCGTATTCTTTAGGTAACAACAGGAGGGAAGGCGTCTAACAGTAATGTTCTCATGAACGACTGCGTGACGGCGATCAATGGCATGGACACGGAGAGCATGACTCATCTAGAGGCTCAGGGTGCCATCAAGAACGCTGTGGGCAATTTGTCACTCAAAATCATGAGGTGAGCAACTTATGACTCACAAGTTACTGGTTTGTGACTCGTGAGTCACATCAGTGACTCGTGAGTCACATCAGTGACTCGTGAGTCACATCAGAGACTCGTGAGTCACATCAGGGATTTGTGAGTCACATCAGTGACTCGTGAGTCACATCAGGGATTTGTGAGTCACATCAGTGACTCGTGAGTCACATCAGGGATTTGTGACTCGTGAGTCACATCAGGGATTTGTGAGTCACATCAGTGACTCGTGAGTCACATCAGGGATTTGTGAGTCACATCAGAGACTTGTGAGTCGCATCAGAGACTTGTGAGTCACATGAGTGACTCGTGAGTTCCATCAGTGACTCGTGAGTCACATCAGGGATTTGTGAGTCACATCAGTGACTCGTGAGTCACATCAGGGAATACTTTCTCTTAAGAACGTTGTAGGGACTCTCACCCTAAAAATCTTGATGTAAATACGGTACTGTATTGTGTAAGACTCGGGAGTTACTATTTAGTGACTGCGTGACTCCTGAGTCACATTAGGGACTAGTGAGTCTAGAAGTACCGAGCACAAGCATCGAAATATCAAAATGTTCGATATTGAGGAATTACATTGTATATCGAAATTTTGCAGATTATCATCAAGATAAATCTCCTGTTTGTGCTTAAAACTCGGCATCAACTTGTGCTTGGTGACTCAAATAAAAACATTGTAAAAAATGCCAGGTGGCGTCGCTTTGTGCTCTACGTTCGCTGGATTTCGCTGTCTCCCCAATGTAAAACCTCAAAAGAAACCGGCCGTTCTGGACAAACTGTCAGTTCTGAGATTTGTTGTACAAAGTTTGAGCAATATGCTCCTGAGAAAGCCCAAAGCCGTGGAAAATTGGGACTTCAGATATTTTGTGTGTGTGTGTCTTCTTTTACGGTCTTTAACATTTACATGGGATAATCGATATATCACATTTTCTCGATGTAGGATTTCCGAAATATCGACCATTGAAAAGTCCAATATCGACGGCGCTTATAACACTGCTATGATTTATGTAAAAAAACTTTCACATAAATTTGTCAATTTAAAGATCAAACACAGCTGCAAAAACAGTTTGCATGTATACATGTGTTTACCATACCAAAAGGCATGTGCTAACATGTGGTACCTCTATATAGGTATTTAAGTTTCATATCAAAAAATTGTCTGTCTGAAGTCTTAACAACAGCCGAATTATAACACAGAATTGCATCTTTGTCTTGATGATCACACCATGTTCCTTGCTCTATGATCACACATCTGTCAGTTTACTACATCTGATATATTCAGGGTTACCGTATCTGTTGTGAGATCTGTGTACAAACTTGTCAGCATTGGTTCTGTGTGAAGGACGTAGCCAGCCCCAGATATTGAATCTAGCTGGTCTGGCCTTTTATGGTCGTGTACGTCTGTCTGGTCTAGCTGCCAACTGCATGGCATACCGACCTATTCAACAGGCCTGCCATCTACGGTTGCATGAATAAATACTGCTAACATTGGTACATGCATGCACTCATGTGATTCGTGTGTAAATACAGAGTTAAATCAAGTGGAACGAAAGTACGAAACACTAGCAGGAAGTCCCTGTACTATCTTTAAATTTCATCCGGAAAAAATAGATTCCTGTACTGAGTTGCTGTTTTACTCGTTATTCGCTTTTGAATGAGACACTGACTGAAAAACTCGGCCCACATTTTGTTACTTAGTTATTTCTGTACATAATTCGAATAACTTGCGGCTAGACAATAATTCCATTCTCGAAGGATAGGCTGGTTCCCGGCCCACAATTAGTATCGTTAATCAGACCTGGAGCGAGGAATTCTTTTGGCTGGAATTTAAAAAAACATACAAGTTGAAATTTTATCAAGAGAAAAAAAATTGAATGTGTTGAAATACACGGGGAATTAGCAACTTTAAAAACATGACAGCTACAAGACTTGAAAGCTTCATTCAGTGTGTTTCAAAAGAATGTTTTCCAAAAATGGAAAACATATTCAATGTTTAAATTTTCTAAATCTGCACACACAAATTCTGAACTAATTTTGAATGTTTGAAACATACTACTCTCATAATTACTTTGACAAAATGGGGAAACGCCAACATAGGGCCAGATAGCTCAGTTGGTAGAGCACTGGAACAGCAATCTGGAGGTCACAGGTTCAAACCCTGCCCCAGTCAATTTCTTTGTTCAACTTTATAAATGACACGAATCTACTTATTGTAAAATGTTTGGCCTGCATGAATTGCATGGACTCGAACCCTTGACCTCCTGTTTAAATTAGCACTAACATGTATGGTTCGATTCTCATTGATTTGACTTTAAAGTTTTTTCTCACAAACTGCCAAAGTAAGAAGCAAAGCTTTTTTCAAACATTTGCCTAAATTTCACATAACCTGACGTAATACTTCATTATAGATTACATATATTTTCAAAAATTGAAAAACAAAACTATTAAATTATTATGAAATACATGTGCCTTACTTGACTGTGAGTGAATAATCTCAAACATCCTGTGAAATCATGGCACCTGGTGTGCTGTCAATTAAAAAAAAGTGGAATTTATGTATCAGTTACCAACGATGGTCAGCTGACCATCGTTGGAAAAAAAGGGACTTTCAAATACTACCCCCAATTTACCAAATTTAGTTAGTCCACATTTTGTTTGCAATTGGTTTATCCGTGAATATGGGTGCAAGCCAGCTAGTCTGGTTCCCTGACCTGTCGATTCCCCGACATCTGTAAATTGCTCCGTTTCGTCTGAAGTTGGGTCAAGGAACCAGACTTAAGAGGAACATTTTTTTTCTTGGATTTTCCAGCATATATGAACACCAAACTTGAAACAAGTCAGTGTAATATTTGCTATTAAAAAAACTAAACCCCTAAAATGACCCAAATCCATCCATTTCTGAAAATTACAGCAAAAGCAAATTTATGTTGCATAAGAAATTGTACCCATGTACATGTACATTGTAGATGTACATACAATGTACATTAAAGAGGTTGTGGAATGCTTGAAGACATTTCCGTCATTTTTTCGGGTATACATATGTAGCCTAAGGTGTGATGAAATAAAAACGACTATTGTGTCTGTCATGAAATGAGTACAAAAGGTACATTTGAGAGCCGTTATTCGGGTCCTGTTTCAACCCGAACGTGCAATTTGTGTAAAGTCGTCGTTGGGGGCAGCAAACAAAACATAGTAAATCGTGACGTAATAAACAGGACTCCCGATGCAGCGTAGTTTAAACGAGTCCTGTTTATTATGTCATGATTTACTATGTTTTGTTTGCTGCCCCCAAAGACGACTTTTACACAAATTGCACGTTCGGGTCAAAACAGGACCTGAAAAACAGCTCTCAAAAGTACCTTTTGTACTTATTTCATGACAGACACAATAGTCGTTTTTATTTCATCATATACATGTACCCGAAAAATGACGGAAATGTCTTCGAGCATTCCACAACCTCTTTAACAGAGCTATAATGTATGACAGATCTACAGTAGCTGTCAAAATGGGTGGTTGAAGGCCAAGATAAAAAAAAACAAGTCTGGTCCCGGACCAATCACAGGAAGGAAGGGCAACCAGTATCCTCGTTCATGTAACAACATCCATTGGGGTTTCCGCCTCTCTAGGCATTGACAATGTGTTAGTTTCTGGTTGGTTACCCGGTAGTCCGTATCTGTTACACTTACAGATAGGCAGCAGAGGAAGCCGGTTAAATGTGCCACTCTGAAATTACAGAATGCATACTTGAAATATCTCGGGTGTATTTTGGATGAAACTTCATCCTGTTTTGTTTTATTGGGTTTCTGAGTGTCCATATAGAAAACAACTATCCTGGAATTTATTGGAGTTTACGCGATGCATGCTATAATAAAGTTTGACACCCTGTGTAAATGCATGCCCTGTGTTCTTCCAACATTTTTTCTTTCTTCAATTTCCAAACGAATTTGTGTCTGTTTCTGAAAAAAAAATTGGGGCCGAAAGAGGCCTTCATTTTGTGCATAAAAATTAGCCTGCCATGCAAGAGAAAATGATTGTCTGGCCTCAAAATAATTTGAATTTTGTAAAAAAATAATTGAAAAAAATGGTTAGTATGTAACTAAATGTCAATGGATATTTTTGTTCTCTGTCTCATTCAAACTTGAGAATAAATGTTACAGTTAGGCATACCAATTGAAAAAAAAATGTGGTTTTTTTTTGGGGGGGGATGATACTAGTTTCACTTATGCAGAAGTAATGGGCATATTCACATCTCCCACCCCCTCCCACGCCACCCTTCCCCCCCCCCAAAAAAAAAAAACTGGGGGGAAAAACAAACAAAAATGACATATTACTCATGTCGACCTGCCTAGAATGTTCCACAGCATGGTCGTGAATTTGCTCTATTTCAGTAATTTATTATTGGTTTATGCTAAGATTGGATTAGTCACTGTACGTAGATTTATAACTGTAACACTGTTAGGCTGGCTGGAAGCGACACGGGTGCACGTGCTTCGTTTGTGAATGAAAGCATATTATAAATGTGCGGTTTAAATTAAGGAGCCTGGTTGCAGATTATGTCTCTATAGGTGGTATGGTTGTGCATTTATGGGTAGAACGGGAATAGGGTACCCAATTGAACAAAAACACGACCCAAAAATCCCCTAAAACCCAACCCAAATTTGAATCTCGGAAGGTGCTTTCACATTGTTCATAAATGTACCAGTACCGGTAGGCCCCACGATAATACTACCACATCGGTGTGTCAGTACAGTTAAATATAAGTGGTACAGTGAGCTCTTTAGCTTTACGGTGTTAATTTTGTTTTCGCAAGCGTCATGAACGTGAATCTGTTCTGTTTTTCCATGCAGCCTGCATGGTTTTCATTTTGAAAATTCCCCATTAATGAAGTGACATTCAAAACCTTTCTCTTTCATTTTCTGAGAAAGTACATGTTACTAGTAGTATGTAAAGTTCATAATCTGGAAGCGCGGTTCCTAACGTCAGCGGTCTGGTACTTAATAGGTACCTGGTTCTGACGCATACTGGTAGTCCTAATAGCTGAAGGTACCATACATGTAGGGGTGCAACCCAAAAAACCCCATAGACACTAGTGCTAAATGCGCATACTTCAAAATTCTTTTAAAAATACTCAGAACTCTCACAGGTATTCAAGCTGCACAGAAAAATGATGATCGATGTGTCATCTTTCATTTTCTTTTCATTTTCTGGTGGGTTGACCATTGACTTTTCGAGATATTCTCACCCAAAGAAGACGACCCCTATTTTCCCAAAGCAGAAAAGTAGCCATCTTAAAAAACGATTCCTCCACAACATGGTAAAATAGCGCCACTTTCAAGCCCAATAGCATCCAAAATGCTCAGAATTGGAAGCTCCAAGTCCGGGCCAGAGGTTCATTACCATATATCTCTTCAATTCCCGAATTTTATGGCTCTCAGAACTCTCTAATATACAATATTTTGAGGGTATAACTTTTATTCATGAGCTTGGCGGACGGATTTTTGGCCTATTTACAGGCGTGCACCCGTAGGGCTATTATAGGTAGTCTGGGGCCAATTTCACCGCACTACTAAGCACAAAAATTCGCTTAGCACAAAAGTCTGGCTTATACATGTAAAAGCAGGTTACCAGCAAAAACGCCATGTGATGTATATGCTCGTGATTAGTATTCAGCTGTTGTTTGCTGTAGCATGAAAATCACACGGCGTTTTGGCTGGTAAACTGCTTTTATAAGCCAGGCTTTTTTTGTGCTAAGCAAATATTTTGCTTAGCAGCCCCCTGAAATTTTGACTTTTAACCTGCTAAAAGGATGGAACAATGAACCATTCTTGACAAAATAGTTACCGTCTACCCAAAAAAAGGTGGCACCTGACAATAAAGTGCAGCGCCGAAACTTTACGTTAAAGGGAATATACAACATTTGCAAACATCGAAAAATAAAACTACCACGTTTTTATGAAATACCTTACTAGGATGTTGGTAAATGACAGTCTAAAGCATCCTGTAAAATTATGGCACCTGGTGTGAAATCATTTTCAAGAAAATGGCATGTTTGTATACATTTCCAACGGTGGTCGGCCGACCACCGTTAGAAAAACGTAACTATTTTTCAACAACTGCTCCAAATTTACCTTTTTTCAGTTCAAATTTTGTTTGCTATTGGTTACATGTTCATTAACGGGTGCAGGCCAGCTAGAATGGTTCCCTTACCTTACGATACAATTTTCCGGCATCTGTAAATTGATCCATTTTATATTTAGTGGAGTCAGGGATCCAGACTGCCTGAACATTTTTGTTTTTCTTGGTTTTTCCAGCATTTTCGAACACAAAACTACAAACATGTCACTGTAACAATATTTGATCTATTATACTAACCCCTCAAATAGTTCATTTCTGAAAATTACAGCAAAAGCCAACGATCTTTTATATTCCTTTTAAGATAACATCAAACTTCGTGACAATTTGGATATCCAGTATATTCGAATATTCGGTATAAATTCAGGAAAACGCTAATATTCAGTTCCCAATGATTGAAGCATTTGGAGAGCACCAGACTATACACGATTCGCCTCACTATCCCTTAATAACTGAGGTTCTATCTCGGCTTTGTCACATTTGAGTGACGCACACTGTGTGGGTTTTAATGCTTTCCATTGTGAGCTTTGATTCGTCATGGAACGGCAGTCATTTATCATTTATCAAATTTACACAGACGGTCCAAATTCTGACATTAATTCCCACACAATGAGTCACAGTCTGAAAATACAAGGGAAATGCCACACAGAGTTTTGGTTTTGCAAGCTTCAGGTTTTTGGGTGAAAATATACGTACATTTCCTCCAACATTGCCTATACATGTATTTGGGTCATTTTATATTTGGAGTCCACTTTTTTCCTGTTACATGTACTTATGACATCTACGGTATGATTTTATAATTCTGGATTGACTCCTTAAATTAATGCAGTCATCCTCCAAGAGTGATTGCGAAAAGCAAATTATGTACCCAACAAATAAAAAAATCATTTGAAGTCGTTCTTACTGATACAAATATCAGTAAGAAAATTGACTCAGTACATGTATGAATGGCAAATTGCAAAGTTCAGCGGTAAACAGGGACAGAAAAAATGTCACACTTGGACCCTTAACAAGTTTGCGCTGGGATTATTTTTGCCCATAATATTAAGATTTTTTTTCGAAAAAGGTAAAATATCGGCCTTGCAGCCAACTGTTGATATACAGCCAAACGCCACAAGTACTGATTCGCAAGAGCCATTTCAACAGACTTTGTACGATATTTCTCGCTGATGTCTAATATTTTTCAACACTCCGCGGTGTGCAACGGAGCGTACATGTATATTGTAGAACATTAGGCCGTGCATAGCTGCCAATTCAAGCTCAACACACGGTCCGCCTCCACAGACTTCACGGACTTTGTGTGTGTGTACAAAAGACACGAGGGATTAGCGTGTTTAGACGTCACCCGGAGGCGAGTCGAGGCAATCTTGACGTTGAACCCGTCAGCAATGCCTGTGTATAAAAAACAGCCAGTGCGTGTTAACACGGCCTCCGACGTGAACTGGTTAATTTATAGAAAGACCCATATTTGTATGCAAAGAGATTTGATGGACTCTTTGTCATTTTCTACCCTTTATCTGACTTCCCCATGAAATCTAAGAACGCTATTTATTTATAGCATTTCTGAAACTTAAGCGCGAGTGGAGGCTAGAAGTAAATTCCATTGTACCATGTCCCAACATTGTAACGTTGAGTAAAACTTCTCATCAAACAAGAAACAAAAATCGTAAAATGTCTAGAAATCACACTTTGCACGAAATGTATTTTGAAAGTTCTAAACGGTAGGTTTTTACACGGTGTCCGCGGTAGCTACATATAACTTGTAGTGGCTCGTGCATGCCGAGCCACATCCTGGCCTCAACCAGACCGTACCTGCATGCTTCGTAGATTTCACCGGGAATTCTAACTGCATGTGAGCCTTATGGGATCATCTGGGAAAATTACACACTAAAATGAAAGTGCTGAACATTTTTGTGTACACTGTAAACATAATATACGTATGAAACTAAAAGGCAGAATCAAAATCGAATAAAGAAAATCGAACACAAACAGTTATTTGATTTACTTTGAAGGGATTCAAGCTCACACGCAAACTACATGTACCTTATCCATTCCAAAAATACTCGAAAATAAAACAAAAATACTCTCAAACATAAATTTAAAGGATGGTACATGTACATGTAAAAGCTGTGCACTATCTGCCACTCCCCCTGCCCTGCCCTGCCCCTCCCCCCACCCTGCCCCGTCCCTCCTCCTTCCCTTCCCCCAGGCCCATACGCTGGGGGGGGGGGGGGGGGGGGTTCGTGGGTTCGGTGATGAGTTCTGTTCAGAAATTAAAACAACAAAAAAGTGCCCCACAAAAATCAACCAACAAAAAGTGGTTAGGAAATGCCTCAGATTGCACCACAGATAATCTAGAATCCACCCCACGCCATAAGGGCTTCGCGCTCCGCGCTCGCATATACATTGTAAAAAGGTCCACTTTGGGATTTGAAGAACGTAGAAGACCCCCCCCCCCCTCATTTTATTAGAACTTTTCTCCTGAACTAGCGGCATCTTTCAAGTTTACAGTTTTCAAGCCGCTCAAATCTGGCCTTTCATTTTTGTAAAATGTCACAATAAAATGCTACCAAATTGTCCCATTTCCACTTTGTTTCGGAATCATTGCTGTGTATGCTGTCATTCACTCAACCAAAAAAAAAGTCCTCCATTCCAATACTTTTTTGCCTAACTCACAAACTACTGGGTACCTCTCACTCAAATAACGACTAATCAGTACAGAAATTCCTTAGCAATCCAGCCATACTCTTTTTTATTTGGCCTAAAACAGTGAGAATGTGTACGATTTTACACAATTTATGACAAATGATACCGAAACAGTTGCACTTTTGTGCAAGTTGTGGTTCACACTCACCTTGCACGTATACAAAAGTGCAACTTTTTTTTCGGTACCATTTGTTATAAATTGCATAATTTTGTATACATTAACACAGTTTTGGGCCAAACAAAGAGTATGGCTGGATTGCTCAGGAATTTCTGTACTGATCAGTCGTAATTTGAGCAAGATGTGCCCAGTAGTTTTTTAGTTAGACAAAACAGTATTAAGGGGGGACTTTCTGTTTTGGTTGAGTGTATATATTTTATGGTTAAGGAATTTTCCTTAACTTGGAAACTTTGGAAGTGGAATTACATTCACAATGTACATGTGAATTTACATAATTCTATGTTTTTTTAATGAAATATTGTTATGATGATATACACTCTTTGATTGACACTATCTGTTCCAGTTTCGATAACGCTAACAAACACTGCAAATATAATTGGCATTCTGGGAGATATTTATAGAATTTTTCTAATCCCTGACACTCATCCCAGTTCTGTGGCGCATTCCATTCTTCTTGCAGGGGTGAGGCCACTCTCTGGAAGCCAAAGATTGGGAGGGACGAGACGGACGCTGTCACCAACGTGTCTCTGCAAGCTGACAAACAGGCAAGTTGTCAAAAAAGTGGTTCAAGCATAACATCATGCAGTACTTTTTACAGGGTGATTCAAAACAAACGAAACCCAAATGTCGGGACCATTGTTTAAGTGAAGTTCTGCATGTAGCACTTTCAAAATCTAGGATATGAAAGCCCAATTCATAAGCTTTCTTTTAGTACAATAATCATTCAAATCACTCATGTAATTTTCAAGTTACGGAATTTTAACACAACCACAAGTTCTGTCCATGGATCACAAAAAGGTAAGTGTTCTTTCAGCAAAATGAGAGCAAATCACATAGGGATGTGTGTGAATTGTTTTTGTTTTGCTGAAAGAACGCACACCTTTTTTGTGATTCGTGGACAGAACTTTAAAACGGTGGTTGTGTTAAAATTCCATAACTTGAAAATTACATGAGTGATTTGAATGATTATTGTACTAAACGAAAGTTTATGAATTGGGCTTTCATATCCTAGATTTTGAAAGTGCTACATGCAGAAATTCACTAAAACAACATTTGGGTTTCGTTTTTTTTGTAATTGAAGCAATTTTTCATTTTCTTCGATGGTCTTTTCTGTCCCTTCTTTGTGTAGCCTTCACCATGGGTGGCCCTTGGTCTTGTGATTGGTGACTCTCATTAAAAAAATGTTTTCACACCTCTTATGGTCTGAATTTGTTTACATGTACATTTATAAAACTTTGTGATCAGGAACAGATGAATTGTTATGGTGGTTGACCACAACTTTCCTTTCGTCTGACCATTGTTGGTTACTTTACCAGGAAAATTCCAAATTTCCTTTCCTGAAATTGTAAAATCTGGCAACATATTTTATACAGACCTGAGGTTCCATCACTTTTCACTCTCTCGCCAATATCGGTAGATGTAGTTGGACATGGTATACCGTTTAACAATGGAAACCAAAAGTCAAAAAATTTCTAAAATACGATCCATCCATCTTGCTTTGTAAACCATGGATGTTATTATTGTAGCTTTAATAGTCTGTCAAATTCCGTGAAGGAAAATTTGAGGTATTTGATTGTGTCATTGTACATGTACTTCCATCCGCCTATGGGTTAAGCGCCACGGTCCACCGGTCACAGTGTTCGACACATGTGCCAAGGTTAATTGGGTTCGAATCCTGATGGCAGGCATGCAATTTTTCCTCAGATCCGCTGATTTCCTCGTTTTCTACTTCTCATGAATGCCAATTGCAAATTGAAAAACACTATACAGTGTACAAAGTCTCTTGCAGGTTGTAATTTACTCGTTTTTTTTCTAAATTCCCAATTGCAAAACACCCATGGGCGTCAATCGGTGGGGGACGGGTGGACAAGTCATATCGTATCATATCGTGTGTCCCCCCACCCCACTTTTTTCATCCCCGAATAAAAATTGTAGCCTACTATAATGATTCTGTACTCTCAGGATAGGTGATTAAATGTTTCAAACTCAAAAATTGTGTTTAAAAGATGATCTTTTGCTAAAAAAAAATGGGTTTTAGAAGTCAGATATTGCCTCAGATCGCACCACAGAGAGTTTAGAATCCAACGAACCCCATGCTGTTAGGGCTTTGCGCTTTGCGCTCGCATTAGTGCTCATCAAGGTACCGGTATGCCCCCCCCCCCCAACTTTTGAGAAGGGATTGGTGCCCTTGAAAACACTGATGCAAACTTACATTTACACTGTAAAAGTTTGTAAAGAATGAAAGTTGTAGGCCTAAGAAATTATCAATACATCATCATTATTATCTTAACTAGTGGGGCAAATATGATCGACCCTCCTGTCGTCTGAACAGTCACAGACAGTCAAAAACTCAATCCTCTTCCCCTGCCATGCCTTTTACACAGGCTAGTCACCAACAGTCAGATCGTATTTCCAACAAGCACTGTGACTAGTCAAATTCCATCAACAGACAAAAGCAAGTAACTGGTAGGTACAGCTGGCTTATCAATCACCTACTGTCAAGGCAAAGCTGTGTCAAGTTACATAAACAGTCACAGCCAGTCAATCCTGCTTTATGTAGGCTGGGAGCTCTTAACTGTTAAAAGCAGTCACTGATTTTGGCTACTGGGATAGCTCTGTTGAATTTGACAGCCAGAGAGAAAGGGTTAATGGCAAATAACGGTTTTAAGACGAACTATTTTCACTCAACACCCAACTTTTTTTTACCAAATTGCAGAAGTTCACCCACGCTGGTGCCCGCCACAATCAGACTGCCAAGCCCTTTGGGTCGCCGGGCGCCGGTGGAGGTCTAGGCACGGCCACCGTGGTCCACAAACAGTTCAACTCTCCGGCGGGGATCTACTCGGCCGAGAACATCGCTGATAGCTTCAAGGGGCAGACTGAAGGGATGATCGCGGGGCACGTTGGAGCGTGAGTTAGCCATTCTCGATTCCTCAGACAACGTTACTTGAATTTTTAGCTGCGAGTAGCAGCTCAAATTCAGCCCCACAATTATTCATTATTATCGTTAAGTTATTAAATTGATGAGATTTGAAGGTTTGCATGGTGGAAAGATACTAAGACAAGATAAGTTTGTGGTAGCACCATGTGAATAAATCTCTTTTGTGAGTATGTGTTGTTCTGAAAAGAACCGGAGGGACTCAACGTTTTGAACAGTATGCTCTGCCCGTCGTCAGGAGAATGAGGCATTCCAACGTTGAATGAGGGATTCCAATGGGTTCGAAATGTTGAGTTCCTCCGGTTCTTTTCAGAACCACACATACTCACAAAAGAGATTTATTCACATGGTGCTACTGCAAACTTATCTTGTCTAAGTTATTAATTATTGGGACAAAACGGTGTGCTCAAAATGTTTAAACAGTTGTCCACATTTTCCCAGATATTTCGTCCGTGTATCTGCGGTATTGCTAATGTTGACATTGAGCGTTGTGAATTTGGGCGTGATCCCTGGCTACATGGCACAGGTGTATGGCCTCTGACTAGCACCATTGATCAAACACATTGACAAACTGGGGAACCGCCATCATAGGTTTGATAGCTCAGTTGCTAGAGCACAGGAACAGTAATCCAGCAGGCCGAAAGCCTGCTCCAGTCAATGTCTGTGTTAAAAAAATGACCAAATATTAATTCAATTAATGTTGTTTTCTCCAGGGAGATCACACCGGCCTCCCAGGGCTACAGTCAGCCAGCCAAGGCCTACACCCCAACCTACCAGGAGCCGCCAACCTACAACCCCGGCCAAGCCAGCGCCCGGTACATCGACAAGCCGGACGATGAGGAGATGAAATATTCCGGCTTCATCAACCCAGGATCCCAGTCACGCTCCTTCAAGATGTTACAGACCATGACGGCGGATGAGGAGGCTAACATGCGTAAATTCAACACTTTGTTTTTGTTACAATCTGGACGCAGAGTAATGTTGTACAAGCCCAACCCGACCCAAAACCGACTTATGGTCGGGCACGGTCGGTTTGTCCATCATTTCAGTCGGGTCGATTCGGTTTTGTGTTTGCGATTTTCAGATCTGGTCGGGTCGGGTCACTTTAAGCCTTTTTTGGAAAAAGCTGAAATAAACCCCAAAAAACAAAAAACCGAAACAGTTTGGAAATTCACACGGTGCAATATTTATTGCAGAGTCACTCTGCCCGGTACAACCACATGTGGGTTGCGGTCAACAGAGATGCCACTTTTCTGGTTTTAACCGGAATTCCGGTTTTTAAAAAAAATCTCACAAAATTCCAATTTTTCCGGCCGTCAAAATAAACTGGAAAAAGAATGTTTTGGGAAATGCGTTGATTTTTATCTTGTTAGTGCTCTCGATTTAGTACATTTAGGCGCACGCACGGCACAACGTTGTTCGTTGAAGTAGTCATAAACACAAGTCTTTGTTGTTGCCGAGCCTGCATGCGAAACAGGCGGCCAACGTACTTGCATGCAGTAAACGTGTACAACGGCGCCTGGTGCATGCTTCACCGCGTGCGGGCGTGTTGTGCGCTAAGCACACGCAGCATTCAGTCTGGAAATCAGTCTATCATTTCAGTTATCGGTGGTTTCCGATCGCAGTGATGTGAATACAAAAAACGCCGGGTACCAACCATGTTTTCATCGATCGCATCGCATTGTGCAAAGGTCACGTACACCGACAGCAGTGTTGTGGAATCGTGCATGTTTCGTGTCAAATATTACGTTGGAAATTCGGGTAGGCAGAATAAATATTAGGAATATGGAAAAAGTCAAAGTGATTGAACGAACCGACAGTTTGGAAATTTCTGTTAGTAGTTTGTTTGAAATGTGACAAAGCTGTGAATTAGTGCACGCAAGCGTTGACATGACGCACACGCGGGCGCGGTTGCTATCATTCGTCAGCTCAGCACATGACATCGCGTAGCTGCAATCGGCTGAATGAGAACGTGTCCCGGATGCTGATTTCGGGCACAATTCAAAACATGACTCGGCAACATTTGAATTGAAATTGAGATCCTAGAGTATTGTTTTCTCAGAATATACATTATACACTTAGCTAAAATTTCATCAGGTTAGTTGTTAAGCATCCTTGTTTAGATTATGAGCTCTGTTGTTGCTTCAAACGAAAAAATGCACAGATGATGAATGATATGCCCTACCTTTAAACGGAAGGTTAAAAAATGCAGAGGGCTGATTTCAGATATTGGCTCCTCTTTTGACAATGTTGTTTTCTTACTAATAATGTGACATTTTGGTTATTCAATCAACAGCCGCTCCTCCCTCTGGAGTGAGAAGTGTCAAGGCTCCAGTGGCTGTCTCAGGCGGTAGTAAGCCAGCGCCTACGCTACCCATGTGTGTCCGCTGCAACCTTGGCATAGTGTAAGTGTCAATTTAAAGGGAATGTACAACAAATGGATTTGGAGGATTAGTGTGTTATAGCATATATTTTTTAACTGACTTGCTTCACGTTTTGGGTTCGGAGATGCTGGAAAATCAAACAAAACTAACCATGTTCTTATAGTCTGGTTGAAAAATTAGAAGCAGTTTTGAAAAAAAAAGCCAGTTTTCTCCAATGCTGGTCGGCTGACCAGCGTTGCAAAAATACAAGTTTTCTTGAAAATTTTAGCACACCAGGAGCCACACTTTTACAGGATGTTTTGGACTGTCATTCCCTAACGACCCAGTAAAATATTTTGTGATATTTGATCATTTCGTTTTTTGATGATTGCAAATGTTGTATCTTCCCTTTAAAAGATGTGCATGTACTGTTCGTGCACTCCCAACAAATTTTGATCAGTATTTTTAATTTCACATTTTTTTCATTTTAATTTTAAATCTACGTTCAGCATCTGCAAGTAGCTTTGATTTTTGATCACTGTTACAAACAGATCTGGGCCAAATTTCACGGCGCTGCTAAGCACACAAATTGGCTTTGCACAAAAAAGTCCGGCTTGTAAAAGCAGGTTACCAGCCAAAACTCCATGTGATTTTCATGCTAAGCAAACAGCAGCTGAATACTAATCAGGAGCAATGTACATCACGTGGAGTTTTGGCTGGTAACCTGCTTTTATAAGCCAGACTTTTTGTGTTTAGCAAATTTTTGTGCTTAGCAGCGCCGTGAAACTGACCCCTGCACTACGACAGGTTCCTTACCCCCTACATTATTGATTCTTATGGGTGCGGGAACCGGACCGGCCTACGCAGACTTTGTCTTTTTTGTGTCTCATTCAAAAGTGATAGGAAAATTGGTGATTTTTTTTTAAATTTCTTAACAGTGGTCCGGTACTCAAGGCCAAAGATAAAACGCTGCATCCAGAATGCTTTACTTGCTATACCTGCAGTAACTCCCTCAAAAATAAAGGTAAGAGTTTAATATCAGAGTCTTATATAGCGCACGTATCTACCAACTATTAGGTACTCAAGGCGCTGGAGATATGTCTATTATTAAAGAAAGGTAAATGAAGTTTATGAGAAATATGAGACCCATTATGTAGCACCTTATAATGGTTTACAAGATGCTGCGGTGCATATTGCAGCCACTGCCAGAAACACCGGGGCAAACCCCTTCTCTTAGCGATAAGTGTTACTGGGTTCTTTAACGTGCATTACACAACACACGGGACCTACGGCTTTACGTCCCATCCGAAGGACGAAGCAATAATGGTAAAGTGCCTTGCTCAAGAGCACAAGCACCATGTTGCCACGGTCAGGATTCGAACCCATGTACCACGGCACACGAGTCGAACACCGTAACCATTGGACCACAACACCCCAAGAGTTCCACAGTTGCTTCAATCTTGCCATGGCGTTTTGCCAAAGTGAACTTGAAGTGGGATAAGTGTCAATCTGTCCACTTTTTTTCCTGTCCCTGTTACATCTGACATCTATGATGTTATAATTCTGGCTGCATTCCTTAATGCAGTCGTCATCCAAGAGCATACTCCTTACCCAACAAATACAAAAATTGTTTGAAGTCATTCTTAATGATACGTGAATGGCAAATTACAAAGTTCAGAGTAACCCGGACGAGAAAATTGTCGCACTTTTGGCCCCTAAATTAATAGAATTAACAAGAAGGAAGAGACTTCGAGTCAATTAGACATGGTGGAGACTGTGCCACACCCTAAGGGAAAAAGGAAAAAAAAAATTATAAATAATTTAAAATAAAGACCAAAAAATGGCAGAGGCCCTGAACAAACACAACAGTTTGAAATCAACGTAACTTTTACAACAGGAAACTGTTTGAAAGGGGTCCGGGCTATCTTTCCTCTTTTTGAATTGTCCTCGACCATTTGAAAAATTCAGGTTCAACCTTCTCCCCCCCCCCAAAAAAACCCGGAAAAACGTATTTAAAAAGTGATTATGATTGATTTTTGTCACTTTTCCCCAGGATTTTTCACCGTTCAAGGAAAAGAGTACTGTGGGAACTGTGAGAGACAAGCACGCATCGATGCTTCACCTGGGTAAGTCATCCTAAACTCTTTGTTACAAGACATGTGATTGGCTATTATAACAAAGCCTGTGATTGGTCAACCCCAACTTAGAGTTGTGGAACTATAAATTAGGTCTAGGATGTCATCTGGAAGAATTGACTTTAATTTATTGTATACATAAGTTTAAATTTTATTTAGGGGCCATTAAAAATTTTTGATGTTTTTAAATTTCGAATTTTTTTTTTTTTTTTTTTTCCCGAAATTTTTTCACTGGTCCCCATGCAAATGGTGCCTTATATGTATACACAATACACGGTATTACCCGAGTTTATGTACCAGGCAAAGGGTTAAAAGCAAACCAATCGGAACACAGGGGGTTGAATTGGCAAGTCAAAAGAGATTTGTTTTCTTTTTTATATCTTTTTAATTGAAAAAAGTGAAATTCGATTTTCAATTTTCATTAATTTAACTTGACCCACCCACCCACATTTAAAAAAAAATAAAAAAATTGACATTTAAAAACATCAAAAATTTTGAATGGCCCCTTAGATAATATGTGTATCTGTTTTACTGGCTGCAACTTTTTTTTATTATTCCTTTGGCATTCTGATGAATTTTTTAGTGGAATGGTCTGTTATATGTCTTCTTCCTGCAAGTTACAGCTTCATATAATTCCCTCCCTCCTTAAAAAATACCCGTAAAAGGATATCTCTTTCCATTGGCTGGTCTTACAGAGAAACTTCCTGATTGGTCTATTTGTGTTCTCATCTTTGCCTGTTGGTATTGACTGCAGAAACACAGGTTTTGATTGGTTAACAGTTAATTTAACCTTTGACCCCTGTGCACTGTATTCAGGACTTCATGTTTAATAATACTCATAATATGCTGATTTTCCTTGGTCCCCACTCTCATTATTGTGCTGCGTTATTAACATACATGTAACATGAGAACCAGTGATGCACACTGAGGTCAGTTTCAGATCGCAGGTCAGCGAGAGAAGTTGAAAAACAGACCCACTATCACAATTTCTGACCCTGGAATAGAGGACCTGAGGCAATGTTGAAATTAAAATTGGAAGAACGACAGTTGTCCCCGACATCGACTCCGCATGATTCCTAATTGCAATTGACTCAAGATATTAAGAGTCCTGTTCAATATTAGCGGAGTGTCTATGAAGATGTTATATGTAGCTGATGAAGCCTAACAGATGCTGGGAAACTTCAAGGAATAAACTTGCAGGAGGTCATGATAATTTTGTCGGACCTTGGGCATACACAGTTCACACGTCAACTTCTATATCAATGTTCCATTATTTTCTGTTTTTCAATGAGTTTGAAACTTGAGGAATTATCTCTCTGGGGGATGTTGCGAAGTCTGTCAGTGATACATGTTTATGAATGTAATATAACTAGGGATTACCTAGAAAGGAATGTGGCAATGTATAAAAAGGATTTGGCAAGTCTTGATTGCTCTTATTTTCTTTTTTAATGACTGTTTTGACTTGACAGTTTTGACATCACTGTTCTGATGTGACTGTTTTGACATGACTGTTTTCAACATGATTGTTTTGACATGACTGTTTTCAACATGACTGTTTCCATCATGACTGTTTTCAACATGACTGTTTTCAACGTGACTGTTTCCAACATGACTGTTTTCAACATGACTGTTTCCAACATGACTGTTTCCAACATGACTGTTTCCAACATAACTGTTTCCAACGTGACTGTTTTCAACATGACTGTTTTCAACATGACTGTTTTCAACATGACTGTTTTCAACATAACTGTTTCCAACATGACTGTTTCCAACATGACTGTTTCCAACATGACTGTTTTCAACATAACTGTTTTCAACGTGACTGTTTTCAACATGACTGTTTTGAAATTGATTTGACATTGATTTGACATGACCGAATGTAAGTTCATGCCAATACACACAGAATTTTTCCAAAAGATTTACCTCTTTTTTGAAAAGGAATTGTGCAATACATTTTACGGTACCATAGAAAAATAATGAGTTACATGTCGATATATCCAGTATTTGGAACTTGTCTAGACGCTTGAAACTGTTTCATCAGAAATCGATCTCTACAGACTGGCATTCCAAAGTCACACTGAACCAAATTATTCTGACAATTTGACAGTTCATGAAAAGTTGGACATTTGGAAACAACAGGAGTGAGCATGTCCATAGACCAGCAGTTTCTAGTTATTCAGAAGGACTCTACGGTCTAGTCAATGGAAAATTAATGCATGAAGTTTTGCCCTTCTGAAGCTACAAATGATTTGGGTCGACTGGAGTCACTCAAAATGCTCTTTGGTTCAGCGTGACTCGGGAACATCATTCTGAAAACTTTTACTTCTGGTCGCTATCCTGCAGGTTACTGGATTCAGTGACTATCCTTTATCCATTTTTACTCCTTTTATAAAATATCCCCCCCACCCCTTTTGAGACTAAAACTGCAGTGACACCCGTGGAATTTGCCAGTCAGCTCCGAGTTGACATTTATGCTTGGGATTATTGTTAATCTCTTTTACCTGACGCAGCTGCCTGCGTGCAAGCTTATAGGAGTTCCTACTGACTTTTTATAGCTGCGGGATAGCAGCTCAACAAATCATCATATCTCTTCGTTAGTTAGTTAGTTAGTAACAAACGCTGACATTGTCTATTGCTCCCACATATTTTGACCGATTTCAACCAAACGTTGTCAAAAGTATCAGTAGCCTGGCCCCAACATGTTACATGACCAAACTGGGGTCAAAGGTCATCATGGGGTCACTGGGGTAAAAAACCTGATTTGTTTTTTGCTCAAAACACTACTCCTTCCAGAAATGACATGGTGCAATCACGTGACTCGTGCATGAACACGAATTTGTTGGCCCCCAGCTTCCGAGATTCGATCGAGCTTGTTTGATGTTTGCAAATGTTGTACATTACTTTTAAAGTTTTATCTTTGAAAACTATCGTATCTGCACCAGTAGAAAAAAGCTTTGTGAACGATTAGCCAATACATGTACATGTACATACATGTATTGTATAGGCTCAAAATGGTACCTTCTTGAGATGGCAAGTCTGTATATGTGCTGTTTTCATTGCAGAGTGCATTATTTTAATTCCAAACTCACAGAAAAATTGCTTTTATTAAATTAATGTACCGGTAGGAAATCAATTTAAAAATAAAATTTTAAGTCAGTTTTTAGGACCAAGGTGTTATTTCTCAGAAACTCAGCCAAATTTCCAATTTTGCAACTTTGGCCTTATAAATGAAAGATCTTTAAGATGAAACGCTCATCCACTACTCCTGGTCTGATAATAAATTTACAATTTCCCTACTCTCCGCAGATACATGTAGATTGGTTTCCTTTTCCAGATCATTTAGACCTTCCTTCTCTTGAAATCAGGCCCAAACTTCATCAATCTTTGACCCCCCCCCCCCAAAAAAACCCAAAATCTACTTCACCATTTTTTTTGCTGACTCTCTCCCCTCTTCTGCCTTCTGTTGGCAGGAACTGGTAAAGACGCTTATGCTGGTTCAGGGGCCCCCTCCATCCAATCATAATGCAGATGAGAAGCTTATGCTGGTTCAGGGGCCCCCTCCATCCAATCATAAGGCAGGAGAGAGGAAACCAAGGGGAAACCAAGAACCAATCAGAAGAGAAAGCAGAGAGTCAGCAAAAAAAAAATGGGGAAGCCATTTTTTTAAATAGCAAATTAAGACAGCTGTGTGATATTTTAGTACCTATCCGTCTGCACGGTATACACCCGTAGTTTGTAGACCAGACTATTTTGGCCCACATAATCTAGTGGTCAACATTATATTAAAAAACAAGCCTTATTTTAGGGATGTTTTTGAGAGGTAAAGCCCCCTAAAACTGATAGTCTTTCATCAGTTGCATTTAAAATTCAACAAAAGTAGACTAAAAGTGTTTGAATATCAATCAAATTTATATGCGGGACATGAACCTGAAGCATAAAAAGTAGAGGTTTGTATCTGGTAGACAGTAGACATCCATCAAATCAGGCCTACAGGTGTTTGCCAGATTTCATAATAGACTAAAGCCCTTTTCACACTAGACAAATCTCGGGGTTGACGCAGGGTTGACACAGGGTTGAAAACATGCATCGTTTCACACTTGAAGAATTTCAACCCTGCGTCAACCCCGAGATTGATTTCACCCAGGGTTGAACTCAACCCTGCTCTAGACCAGGGTTGAGATTTTCAACCCGGGTTGAAATTCTTGCCAGGGTTCAAAACAGTAGTAACTGAGCATGAAAAGCTTGATTTGCATGAAACAAGTGTGAAACGATGCGGGGTTGAACGCGGGGTTGAAAAATCAAAAACTCAACCCGGGGCGGCACTGGGTTCACCCAGGGTTGAGTTCAACCCGGGTTGAGAGGCTCTAGTGTGAAAAGGGCTTAAAGTACCTTTGCATGCTAGAAATTTACGAATATAACTCCTGAGGATTGTTAAATTGGTACTGCTGTGACAACTTAACCCGTATTACATTATATGTAATAAATTTATAATTTGCGGTTACAATTAACGTGGTCGAGCCGCAGGCATGTAAAGGCGCCGTTGGCAGCCAGCCACATCGACCCATGTATGACCACGCAGCACAGCCTTAGATCGAAAGGGCTGGTCAGCTCAGTTGGTAGAGCACCGTTTACTTATTCTGGTGGTTGCAGGTTGGAGCCCGCTCCAGTCAATTTCTTTGTTTAACTTTTTAACACATATGCGACTCTATTCAGTTTGTCTTTGCGGTTTATTTAAAGGGACACTGGGTCCTGGAACAGCCCAATCGGGCTACAAAACGCGCTTTGAACGAGATGATGTTAATCGGAAAGAACATTTAAAAGTAGGACATAAATATCCAAACAACTATCCTTTAAAAACTTGGCGTTTTTGTGTTATTCCTGTATTATGCGTGTGTGAATGAATTTCGGGCTCCACTTTTGCGACCCCATAAATTTGAGCTGTTTTGATGCTAGTTGTGATTTCATTTGTTACATGTAAAGTGTTCGCCTTT